TTTTTAACAGTGCGAATTTAATTTAAGCTGATTATGGGTTATTTTTAAGATTGTATATTAGCAGATATAGGAAAAATGAATAAATGAATTCAATTTGTTAACGTTTTCAAGAAATATGTATGACCAAGTCAAGGCCATCTACATATATCGGAGTTTTGATATAATCGAAACATTTCCATCTGATTTACCTTATTAGTTTAAGGAATTGTATTTTGCCGGAAAACTATTCTATAGAGATGGTTAAAATATTTTAAACCCGAATTAACACAAATATAGGTATAGAAAAGGCGTTTAGCACCCTATCAGATTAAAGGGAGTTATTAACAGTATTGTTTTTAATTTAAACATCATGCCCTGCGTTTTTCCCAGTGTCCTGTTGCTCCTGGCTGCCTCATTCTCTCTTTCTCTCCTACAGACGACCTTCACTTTCATACGGCCGACCGTTATATATTTTGTTTGCTCGACGCTTTTTTAACATGTTACGTTGTTGTTTTTATTTTTGTTAGCCTGCTGCTGGATAAATTAATACCGTGGGTGGAGTGGCTCGGGGTGTGCGGGGGGAGGAGCTCTTAAATAGGCCAACTATGCTAGCAACTACTTGTTGTTGTGCTGCACGCACGCCATGGGGTGCAATTAAAAAACGTTTTTTATAAATGCCTTAACCACTTGGCAAGGACGTGGACGGTTAAAACTGGATGGGACTTTTCTATTTTCTATTTTTTCTAGCCTTTCTCTGTTATTTTTTACGGCTGTTGTTGTTGCGGAGAGAACGACCGCAACAACAAAAGCAACAACAACAACAGAAACATTCGCGGATACACACATTTTCACAAATCAAAAAAGCAAACGAATATTGCCACACACACACCCACACACACCGAGACACACTCCCACACACACGCACACGGACAAGAGAGACAGACAGGAAAATCTCTCTTTTTTTATGGATTTTCTGGGCAGGCAATCTGCTTTCGCTGATGTTTGATTAAACAATTGCTTTATGGTTTTTTAATACTTCTGTTGACTTTCTCCCATTATCTCCTCCGCACTTCTCCGGGGAATCTGCGAAATTGTTTACACAGCCCTACATACATACGCACACCTTTCGGTTTGTTACATTTACACTTGTCGCCTCTTACACTTTTCCCACCTCCTCCGTTTCTTTCCGTTAGCCGCACATTTTTCCGCACTATTTCGTGTACATTTTCCCCGCTGGCGCTCCGCGAAATTCTTTTCTGGCCTTTTCTTTTGGAAAAACTATTTTCCTTTGAAAATTTTCTCAGCTCTTCCTGCACGCACGGTGGCCACAAAAACTTGGCCCAAACTGCGTCCCGCTGTTTGCTCCGCTCGGCTTTTTCTTGGGGGCGTTCAGACAAACAGTTCTCGACAAACTGAAAGTGAAAAGCAAAGGCAAAAAGCGCCAGCGCCTCCGACCGACGGCCGTATCATCCGAATCCGATTCCGAACCAGAATCCGGGACAGCAGAAACACCTCACGGAGTCGGCGCACTTCATAGAGCAAGTGGTGGGCACTGAAAAGCGAAACAGAATCGGAACAGATGTTGATGTTGCCTTTCGAATGAACTATGATAAAATATTAATGGGTAATACACATATCATCGAGTTCCCATCAAGGATGTGGTATTTCAACGAGCTCAGTATCGATAAAATGCATTTCTCATATTTTGATTAGCCCTTTGTCCTGTAACCCATCGGATCTATCTTCAATGGTCCTTTAAAATTGGAAATGATCGGTGACAAGATCCTCAATTATCTTTTAAGACCTTTAAATTAAATAAATTTTTGTTCACATCTACTTGCAGTAATTATCTAAAATATTTTTAAAAAATGCTTATAAAAAAATGAAATTTGAGATTTCAACACAGTACCATGTAATGCAGATCTTTTTAAATATGTTTTAATAAAACAATTTTATTTATATGTATATCAAACGAGGAAACAAATTTAAAAATAACCGCTTGGAATAACCACATTAAGATAATGTGTTGAAATCATAGAATCGTGATATCATGGTTTGTGAGTTATAAAAAATTTTTGCTTCTAAGAAATACTAATGATAATATGGTTTCATTGTATTTAACATTTTATGCCAAAATAACTTTCTCGTAAAATATTTATTCATTTTTGTAATACAACTAACTTTAAGTTTGCAAATATCACTGAATATCTATCTACCATGTGCGGATGCTTAGGGGAAGTTTTCCAGTCCAAAGTGATTTCAATTTCAAATAATATTGGCCATATTAGGGGTATTAAGGCAACGAATTTCCAACAATTAACAAGCAAACAAAATCATATAAATTTAAAACAAGGAATACATAAAATAATTTCGAATCCGCGAAGAGGGCTTATAACCGAAATTCACAAGAATCTCTTGAGGAACTAAAAAGAAGGCAGGGTCTACTTAGTAACCTAATTAATTTATATGATTAAGAAAGGCTGCTGTCACCTATTTTTACCGAAATGAAAAGTGAAAACATGGCCAATTGTAGGGATTCTGGGCGAGTGGTGCGACTTTGGTGTGGGTTCTACTTGGCGGCCGGGGCAGTTCCTTCGCTCCCTGGGGATCCTTGAATTGCTTGTGCCACTCAAGGTTCATCTTGGTAACGGATTCTCCTCGTTTGGCGGCCTGCTTGCCACTGTATACCATTATAGCACAGCCAACAGCGGTGAGTGCGATCATAATGTTGGCCAGTCGGATGCGCATTTTGTTGCGACAGCGCTCCATGACATCCTGACTGCAAAACGGCATAATACAAATCACAAACCTGTTGCATTCCCCCATTCCCCTTTGAATCGCTACTCACCTAACAAAATTGGGAACTTCGGCAGCTGTCTTGTATTTACCGGTCCAGACCAACATTTTGCGCTCCAGGTTGTTGGGCTCGTGGTTTTTGATCGTCTCCCGCATTATCTGGCTGGTTCCAAAGGTCCTCCGCACCATGGCACCAATTAAAGCAGTCTTGTTCAGCATATTATGTGGTTTGAATCAATCTTTTAACATATAATCTGTAGAAAGAAATCCGGAATTTTATGCAATTCGTTTAACAGTGAGTGCTAAAATTACAGAGATGCAAACCATCGAAAGTACATCGATAGCAGCGAAATATGTATGGTCACCCTTAAATCCTCTGCACACAGTTGTAGCAGCTGTTACCATAGGCCACCGATGTTACAGCTGAAGCCGAGGAAGAAAAATAGCAATTACGTGCTTCCCCTAAAAAACAAAGCTTTAGGTTTTCATAATGACTAATAAATTTAAATAGGAAAGAAAGAAATGTGTTATGTGCTAAATGACAAAAAAATGCACAAAATACGAATTTAACACGGCTGTTTACATTAAGACAAATAACGATAGGCACAAAATCGATACACGACTATCGACGTGCAGCTGAGTCAAGTCATGGAACTGGTTCCTTAAACCGGATAACTCCCAATTGAACCAAAAATTTAAATCCGAAAAATTTGAGTGGTTTTGGCGAAGAGAGGCTTGGAAAAGTGAAATAGGCAAGGGTAATAAAAAGGGTGAAAATAAGTGGTCGCAGACGGTTCGGTTGGCAAGAAAAATAATATTAAAAAAAGTCAAGTTCCTACCCAAATATTCCGTGAGGGATAAGCGTGGTTCAGGAAGATAAATTGATATAAGGAGGGACAAAGACCAGCCACCAGGAGGAGATCAAAATTTTCAACAAGAAAATTGGCCACTCATCCCCGGGTGGCCACAGGTTCTTATTCGCCCTTAAAATTATATTTGCCACAGAAAATTTAAAAAGTTGTTCCCGAAAACTGCGAGCGGCAAAGAAAATCAGCAAGCCGAAAATTGAAACACAAAAGCGAGACTGATAATGTATTTGATTATGAAACCCGCCCAATAGTTTATCCCACTTATATCTATTCAAATTATTTATTTATTTACCCTATTTATTTACCCAAACCAAAAACTATTGAAATATTATTTATTGTTATTTATTTATGTAGTAGTCGAGGTACCACGAGGCAGAATTGGGAAATGTGTCCAAAAGAATGTTGAGGGATGCACTCATTGTTGGGAGGGACTCCAGGACCACGATAAGAGCTGGGTGGTCCATTCCAGATGTTCAAGAAAATCCGTCGTGAAGATTGCCATTGTCCGAGTTTGAATTTCCGTTTTTTTTTTTGATTTTTTTTGTTGTGTCTGCGGCGTAGACATTTTTTTGGTTGCTCCCCTGGGACATGCGATGACTAGCCGGCATCTACACTGCGCAGAACGCAGGACACTACAAATGTTTTAACAAAATCGAAGGTATGAGCTAAATGAATACTTTCCCGGAATATAATATAATATAAAACATACCAGAGATTCGACGAAGACCTTATCTAAATAAAGAAGTCGAAGCGCGTCTTGCAGTTGCCTCTTGATCCCAAAACAAGGAGGTTCAACTGAAGACTCGCCGCGACTTCTTCATTTAGATCATTTAGATAAGGTCCCCGATAGCACTGTTATGTTACAGCTCCAGAAAATTTTCACCTTGGTCCTCCTCTAGCATAAATAAAAAAATAACACAAAACCCAATTCATTTAAATTTTAATTGTAAAGCTGTTTAGTTAAAGAATTTGGAATCATGCATTTAAAAATGTTTTTTGTCAGTAGACACAGCTCTGATTATCAGTAGGACAGCGCAGTATTGATGAACTATTAATAGTTCGCCCAAATTTCAGAGAATATATTTTTTGCCGGTTTCGATGTTTCAAAAAACTTGTATGTTAAACAATATCGATAGTATCGTTGGCGCCATCGATGTTTTTAAAGCTCTACTTTTTTATTTTCTTGTAAAAAAAACTTCACGTGTAAATAAGTTCGAACATAAAATCAATTTTTAAATTATAATTATTTTAAATTAAATTAAATATTAAATTATAAATATTATAAACCGTTCTCGGGAACGAAACGGAAGTGAAACGCTTCGGAGGCAGTGTGACCGCGGGTAAAATATGTTTGACCGATTGAGCCGATTGAGCGACGGTCCCTCTGCACCCCCTTTAGTTTTCGAGTAAAAGTGTAAAAGTCGGAAAAGTCAATTAATCCGACTGCCACACGTTCAAAAACCAATTTTGCGATCAAGATCAGAATGAGCGAGTACACGAGCATCCTCCAGCGCGAGTTTCCCAAAATCGACCACGAGCTGCTCACCTATGTCGTGGGCGTTCTCACCGGAAGTAAGTGCCTTCTAGCCCTCAACCTCTGATGTTTCTTCCTTAACGCCGCACTCACATTCGCAGGCGAGGAGGACTTCGACAGTGGTGATGACATCTTTGATGCGGTGGGCGACATCCTGCAGAGCGTCGACTGCGACAGGTCGGAGGAGAGCGTCCGGGAGCTGTGCGAGCAGTTCCTCAACATCATGAAAAACAACGGGGTCAACGTGGAGCGCAAGGTGCTGAATGCGCCGGTCAACATCGAGGAAATGGCCAAGAACATGGAGCGACTCGACAAGGACATGCAGAGCATCTGGGTGGTGAACAAGGACGGCGCCAATGTGAGTGTGTACCAGTTGGTGAGGGATTGTACCACATCAGGCAGAAAGCTCATTTACGAGACACTGTGGAAGGACTCAAGATCCCTTTATTAATCCTTAATCATTTGCTTAACAGCTGCATATCTAAATCAAATAAATCTGTTTCCAAAGTACATACTGCAGTCCAGCTAAAATAGAATTTCTAGATACTTTAGCCAGACAGCTTAAGTTTAAAAGTCCAACAAACTTATTGAAACTCTCTTATTCTTCCAGAAAGTAGACTCGAAGAAGCTGGGGAAGGCGGAGGCCAAGCTGCAGCAGAAACAGGAGAAGCGGCAGGAGGTGAACAAACATGGGATGATTCCCGTGGCGGTAAAACTGCAGACGGCCACAGCCTCCCAGGTGACCAACAAAAAGAACACCAAGCTGGACCAGAAGGGCCTCAACCGCTCCATGGACATCAAAATCGAAAACTTTGACCTGGCCTTTGGCGAAAAGTAAGACAATGTAGCCGAGCAGTTGACCAACCATAAAATGTTGTTAATCCCCACCAGAGTTCTCCTGCAGAACGCGAATCTGTTGCTCTCTTTTGGTCGCCGTTACGGTCTGGTCGGGCGCAATGGCCTGGGCAAGACCACTCTTCTGCGGATGATTGCCGAACGCCAGCTGCAGATCCCTTCGCACATCTCGGTGCTGCACGTGGAGCAGGAGGTTGTGGGCGACGACACACCCGCTGTGGAAAGCGTGCTGGAGTGCGATACGGAGCGAACGAGGCTACTGACCCGGGAGAAGGAGATCCTGGCTGCGCTGAACAGCGGCGTACAGGATGCGACGCTGTCCAACGAGTTGAGCGACACCTATGCTGCTCTGCAGAACATCGAGGCGGACAAGGCCGTGGCCCGTGCATCTGTGATACTCAAGGGATTGGGTTTCGATGCAGACATGCAGCTGCGTCCGACCAAATCCTTCTCAGGCGGCTGGCGCATGCGTCTTGCTTTGGCCAGGGCACTTTTCTCAAAACCCGATCTGCTGCTGCTCGATGAGCCGACGAACATGTTGGACATCAAAGCCATTATCTGGCTGGAGAACTATCTACAGACATGGCCCACAACCATCCTCGTCGTATCCCACGATCGCAACTTCCTGGACACAGTGCCGACGGACATTATACATCTACATTCCCAGGAACTCGAGGCATACAAGTAACTTAGTTCGAAACAAGATCAAATGAAATATATAATTTATTTATTTATTTTCAAGGGGAAACTATGAGCAGTTTGAGAAGACCAAGACGGAAAAACTGAAGTCCCAGAGGCGTGAGTACGAGGCTCAGATGGCTCACAGATCGCACGTCCAGGATTTCATCGATCGCTTCCGATACAACGCAAACCGTGCCTCATCTGTGCAGTCCAAAATTAAAATGCTCGAAAAGCTGTAAGTTTGATAATGCCCGTTGCATTATAAATCATCAAAAGGTCAATATTCTGTAACTTTTAATAAGATGATTTCTTATATTATTAAACAGGCCCGAACTTAAGCCAGTGGAAAAGGAGACAGTGGTTACACTCAAATTCCCCGAAGTGGAGCCTCTCAATCCTCCCGTGCTTGCCATTTCGGAGGTATCGTTCCGTTACAACCCCGAAGATCCGCTGCCCATCTTTAAGGGTGTAAATCTCTCAGCCACATCGGACTCGCGAATATGCATTGTCGGAGAAAATGGAGCGGGAAAATCGACGCTGCTGAAGATCATTGTCGGTCAGCTGAGCACTATTTACGGAAATATTGTCCTGCATCGTGGCCTTCGAATTGGATATTTCGCCCAGCACCATGTGGACCACCTGAACATGAATGTGACGTGTGTGGGAGTACTGGCCGAACTGTTTCCGGACGACCGGACGAGGAGTATAGACGGCAGTTGGGTAGTTTTGGCTTGTCCGGACCGCTGGCACTGCAGAGCATTGCCAGTTTATCTGGAGGACAGAAATCCCGCGTGGCCTTAGCGAAGATGTGCATGGGTAAGATTGTTATAATGCTTTTACTAAAACGTTTAATAACAACTATGAACTATATTTAATAGCGGAACCCAATTTCTTGGTACTTGATGAGCCGACAAATCACTTGGATATTGAAACTATTGATGCTTTAGGCCGGGCCATTAACGCCTTTAAGGTAAAGAGCCTTTATTAATAATTTCCAGTGAAGAATTCATAACTTTCTTCTATAGGGCGGCGTCATCTTGGTTTCCCACGACGAACGCCTCATCAAGGTCGTCTGTAAGGAACTCTGGGTGTGTGGCAATCGCACAGTCAGAGCAATCGAAGGTGGTCTCGACGAGTATAAGCGGGAGGTTTACAAGGAAATCGAAGCTAATAGTTGAATTTAATGTAATTAAAATTACTCTATTTGTGAAACAGCCTAGCAATAAATTTATATTATGTCTATGACACAAACAGAAGAAAATTATCTTTGTGAGAGGATGCAATCATAAATGTTTCCATAAAATTGTCCATGCCTTCCATAATTTAAAAAAAAATTTTTTTTCAAGCAATTGTTTTTTAATGAAATATTTTATCTTAGGCTCTGGATCCAAAACTTATTTCTTATCCGCCGTCTGAATGTTGAGTTTTCGTCGGAGCTCAAAGAGCAACAATGTCAGAGCAGCAACAACGTTCAAGCTATCGATGCCAGCTGCCAGGGGTATGTATACGCACTTTCCCTTGCGTCCGACCAAGTTCAAGAAACTGTCGAAAATTAATAATTAGCAGTTTTCTAATTTGTATTTTGCATCACACCTTACCTGTAAGCATCCTCACTGACCCCATGACTCTCGCCGCCAATGATGAGCATGTTGTGGGCTCCGATATCCTTGATCTGTGCATAATCGATGGTCTGGTTGTTCTCCCGCTTCTGTTGGTTGCTCTCCGCAACGAAAACGTGGCAGTTGTCTGCTGCCTCTGGCGGAATAGTCAATGGGACCTCTTCCCACGGGACATCATCCCGTATCGGCACTCGAAACTGACCGCCACAGCCTCCTCTCAGGGCTTTCGACTCCCAGGGATCGCAGCAACCATGGGTGACCACGACCTGGCTGCAGGGCAGAGCGGCACAGGTCCTTATGATGCTGCCCAAGTTGTTTGGTTCCCTTATGTTATCGCACACGACTGTAATTGGCAAGGGCTGAGTGCCCTGACGCTGTTGCTCGGCTAGGTTCTTCTCCAAGCCTTTGTCTGAAGGCCTCTCAAAAATGGCCATTAGACCGGGTGGGGTTACCAGTGAGGACCATGTCTTAAGGTCGTGCTGCGGAACCTTGTAGATCTTGGTATGCGTCTCCATCTGCGCCCTGCCCACTTCCTCCTTCACTAAAGCCAACTGATCCTTCTGGCTGAAGAGGAGCGCATCCATTTTGAGTCCACATTGCAGGGCTTCCTGGATGAGTCGCCTGCCCTCGACGATGATCTGTCGATTCTTGTCCCGTCGCTTGCGGGAACGCACTGCGGTCAACAAAGTGCTGGTCAAGGGATCCTGCAGGGTCAGACGCACAAACTCCAGATTCAGGTCACTGTCCTTGATCACGGGAGCAGGACTCGGATATATACGTGGGGCGGGCGGTGAGGGAGCCGCGAACTTATGAGGTGCAACTGGAACACTGGGTTCCTTGGTTTTCTTCGGCACAAAAGATTTGGTTCTGTTCTTGCGTAAAGCTTCCCGCGTGTTTACCGGTTCGTGCTTCAAACTTGAATTCCCGAAGAGATTGGCCTCTATGTCCAGTGCATCCTGGATATCGCTTTGGGGTCCATTGGAGCTGCTCAACCGCAGCACATTCAGGTTATTTACATTCCTGATATTTGATTGAAAGGAGCGTTTCAGAATATTACAAAACATGGTCGGTGAAGTTGAACAGATGTTTGAATAGTCAGTGGTGTGGTGAAAAGCCGTTATCGGGGGTAACAACTTTCTTAAGGAAAAATCGGTTTTTAAAGTTAAGGCACCACTTTTCTAAATCAAGTTTAAACTGCTTCCGCTAATATATCCCGCGACGTCAAGTAAACAAATACCAACTGTATCATAATTTTGAAGACTCCCATACTCGCTCCCCTCTACGCCCATGTAAGCAGTGTTGAATAACGCATCAAATGAATGCACCTACAACACTTTTGCTAAGTGAGCGGCAGATTCAAACTTTCCGCGTAATTTAATGAAAATATATATTTTATTTCACTTTTAAAATTTGTGTTAGCAGTTAATAACAATTTGAAATTAATTAAAAACTAATAGCGCAATAAGTTGTCCTACTGGGTGTTACGTAGTTAAGCAGCCATAACATAATACAATAATTTAAAATAACAATGCAAAATTCAAACGCCTTCGATCGCAAGGATGAAAAGGAGATAGTTCCGTAAAACAAAATCAATATGGAAATGCGGTAAACAATTAAAAACAAAAGAAATTCATCTAAATGGGGGGCGTCATGTGGTGGCGTAAATACTAGTATTTAAATAAATCCTTATATTAACATAATTCATAATCTGTTCCATCTTATACGGTCCGGAGGCCTTTTCGCGAAATTTGTTCATAACAATGTACAATCTAGAATTACTACTATCACCGTTACATCTTACATGGCTACATACTGATTTTAATTAAAGTTCCATAAATATTAATCAATGCCTCTAACTTTAGGCTTATATACACGGCTTAACCTATTCGCTGGCTAAATCTGTTAGGTCGAACTGGCTGTGGAGCTGCTACTCGACTGCTGGGTCTTCCGCTGCCGTGCTCCGCGTCCAGACAGCAGGTATGACAAATCAATGGGCTGCTCCTGGGCTGTTTGTGCATCCAGACACTTAAGCTTCATAGTTATCAAAACGTTCTCTAAACGCGATCTTCTCTTCTTAACCATCTTTAGTTGAAGGGGAGAAAATTTATGTTTGTTATAAATGTATTTAATAAAGACTTTTCCACACTGACCTGTTTGTTAGGCGCCATTGGAGCTACGACATGGACAGCTGTGGCTTCTACTGGAGCGGCACAAATCCCACGCGGCTTTCTCCCAACCGTCTTCGGCTGCTGCTGTTCCTGCGAGCCGAGTGTCTTTCGCATCGTTGCTGGCCCGGCTCCTACTTCTAATTCAGTCTTTTGCTTCCTCGTTTTCAGCAACGAAGGATCCACATCATGGGGCTATACATAAACGGTGTGTTAACATTCTAATTATTTCTTTTTTGTTATTTTAACTTACAGCATAGCTCTTGGAGATTTTAAGCTTCTCGGGGAACTTTCGGAAAGCATAGCTCTTCGTGCAGGCCGGATGATTGGCCTTTGCCTTGGAGAAAAATCTCGCCGTCTTGTCCACACGCAGCTCGCAGATAAAACAATGATCCTCGTCGTTGCATTCCATTGGGCGCCCTTTACAGAAAGTGGTGCGATCCAAAACCCAGCAGCGCCCAATGACCAACTCGATGGGCACCACCTCATAAAGGGAAACTCTTACCACTTCATTGGGGTAAAACCGACGCGAAGGTTCATGGAAAGTTTCATGGGGGCGAAGGAAATGATGCCCGAATATGAAACGCTTCCCCACTTCGTTTTTCCACAAGTGCTCTACTCGAAAGATGTCGCATTCTTGATAATCAATTGCTCCGATCGTTTCGTAAGTGTGCTTCTGTGTCGGCAACACTTTGCCCGCCTCGTCCTTGATGGGAATGTCCCGTAGCACATAGACGGCATCTCCCTGACGCACCTGCAGATCGCCACGCATCAAGGAAAGATAGTACCGGTGGCCCTCCTCGGTGTATTCGTCCAGGGGAATCTCCCGATCCACTTCTCTTGGCTCGCAACGTTCGCACTGATAGTTATCCGCATCGATGTCCGCTTTGGTGCACTCTGTGTGCTGCCACACCATGCACTTGGCGCACTGAATCATCAATCCCTCATCCTTGTACAACCCGCAAATGCAACGGATCACATCCTCTTCAGGAGAGCCTCCAACGGGAAGTAAAGAGGCGTGGTTTTCGATGGCACCAGTGGTGAATCCCTGTCCTTTGCTCCTGGCGATTTTTTCACTGCAACTTTTGCTGCTTCCTCTACTGGCAAAATCACCTCTTTTGGTTTGAAGCTCTGCAATGACTCAGAATCGCCAAGTATCTCGACAAGCTGAACATAGCTGGCGGCTTTCTGTTGCTCATAGCAATCCTTAAGAGACTGTAGCGCTTTGGCCTTGCCCTCGTCATCGCCATGCTGCTGCTTGGCCTCCATAAACAGTTGCTGCATGTGGTCATCGTATTCCTGGGGCGTTTTGTAGTGTCCCTGTTCAACTTGTGATTGAATCGATCTGAACTCCACTCGAGGAGTTCCAGCTGTCGCACCTAATTTACCACTCAAAGAGTTCTTTATAGCTTTCTTCTTCTTGCTGGACACTGTGGTTAACAGATCAGACATCTTAAGGGACTCAACGGCACCACAAATATCCCTTAGAATCACAGCCATTTTCGCCATCTTCTCCAGTTCGGGATCATGTACTGTCTGTGCCAATCCACGAGTTTTCATGTTGCGGGGTGAGCAGAGTGCGGAGATTTGGGCAGCCAGGGAAGTGGAAGATGGGGTGGAGGGTCGTCGACCGGGGATGTCTCCATTGGTGACACCATGCGCTGGAGAAGATGCACTAGCGGATGCAGCTGCCAGAACTGCTGCTCGCTTTGCCTTGCATCTTCGTATCTAATAGATAAAATTATGATTAGAAATATTCTGATGGAATATTCTTAAAAAGCTTACAAATTAAATACAAGTTTTAAAAAAGAATTATACAAATAATGATTAAAAGTGTTCTAAAACACCAACTAACCTTTTCGAAGTTCCTGACAAGGAACGTATTGAATTGTTTGACCAGTTTCTTTTCCTTTTCTGACAAAGGTTGAAGCTTTGCCACCGCCACCGCTGATGCAGTATCCTTCCCCGTCTGCCGCTGAGCGTGCTTTTTGGCTTGTGCTTCCGTTGGCGACCGTTTCGGCCCGGAGGACCCTCTAAAGCAGGCTTTGCCTCTACGACGGGAAGGGGTTTAACCCTCTGGGACTTACCCCCGATGACACCTCGACACTGGGGCGTGTTGCATCTGCAGGGTTGCCCCTCTGACGGATTGAACAGCGAAAAATTGTAATCGTAGGTCAGCTCCTCTCCCTGTTCAATGGCCCTTTTAGCAAAAAGGACCATTCTTGACAGGCCGTTGACGCTCCATTTCTGCATTTCGCAGTTGGGCTCGCAGGAGTGGTTGACAAACCTACAATCACTGCCCATGCGCTGGCCATCGATGACCAGTCCTCCGTCTAAGTGCAGACAATAGTGGTGAGTGTCATTCAGGTATATACTGGCCATCCGCTGCTTGAACTCCCTTTCGGTGACCACCTCCCCCACGTATTCCAGTATGTAGGTACCCTTAGAAATGGGCAGTTTAGTTCTTACTCCCCATCCTTTATCCGTCGTCATAAAGCGCTCCACTCCGGGTGCAACTGCATGCCGCTGGATCATTTGATTCCGGCACTTCTCTCCAGCTGGACAATTGCTGGGCGAGCATTCCGTATAAACCATGCGATTTAGACAATTGTCCAAACAGGCTTTCTCACCCTGGTTCTTACAGTTACACGTGGGATGGTCGAAACCAGCCAGATTCGGACGCACTGACTCGGCGTATACATTCGTGCGAATCTTTCGATAATTCCAGGATGGCACAATATGTCGAGTGGGTAGTTTGGAGTTGGTGTAAGCCCACCATATATCATAGGGAAGCTCAAAGTCAATTTCACTTCTTCTTAGGTACTTTTCACAATAGGGAGGAGGTGGAAGAAGGCTCCCAGAATTCACTTGATGCTCCTCCAAAGCTGGTTTCTTGTTCACTTCGCTGGTGGAGGCATTAGCGATTGTTTGTAGTGATTGGAGAAGAGTCCTGCTACCAGATAGGTCTTCTTTACTTTGGATAGTTTCCGCAAGGACGTGGTGGACGCTTTGTCTTCGCTGGATTCACTGCAGCTAGCGTAGTCTGGGGGACCAGGGTTCTGGGACTCACTGGCGGGCAAAGGATCGTGTTCGATAGGGATACTGTCTAGCCGTTTAGCCGCCGCTTCGGCATCTATTTCCTCCTGGCTGACGGGAATTTCTGGAGGAACTGGTTCCACTGTCGCTGGTTTAACGGGATTCTCCTTTTTGCTTTGGTGGGTTGCATTTTCCAGGTTCTTTCGCCGCTTCAAGCGAATCTTGCAGCTAAAATTCGTGTTAGGATCGATGCCAGCTGGGAGTTTAATATTGGGTTCCAGTTTGCTTTTTTTCTGTTGAGGAATAGGTGCGGGAGGTGGCTCTTCTAACACCGGCTGTTTGGGCTGCCGGCCACGTTTCTTGGCAGGCTTTACCTCGGGTTCAGTTTTGGGCGGCGGCAAAGTGCTACTTCAGGTTGGTCCTTATTCTTAGGTTTTCTACCTCGAGGTCTTCCTCTAGCGGGGGTTTGGGGTCGCTGTAGGCGCTCCAGGGCCACAACCGATAGGCGCGGAGCTCTCTGATTGCTCCTCGCCACAAAGTTTTCCCTGGCTTCGCCTGCTTGCGGCACTCGCTCACAATCCATTGGAGGATTAGCAGGTCCCTGCACCTGGGCACTGCTGCTGCTTCTGGTTTCTCTTAAGGATTGCAGAGGTTCATCATCGGGATCGATCTCCGGCTCGGGATCTTCCATCACGGCTGTTGGCTGCTGTTCTACGCTAATTTTACGCTTCTTCCTCCTCACCGTGGGAAATCCAGTTCGATTGATCTTTTTTCGCTTTCGTTTTAGGAGGAGATTGCCACCCGTTTTGTGTAGCAACGTTTCTACAACTCGGTGACCAATCTCCTTTTTGGTATCCTCCTTGATATCCAATGCCGAGAGCAGGGGAGATTCGACCTCTGCTTTTGTTATGACTGATTCGTTAAGTTTACCAAGAGGTATTTGGATTTCTAACTCTACAGATGGCTCAAACACCCCTGGCGGAGGATAGCTACCAGCTGGGGATTGAACCTGAACCAAGTCCTTTGCAGCCGCCAGCTTCTGCTTAGCTGCTCCACCTCTCCTTTGCTGTTTGAGGGAGCAAAGCGAGCTGGGACTGATGTCGAGCAATTTTCCACCACTTATGGAGTTGTTATCTACAACAATCCTTAAAGGAGAATTGCTGGCTGATGAAGCAGCTCCGCTGACAGCGTTTGGTTGCTCTAGGAGGTGCCTCTTTTTAGGAGTGAGCGCGGATTTTCCGCTCCTAGCATTGAATTGAGCCTGCGATTTAGTAGACGCAGTGCTCTTAGCAGTCGCCGCTGCTGCGGCCCACGCCTCCGCATTTAGTTTTCCATTGGCAAAGGCCACTTCCGCAGGCGGACGCTCTCCTGGAGTCAACAGGTAGTGACGCTTCTTAAGCGGCAACTTGTGGTCGTCGGGACTGGAGCTGTCATTGCTCTGGGATTTCTTGTGCCGTCTCTTAGCATTGCCGTTGCTGGTTCCACTGCCATTGGGCGTTCCACTAGCGCTGGCTGATAGCATAGCGAAGTCCACCAGGGGCTCACTGAGCTTTCGCTTTTTTAAGGCCCGTTTCAAAGGTTTGGGAAGCGTTGAAGCTGATCCTCCACCGTTCAGAACCAACTGCTGGGCAGGACTTGGGGCTGCTAAAGTGGCCTGCAGTTTGTTAGCATCGGCCAGCAGCTTCTCCTTGCCGCTGCTCCCGGTCAGCCGATCCTCCTGAATGCGACACCTGGAGTGAAAGGTGCTTGTGATAATCTCGATTTCGGTGAGCAGCTTGGAATCAATGTTCAAGGACTTGTTGTGACTAAAACTCTTCCGGCGATGCCTACGACGCATTCTGGACACCCCAGATACATAGCTACTGCACATACTGGCTGCAGAGGAGCGACGGGACTTTATCTTGCACGAGGATTTACTGGGAGCCGGGGTCTCTTTCCGCTGATTCATCATTTTACTGATAAAGTTCTCCGGGTTAGTGGCAGCCAAACTGCCGCCACGACCGAAATACTGCCCCGTGGTCACATAGCGGTTGATCTCGCCGTACTTCTTGCTGGCACTTGTAGTGGGCAGACTCTGGAGACTTGGCTTGCTGATGTACTCGTTGCTTCCTCGCTGCTCTGGCCCAGGGATAACCCCGCAAGCTGAAGGATGTCCTGATCTTCGACGGGATCGTCCGCAGCGCTCTTTAAAAGCATGGAAGCCCTCCGCTTCCGCCTCATCCTAAGCCCAGACTTTCCTGATTCCTTGCAATCACTCCGGTAGCCGCAACTCTTTGCCCTGCTCCTGCGACTCATACAGCTCTTGGTACTGTATCGACTCTTGCAACTGGCATCGGACTTATAGCCGGAGTTGTGGTTGTGGCTGCTCCTTTGGTGCCTTACGCTTCCGTAATCCGAGACGTAACCGCTCTTAGCGGCCAGGACCTTGCTGCAAATGGTAGTGCCAGCTCCAGTTCCACTAGCTGCGCCCACACTCATGCTCCTCAGCCTAAACTTCTTATTTACGTCGATCTCTCGCCACACAGGATCCAATTGCAGTTCCTCTTTATTAGATGAGCTGGAGGCGGTCTTTTTATTGTTCTGACGCCGCTTGCTCCTTGGCGGGGGATAGAGCACCCGCTCGGTGGCATACATACGCTTGTCCAGATAGGCCATATCGATCTTGGGCTTGCTGCTGGAAGCGATTGGGACTGCTCCCGTGGGCACAACGTTTTCACTTTGCATTTTCGGCGAGGGAGTCGTACTTTGCGTAGTGCTAGTGGTACTAATAACACCCGAATCGGCGGATTCATTTATAGCAGGTCCAGAGTTTCCCGAGGCGGGAGCTGCGATCACTTTTTTGGGTCTGCCTCTGCGTTTTCGAGGAATAGTGGTTTGCACCAGGGTCTCCTCCTTAGCTTTTATAGCTTCTCTTCCGGCAGCTTGGAGTTGGCGCTCTGTCCCAGCATCTGAGTCTTCTCCATGAAGTCCTGCAGCAAAGTGGACTGGTACTGGGGTAGATTCTTGTCCTTGGCCGCCTTGCGGAAGCTGCCCTCCACAGTAGTGTCCTCCGTATCGCTCTCCACTCGCTTGATGGCCGCCTGCACGAGGTTGGGCAACTCGTTGTCGCTGGAGGAGATTCCGATGTCCAGCGGGGGTTTGCCGGCGGACTGAGCCGCCTGGGAGATTGCAGTGAGCAGCAGTCGAGGAGCTCTCTGCTGGTGAACCTTTAGGGCAGATCATCCTCTGAGTCCGAGGAAAAGGCCGAGATCTGTGGCTTCTTAGACTTGGATACCTTATCCGATTTGCTAGTCCCACTGGTGCTGGCCAGCTTCTTGCGCTTGATCTTGACTTTCTTGCTGGCCGCTCTGTTCCTGGCCTCCGAGCAGCCGGACTCGGTGTCCTGGGTAGACATTTTTCTGGGCTTCAGGGGTTTCTTGTTGCTGGGACTCCTAACGGGGGGCGGATGGCCGAGATTCTCATTCGCAGGCCATCGGTGTCCGAACGCTGCACGCTGAACTGGGTGGCTGACTTGGTCGACTTCGACTGGCTCGATTGATCCGTAATGCAGTCGGTTTCCTGTGGCGAACAACACAATTTACATACATAATTCCCAGGTGCCATTTGACAGACTTGCCTCATTTTCACTGCCGGACTCTTGTGCGCGTTGCGTTTCCAGAACCTTTGCTGCTGCCGTCTCATTTTGGCCACTGCTCATATTTTGGAGTCGCTGGGGAGCTGCAAGATATTCGTTTTTGTTAGCCAAAAGCGTTTTGGTGCTCTTTTAATCTCATTTAAAGTAGGTCAAAGCGCGGCGACGACGTCCAAAAAAAACTTTTCCCCCTCCACACTTACGCTTGATTGTTTTCTTGGCTAGCACCTACACTCGCGGCTTTAATGGGGAGTTGAGTTCTTAGCGCATGGACTGTCTATTGGTCCACACATTGCATTTGCACTTTCTTGGCCTTTGGCCGTGGCTTGCCTGCTTCTAAAATGGCGCCGTTTTCACTTTTCCAAAAACTGCTTTGTTCGACGCCCGACGACGACGCAACGTTGCAACGCTTTTCGCGTGTGGCACATTAATCCGCGCTCCCGATTTTTCACTTTTTCAACGCGGGCGGCGGTGGGGCGCACTTTAATTGTTATTGTTAATGTGGCGCAACAACAAAAAGCCAGGCAACCAAAAATGTACGAACATAAATAAAGAAAAAGACACTGCGTTTTGGTTAGTGATGCAAAAAAACATCGATGCATCGGGTATCGATGTTTTCCGATCTTTAGATGATATCGATGTTAGGCAAAGCATCGATGATTTGAAAAATCGGCGGATTAATAAAGGACGTTAGAAAGAGAGGACCTACTGTTCAAATAAATGGTATCTAATATGAAATAAATGGAAAAATAAAACCCTATAGTCAAATGTGCTTTTTCTTTTTAGTAAATAATAATTGGTTATTTTGTAAACCAAGAACAAGGAAATATCTCCTTCGTAATCCAATTAATAACTAAATAAGTTAATATAATAATTATTATTTGATACGTCTTCCTTTTAAAATAAAATTGAAGTCCAAATTTAAATTCCATCACTAATTTTGGTGTAGCCAGCTGAAATATCGCTGCCAACTATCGTTCGAAACTTTCGTTTACCAGTGCAGAAATGTATCCAAACTAGCTATATATTTAACAAATTTATTGTTTTTTAATTTTAAGCGTTATCTGGACTATTTAACAATTATTCTTTTTCACTTAATGGAAACATTTATTTATACATTCAAATCCACAATATTTGACTTAAAATATATGACTTAAAAATAGGCAATATAAAAAAAAGCTAAATTTCCACTGAATGCGCCAACTCTGTTGTCAAATTAACGGTGTGTGAACACTGGCCGATCTGCTCGGCAAGGCAAGAACTATTTGTTTATTTGTGAAAACTCGGAAAATGAGTGGAAAACCGTCGAAATCGAACAGTGCCTCGAGCAGCATGCTCTACGGCTCCAGTATCTCAGCGGAGTCCATGAAAGTGATCGCGGAGAGCATCGGTGTGGGCTCCCTTTCGGATGACGCCGCCAAAGAGCTGGCGGAGGATGTGTCCATCAAGCTGAAGAGGATTGTCCAGGACGCTGCCAAGTTCATGCAGCACGCGAAGAGGCAGAAACTCTCTGTGCGGGACATCGACATGGCCCTTAAGGTACGGAATGTAGAGCCGCAGTACGGCTTCGTTTCCAAGGACTTCATACCCTTCCGCTTCGCGTCCGGCGGAGGTCGGGAGCTGCATTTCACCGAGGACAAGGAGATCGACCTGAGTGAGATCACCTCCAGCAACTCTGTGAAGATTCCACTGGACCTCACCCTGCGTTCCCATTGGTTTGTGGTGGAGGGAGTCCAGCCCACTGTACCAGAAAACCCACCGCCGCTCTCGAAGGATTCTCAGTTCCTGGACTCTGTCAACCCAGTTATTAAACTCGATCAAGGTCTCAACAAAGATGCGGCCGGCAAACCAACCACCGGCAAGATCCACAAGCTCAAGAACGTGGAGACCATCCATGTCAAGCAGCTGGCCACGCACGAGTTGTCCGTGGAGCAGCAGTTGTACTACAAAGAAATCACGGAGGCCTGCGTGGGTTCGGACGAACCGCGCCGCGGTGAGGCGCTGCAGTCACTGGGCTCCGATCCTGGCCTGCACGAAATGCTGCCCCGCATGTGCACCTTCATCGCCGAGGGTGTTAAGGTCAATGTAGTGCAAAACAATTTGGCGCTGCTCATATACCTCATGCGAATGGTGCGTGCGTTGCTGGATAATCCATCGCTGTTTCTCGAGAAATACGTAAGACTTTTATAATTTTAATGTTTTGGGCTTTTCTAATAAGTTAACCTTTCACAGCTACACGAACTGATACCCTCGGTGATGACCTGTATTGTGTCAAAGCAGCTGTGCATGCGCCCTGAACTGGACAATCACTGGGCCCTGCGAGATTTTGCCTCCCGCCTTATGGCGCAGATCTGCAAGAACTTCAATACTCTGACCAACAATCTGCAAACCCGTGTTACCCGGTAAATCTTACCACTTCAAGCTGAACTCCTTTTCTTACATTTCCTCACCCTACAGCATCTTCAGTAAAGCCTTGCAAACGATAAGACTCACCTATCCTCGCTGTACGGCTCTATAGCAGGACTCTCAGAGCTAGGGGGCGAAGTCATCAAAGTTTTTATTATACCCCGCCTAAAGTTCATATCGGAGCGTATCGAACCTCACTGCTCGGCACCTCTATGAGCAACACAGACAAGACGGCCGCCGGTCACATTCGCGCCATGCTGCAGAAGTGCTGTCCCCCGATTCTCAAGCAAATGCGCTCTGCACCAGACACGGCGGAGGACTACAAGAACGACTTTGGCTTTCTGGGACCGTCGCTGTGTCAGGCGGTGGTCAAAGTACGAAATGCGCCCGCCAGCAGCATTGTGACCCTGTCGTCGAGCACCATCAACACGGCACCGATCACGAGTGCAGCCCAAACGGCAACCACCATCGGGCGCGTGTCCATGCCCAGCACACAAAGACAGGGGTAAACAACCTTTTTATATTTATTCAGTATTAATACCCTTCTGAAAGTTTTGTTTCGTTTTAATTCTAAGCATATACTTTGTTATACTTTTCTATAAAATATGGACCTAAAGGGTCTATCATACATACTTAACCATTTAACAAAGGCTCTTATTAGGACAAGTTTTTTGTTGATAGGTTGTTTAAAAATTGTAATAGGGACATGTTTATTTGCCTGCAAGAGTTTTACCGTATTCATTATCTAGTATAACAACCTTTTAACCTGGTGACTTCTTTTATTTGCAGAAGCCCTGGGGTGGGGGTGTCGGCCCTGCCTCAGATAAGAGCCATTCAGGCCAATCAGCCGCCGCAAAAGTTTGTGATAGTCACCCAGAACTCGCCGCAGCCGGGCCAGACAAAGGTGGTGCGGCGGGGCAGCTCTCCGCACAGCGTAGTCCTCTCCGCAGCCTCCAACGGGGCCAATGCCTCCAACTCGAACTCAAATTCGAGCGCCAGCGGAAGCGGGAACGGCGGAAGCCTGCTTTCAGCCGCACAGCGGAGCAGCGAGAATGTGTGTGTTAGTGCCGGTAGCGAAGCGCCAGCAGTTGATGGTATAACAGTTGAATCTTTCAGAGCACCCTAGACGCCAACTCGCTGATCATTGAGACGGAGATCGTACGCGCACCACCCGAGCTGGACGATCTCTCGCATCTGGAGTAGCCAGCTTAGTTCGTAGTCTACATAATCATTTTGTATGCAATAAAACACAGAATGTAGGAACCTACCCCAAAAATATATCACCATACAGAGAAAAAAATATATTCATAAAATTAATTTTCAGAAAGATTTGTGTGTGTCTTAAGCGATTTGTCGCCAAAGAGCAGTAACTTTTTCAAAAAAATATGTTTAACATGTTATAGTATATTAACGTTACAAATCAAGTCCATTTTTTTAATCAATTTAATTTAATTGCTTAAAACATAATATACACAAAAAATAGAGTTATGTTGAACAGTATTTTTTAAAAATCACTGGTAAATTTTTGAAAAGTCGAGCATTAAAAGATTAACTTGTTTCTGTGGAAACCAATCCCCCCACCTAAAGTCGAAAGCTTGGCCACGCAGTCAGCACGCATGTGCGGGTATGGGCCACCAAGTGGCTGGCTATTGATTTTTCCATCAGTTCCTCAGTAAACGCACAAAGAGCTCAACACTCCTTGTAGATACCCATCGCAGGACGAAGGCAAAGCTCGGAGCAGCTCTGTCGGAATTTTTAAAGGATAAATTGGAATTCTCTCAAAAACACAGGAAAAATGCACGCCAGATTTGCAGATCCCGAGCCCGCGTCTCCGGACAGTGAAGATGGAATCGCCACGGAGTCGCTGGAGCCAGAATCGAGGCGTTTAAGCAGAGTCCCCAGAACATGGCTGCTCTGCGGGAGGTGCTTGACGATGTGGTCCTGCGGGCTGAGACGGAGGCCAATAGGCGAGCAGTTGAGAACCAGAAATCGCAACAGGTTGACTACCCAAATGTAACTTCCTTTTCTATATAACTGAAACACTTGTAACTACTTTTCAGGGCAAGGAAAAGCGCCAGAGTAAGTACACGCAGTGTGGTCCAGTACTTATCGCTTTTTGGCTACTTTGGATAGTTAATAGCTTTTACTTATGGCCACTTCATCAACCCTTTGTCAGGCACTTGGTGGCTTTATAGATCCTTGTGCACAAATCCTTGCATTCCTTTGTCTGTGAAATCGCAGCAGAGATAAAGGTTTTGAGTGCGATGGATGAATACCAGCAATCAAGGATGATGATAAGTATGTGTCAGTGCCTAGGGTTTTTCCGACATTGAAATTGCCCTTCCTATCGGGAACAACAGATCAATGTTGGTGGTTCCTGAGTGTGTGAATGCGAATTAAATAACTACTAATTAAATCCATAGAGTAAATCATAAATCTAAAATTCGAAATATTTTATTTTATTTTTCCTTCAAGACTGGATACCAAAGATATTTACATATTTTATTGCCATCGAATTTAGCAAATTTGACTTTTAAAAGCCTGATATGTTTACATTAATGTTTATGTTTTAAGAAACCACAATATAATTTTGTACGTTTTGTGTTAGACCTTTGATATTTATATCTCACGATTAAACATTTTATGTTTTATTAACTTCAGATTGAAAATGATGCTTCAGTTCTTAAGTAGCAAGCCAATTTAAATTCAATTTTTAAAATCGTTCAAAAGCTACATGGTTTCTGTTCATATTTTGCATCCACACACAGGATCCGGACTTTTTAAACTTTGAAAGTGAGATATAACAGGAGATGATCCATGTGCATGGATTTTCCTCGCCTAGCCTAAAAGCCAATATGGCAGTATAACGTTTACGATGGCGGAAACAAAATGCCCTGACTAACCGATGACAGGGAGACCTTTATAGGCCGCCCAGTGGTTGTTGGCAGGTGGCAATTAATTAACAAGAATTTAGATAAGCTATAATTAAACGCACTCGCACGCCATTTTCACTCATTGTAGACATTCCAGCTCGATTGCATGACCATCTTTTGTTGCACTTAACTTGTATTTTGCCTCTCACTGATCTTTATTTTCGTATTTTTGTACTTTCTGCGCTTCGCATGCACTAATCATTCAGGTTTCGCCATACCAGATTTTAAGAACGGCAAGGTGGTGAACCGGGCCAGAGGATTTGTGGTGCGGATCTTCGATGCCATATGCAATTGTGCCAACAACAATGCGGCGGCGGCCACGACGCGATTCAAACTGAGGAGCAACAGCGGCGGAGGAGGAGCCAGCGGAAACGGAAAACGACAGCAGTCCCAGGACGAGCCGGAAACCCTAGTTCTGACCAAGAAGAAGCCAGCCGGCGAGGGCAAAAAAAAGAAAGGCGTTAGCATGGCCGACGACGTGCAAGCCGGCGTTCGACTGATGGACTAAGAAAGCAATACAACATGATGGTTGATCCTGCAATGGGAAAACATAATCAAAATCTTTACCAATCCATCCCCAAACACAGAACTCACATCAGCAATCGTTGTCTGTCATCCTAAAAGCATTTTCTTTGCTCAAACGTCTAAGCACTAAACCAAACTCCAAGTCTTCCCCTGAAGACCAAAAATGATCGTTTAAGATGTCGAGCTGTGTCTGACCTTTTGTATTCGTTTTGCGGAGTCATAAAATGTTGAAAAGTTCTGAAAATTTAGGATATGTAAAATGATCGTTTAGATGTCGAGCTGTGTCTGACCTTTTGTATTCGTTTTGCGGAGTCATAAAATGTTGAAAAGTTCTGAAAATTTTAGGATATGTAATTATAGCAGGCATAAAATCGTATTCCCCGCTTATAAACGAAAGTGTTAAACCCGATAATATACTAAGTTCCGAGGTATAAGTATGACACACATATTTTTTTGAAAAATATTTAGCTTTTGATAAAGACTTGTAAAAAGTTTTTAAATTCTTTCTCCGGCAAGCGAAAATAGGGCGGATAGGAAAGACTTAGCTCTTTACTTTATGATTTCATAAACCTAAATGTGATCCCAGACGGAAATGTAAGCAAAAGAACTCTAAGCACAAATAACTTATAGATTAGTTAGAGAAGGAGAACGGAAGGAAAATCGTATAGGATATACACTCTCATACATTCGAGGCCATCCCACGCACAACACAATCAACGGCATTACACAATCCCAAGCGGAACCAATGCCAAGCTTAACAACTGGCCTGTCAATCTCCACCTAATTATAACTACGATATATCAAATTATATACCTATTCGTGTATACCTAGGTGTGCACCACCAACCTATTTAGATGTGTGTGTAGTAGTTACAAAATATTTCCAAACCAGCTAACAAAAGGTTCAATATACAAGCATCAATGTGTACTGATTTTATATACAATGTACTAACTACTATATACGTGTGGACATTCCTAGAGTCTTAGTTGTTTACACAAACACTTTCTAAACGCAGCACAGGTTTCCTCAAACATCCTCATCAATGTCACCAACTAAATCCACAACACACGCTCTAATCGGATATATTTTTGTGAGGCCCTTTTTGAGAGATCTATAAAGACACTATTCTATACCAAGTCCCAATTTTATGAAATCGAATACGATGAATACATAGCTAACGAGAGAACTTTGTACACACATTTGCAAGGCAACCATTTTGTATAAGGTTTTGCATTTATTTTGTAACCTTTAGAACTCAAAGATCTCCCTAAGTTTGAATGCGTTGCTAAGCCAATTGAGTATTTATAAATTACAAAATGTATAAGTGTGCATAATGCGAATATAAAACTGTTGTATTTAGTTAACAATATCAGCAATAAAGTGTAACAATGTTTGAAATCAAAAAGGGGTGCAATTTCATTTCGATGTTGTAAAGGATCTTAAAAGTCTATGGATATAAATACGAAGCCATTATGTTAATCAAAACTTTTCAATTGCCCAAAACTAATTTAATTAATTTTTGAATTATACGTTTTTCTTTCATTATGTTTGATTTTTTAAACATAAATATACAAACAACGGATGTATTTTTTTTAAGATTTCCTGAATGGTACTTGTATTGATCCAATTGTTCTAAGGCCACATAAACTTTCCTTCGCCGTTTTCAGCCAAGCACTTGGCTGTTTGGAAGACCCTTTCGCACGATTCCTTGAAAGCTTTATCTGCAAACATTGAACTATATAAAGAACCCTACTTAGAGCCTTGAAACGTGGACTGTACTTACGCGCATCCCTGCAAGCCTCAACGGATCTCTTAGAAGCCTCCATCATTTCCGTTGGTACCAGATGCGGAAGCGACGCCAGGGCCTTTGCAGCGTTGAACTCTCCCTTTTTATTAACGGTGCCCGCCATTAAGGACACACACTTTGTATAGCACTACAGGAAGAAGTAGTTAAATTTAATAACGCCATCTCAGTTCCAAGAACTAATACATATTCTAGGCTTTCTAAGAATTGACCACGATGGACATACATATTTCTTTCATACTCACCATGAGATCCTGCGATGGCGGAAAACTAAAATCCCCCACTCGAAGCCTATCGAGATCTTCTATATTGAGTTTAAACTTTGGCGCACAGCCACTCCGAATCATGTCTAGCGAGGATAAGAACTGGTCCATCGTCATGGCTGTTCCAGGATCGGGCAATAGGAGTGCCAAAACTTCCAGGACGATGGCCAAAACGGAGAAAGAGCGTTGTCTCCAGTGCTTCATGGTGGCTGGAACAAAATACGTCGACTAGCCAACGAGGCGGAGGCCTTTATAGGCTGCCTTAGTGGGACAGGTGGCAATTAAGTTCGGAGGTCCAGTAATTAAACAACGCACTTGCACGCCATTTTCACCTAATAACGAACCGTTACCCGAAACTATGCATTCACTTTTAAGTTATATTTCTAAATATAATATTAATATATAATTTTGAGGGCAATCTCAACTATCAGATTAATTAAATGCCGGAGTGATGAACATAATATGTTATGTATGGGAATATCCGCCAAGTGGTCAACCAGGACCGAAACAAAAAAATCTTCATAATCATCGTATTTTTGGCATATTTTCATAAATAAATGGCAATACACAGCATATTTAATTTGTTTTGTTATAGAAATTTTCATGAAAATTTACTCTTTTCAGTTTTAGTTCATTTTAAAGGCACTTTTATGTTTTATTATTTCGCAAGGAAAACATATGATTTGCTTGCACTTTTTCTACCAAATCTTTTTATTGTAATCTAATAAGAAGATAAAAATTCAAAGAGAGCGGAAAAATGTTTAATTTACTGCTAAAAAAACAATATGGAAAAATCGTACGTTCGCGACCGGTACTTAATTCAATAAAAACAAGGAAGAACGCTATAGTCGAGTACCTCGACTATCAGATATGGGAGGAAAGGGAAATGGAGATATGCAAGCAGCAAAGCGAGATTGAAATGCGCCACCTACCCGTGATCTCAATATGTGGTTATGTGGGCGGTAGACAGATTTAAGCGCTATGCGCGTTAGAATGGGCGTGGCAAACTTTTTTTTGGATCGATAGGTATTGACGAGACTAATACATTTCAGTTAAAATTTTGTATCTAGCATGAAAATTGTGGGCGCCACAGGCTTGGGCGGTTTGTGCGCGTTAAAGTGGGCGTGGCAAACTTTTTTTTTGGATCAATCGATAGATACTGACGAGACCAATACATTTCAGTTAAAATTTTGTATCTAGCATGAAAATTGTGGGCGCCAAAGACTTGGGCGGTTTGTGGGCGTTCGAGTGGGCGTGGCACATTTCTGAAAAAAACTTGCGCTGCTCAGGAATCTCAGGAATCAACATGCCTAATCCCATTATTGTAGCTCTTATAGTTTCCGAGATCTCAGCGTTCATACGGACAGACGGACAGACGGACATGGCTAGATCGACTCGGCTAGTGATCCTGATCAAGAATAAATATACTTTATGGGGTCGAAAACGCTTCCTTCTGCCTGATACATACTTTCCGACGAATCTAGTATACCCTTTTACTCTACGAGTAACGGGTATAAAAACAAATGGAGATATTTCCTTGGTAACAGACTCGATAGAAAGCTACATGAATCCATTTTAATAGTAACGTTTATTTATTTATTTATTTATATAATGCTAACAGTGGTCATGAGCTATAGCAGCTATAGGCCTTCAGCTCTTCTGGTTTAGTATAATTTCATTATGTTTTCTTTTGTCTATTTGAATCTAGCTTATTTCTACATGGTTAGATATTTACAGTGTTTTATTTTTATGATTTTATTTTTATTTTATTTAAATTATATTTTATTAATCATTTTAGATTTGAACAGGAAGTTTGAGATGATGTTGAAGTTGTCGATTGTGGGGTTAGCTATAGATAGGATGGGATCAATAGTAAAGTTATTGCTTTAGAATATTCCGTCCCAATTCGCATATTTTTCCATTTTACTAGATTAAGCCCAAGTCGACTTCCCTTTTGCGTACGTTCTCGACCGCGTGTTTTTGCCAATATTATGAAAATGATAGCTCAATAAACCCCATCATTTACACTAAGCAAAAAGCTAACAAAATGCTATCGAATGGCAAAAAAAAATTCAGAAAAGTTTATTTTCTTTTTTTATTTGTACTAAGTGCGTACGAACGTACGTTCGCGACCCCTGGAAGTGCCCATATTCCTTATGATAGTTTTAACTAACTTTAGAAGCTAAATCGCTCTTAAAACACCTTTGAGTGCATAAGGGAAACCCTCTGGTTTCTCTTAATTGCGTTAGAAAACTTACAAACATTTTTGTGAAAAATCCGTCTAAAAAAATTCATTAAGATATAAAATTGCAGCAATACTCAAACAACTTCTTATTATTCGTATTTCAAGTCTCTGCAGAAAGAATTTATCTTGCATCACAAAATTTTTTTATACAAATTCCGGTTTTTTTTATACAGTTGATTTATTATTGTTTTGATTTGCAAGCGTCAAAAGGCAATTAAATAGAGAATATAAGTTGTATACTTATAAAATCTTCCTTAGTATTTCGGAGATGTTACTTCTATGGAATCAAAACCCACCGAACCGGATCATTTGCGATGCACATCACGTTTTCCTCGGAGAATCCGAGTTGATCACCGTAGACATGTTGCCAAACTGTTGTTAGCAACATTGAGATAATACGCAAAATTAGGTCCAAGCTCATAAGCATTAAAGGGGACCGGCATCTCAGTTCCTCGCTTTTCACCCTAGCGATAAGCCAAGAGCAGAAAGTACTCGGATTATTCGGGCGTTCATCATATTTACTATTTAAGTGCGGTTCCCATCCCAGAAAGCTTTTGTCTGGGATCTGAGCTTAGAAATACGCGACTTGCCTGAGAGCCGCTTCATTAGCCAGAAACCCAAAAGTGTCAACGCATCGAACAAGTTCAAAAGCAGTGCCAAGGTAAATCGTAAGTAAGCCGATCTGAGCTCGGCTTCCATATCGGAGCAGTGCTTGTTGGAGAATTGCACAAGGCAGAACCGATTTAGCTGGCAACGGAAGCGGCACGCGATAAAATCCCAGTGCATTTGCAAAAATAACTCAAGATGAAGGCCTTTTTTTGGGCTATCGTGCTTTTACTGGGCTTTAGCTCGCAGCACACACTCGCCAAAACATTAACCAGTGATTATATAGGTGAGTTATCCCGATGAATATCAGTCAATGAAAGGGAATTTCAAATCCAAAAAGTCTTTAGATCTAAAAAAAAACTATCGTAATCACGTGTGTATCTCTTGAATGCACATGAGAAACAAAGCTCAATTCAGAGCTAAGCGATTTTTGTGGCAGCTCCGAGGAATATATAATTTTGGAAACTAAAAAAGTAGTTGTATTACTAGTTTTGATACTCTGAACATAGTATTTCACACTGAGAAAATTAATCTTTAAAATTCAACGTATTGGGTGCTAGTACTGGGTCAAATGGATATTTGATTTTGATTTTTAAAACGCTTAAGTCCTGATCTCGCACCTAAAATCAAAAACCGAATCTTTTAGCTTTCGTAGAAAGACATAGCCGAATTTTAATATCTTTTCTTGTTTACAAAAAAATAGTTCTATGTTTAGTGGCTTAAAGTTATAAATTAATTGCAATTATTAACACAATTGATTTCGATTTTTCTAAGTATCGATTAGATAGATTACAATCAAAGCAGTTTAAGACCATTGCTCTGCATGTATTCCAACTCAAAAGAAAAGTTGAGATACATAAGCTATAGCTTAAAATAGCAAATGAAAATAAATCCTTTCACTACTTAGACCTCCTCGACTTCAGCGATAATGACGAGTTCCAATGGGGGGAGTCCGAAAACCAGGTACATGAAAATCGCACTGGGGAAAACAATGCCGTGAATTTTTTGTCACGACATCGTCTAAACAAGCGGCAGGCTCCAACCTCACAACTGCTGGTGAGTCACTTACTATACTTATGTGTCATGACTTTAAAATTATTTAAATATATAATCGCAGGAGAACAAGGATTACGGCCCATGCAGCACTCCTTTGGGTGAATCCGGTCGATGTCGCCATATTATATACTGTCGCATGCCGGAACTTAAGAACGATGTCTGGCGCCTGGTATCTCAGCTTTGCATCATTGAGAAAAGGTACGTAAAGCTCGGTGAATATATTCGTTAAAGTTCAAGGTGGTAAACTGTTCCATATTATGGTATCTTAATTTTATTGCCGTAATGTAATTAATTTCCCACTAATAGAATATTTCGGTGTCTCAGAAACCGTCAGAGAGTCATTTGACAATTTAATACAACACTTCCTAACCACGTATGTATATCTTTCAAATTAGACCCCTAAACATTAAATGCATATATATATATTTAACAAATTTTAAAAACAGACATTTCAAAATTCAAGAAAGAAATCTTTGATAATTGTTAAATTTTAAATTCTATATTTAAAATTTATTATAACTGCAATGGATATAAAACATCAAATATTTTAATTGAATATGAAATCTTGGATTTACCAAGTTTTTGTCAGTGCATAAGTTAATTTTGAGATAATAATATTATTTAATTATATAACATTTATTTTTTTATAGTATTATAGTATTAGTTAAAAGTAACGATAACTAAATAAATGTAAAATGTAAAATACCGAAGCAGTAGCTTGTCCGATGATTGCACAAAGCAGAACTGTCAACAAGAATCCCAGTGATTTGCGCAAATAACTCAAGTGATGGGATTTTATGGGCTTTCGTGGTTTAATGTTGATTTGTAAAAATTTTACCAATGTGGAACGCAAAACAAGCACACATTTTTTCTAAATCTCCCTAGTTGCAGTTCAAATAATTTCTTTACCTCAGCTCCATAGGCATTTGCTGCACTGACCAGTCGACGAGCAACCGATTTAGTCCGCAGATCGTAACCAATCCGGACAAGGATGAATCGCGCATCGTCAATAGGCCGGAGCAGCGAGGGTGCGGGATTACCACCAGGCAGTTCCCACGGCTCACCGGCGGACGGCCAGCCGAGCCGGACGAGTGGCCTTGGATGGCGGCCCTGCTGCAGGAGGGCTTGCCCTTCGTCTGGTGCGGTGGGGTCCTGATCACCGATCGCCATGTCCTCACTGCCGCCCACTGCATCCACAAGAAAAGCAAGGAGGATATCTTCGTGCGTCTGGGCGAGTACAACACTCACATGCTGAATGAGACTAGGGCGAGGGATTTCCGTATCGCCAACATGGTGCTTCACATCGATTACAACCCCAGAACTACGACAACGACATTGCCATTGTCAGGATCGACAGAGCCACTCTGTTCAACACCTATATCTGGCCAGTTTGCATGCCGCCCGTCAACGAGGATTGGTCGGATAGGAACGCCATTGTCACCGGTTGGGGCACCCAGAAATTTGGGGGACCCCATTCAAACATTCTAATGGAGGTGAGTTAATCTACATTTCATTATTCATGTTATATACACTGTTTATTAATATGTTGTACATATATTGGACTCCTGAATATCTGATTTCCGACTCTTAACTTAAAATACATTTTTAAGCAGCGCTCTAACTCAACTTGTATATAACAAAGTTTATAGACATTTTGTTCGTTAAATAGTAATTCAAGATTTTAATATTATCATGAGGCAGAATTAACACATTTTGCTAGCAAAAATTAATTCATTTTAATACAAAAATAACTTAACGACTTCAGGTCAACCTACCGGTGTGGAAGCAGTCTGACTGCCGGGCCTCCTTTGTACAGCACGTCCCGGACACCGCCATGTGCGCTGGATTTCCAGAAGGAGGTATGGACTCCTGTCAGGGCGATAGCGGCGGTCCACTGCTGGTCCAACTACCCAATCAACGATGGGTCACCATCGGCATAGTGTCCTGGGGCGTGGGCTGCGGACAGCGTGGTCGTCCGGGTATTTACACACGCGTGGATCGCTACCTGGACTGGATTCTGGCCAACGCAGATGTCTAAAATATACGCAGTACTGTCTTTAGTTCGTCAGTACATTTAATTTACTTGGCATTAGGTTTAACAAATGCTATGGTCTAAATACACTAATTAGCCTGATAACGATCGATATCAATAAAAACTATGAACACCCGGTACACCCCCAAACTTAAGCTACGATTAAGGCCATGTCGCCGACTTGGCGGCGGCCGCGGTGGAAATCTTCTGCAGCGGCTCCTGCTCCACTACGTCGTTGTTCGTCGTTTCGGCATCGGAAAAGGCAATCTTGTAGACATCCTCGTACGTCTCAGCAAAGTGTACCTCCAGGCCTTCGGTAATGTAAGTTGGTAGCTCTTCGAAGTCTTTCTTGTTATCCACCGGCAGGATTAAACAGTTGACGCCACTACGACGGGCCTGAATGAAAGGGATTAACCAATTTAAGAAGATTCGTTCGATAGTTTTTGGCTTTAACATACTGCAATAGTCTTCTCCTTGATTCCACCCACGGGTAGAACCTTTCCCTTCAGGGACACTTCGCCAGTCATAGCCACATCTTGACGCACTTTCTTTCCAGTGGCCAACGAAACCAAGGCTGTGATGATAGTGATTCCAGCACTGGGACCATCTTTTGGTGTGGCTCCTTCAGGAACATGGAGGTGGATGTGTCTAAAAATTAAATATTTATATAAGACAAACCGTTGTTGACTGACTGACGTTTTAAATAAATAACTAAATTACATGACCCAAAACTGTTAAAACTAATTTTAAAATTATAAAAAGCACCCCATACTGACATTGTTTAATAAAGGAAACATAACTTTAAAATGTAAAGCAGTTCATCATGTAGATTACGAATTATTCAAGTTGTAAACTTAAATACAAAATGCATGCTTTTTAATTATAGAATGACGATAAAGCTTCTATCTAAAATTTGAAAATGTAATGTACAAATGTATACTTACTCCTGCTCCAGGAACAAATTCGTAGGTTCCAGCGAGTGCAAAAAGTTGCGCGCCACTGTCAAGGCTATTTGGGCTGATTCCTTCATGACATCCCCCAAATTTCCAGTGATGTGGAGAGTTCCTCCAGCAGCAGTCGAATCCGTTTTTTCCCCATGGCGTATGTGGCGCCTGGAGGTCTCGAGTACAGCGATGAGCCGCCCATAGCCGTCCAGGCCAGACCCATGACCACGCCCACCGGTGTGGTGGCGTACATGCGATCTGAACTGAAGATCTGCTTGCCCAGGAATGTGGTCAGGTTATCAGCGTTCACAGGGAAGTGCTCGCCCTCTTTCTTGACCAGACGGAAGGCCACTTTTCGTATAACCTTCTCGATGTGTTTTTGCAGGTTTCGCACACCGGATTCTCGGCAATAACTGCGGATCAGCATATTTAAGGCATCCTCGGTAATATTAATCTGCTTATCCGTCAATCCGCAGTCCTTCATAGCCTGAGGCATGAGGTACTGACGAGCGATGGCGATCTTTTCCTCAGCCACATAACCAGACATCTCAATCAACTCCATGCGATCCCTCAAGGGCTCAGGGATGGTGTCAATTACATTCGCTGTGCAAATAAAGAGCACTCGAGAGAGATCTACTGGCACATCCAGATAGTGATCCAGGAAATTGGCATTCTGTTCGGGATCAAGGAGCTCAAGCAAGGCCGAGCTGGGATCTCCCTGGTACCCTCTGAAAATCAGAATTACTCGATTTAATTACGTTCTAGTTGAAAATTTAACCTGCCACTTACTTGCCAATCTTGTCTACTTCATCGATGAGCACCAAAGGATTCTCATTCTTGGTCTTCTTTAGACACTGAATTAACTTGCCCGGCATGGCGCCCACATAGGTGCGTCGATGTCCCTTGATTTCGGCCACGTCTGTCATTCCGCCCACACTGAAACGGAAGTACTCGCGATTCAAAGCGCGAGCAATAGACTTGGCTATGCTTGTCTTGCCCACACCTGGTGGCCCATGGAAGCACAAGATCTTTCCCTGCGTAGTGCCCTTCAGAGAACTGACGGCAATAAACTCCAAAATACGCTTCTTGATGTCTTCCATGCCATAGTGATCGTTGTTTAGTATCTCGGTGGCTTTCTCTAGGCAGAGGTTTTCGGTGCTTATAACTCCCCAAGGCAAAGAAGTGAGCCAGTCGAGGTAGTTGCGGGTTACACTGGAAATAAAAGAGGATGTTAGTGATGTAAAATTCATGTGGAATAGCAGAGCTTACTTAAACTCAGAGCTGTGGCTTTCAAGGAAGTTTAGTTTGGTCAGCTCTTCGTCGATAACCGTCATTATGCTTTCAGGAACGATTTTATCCTTAAGTTTTTCTCGATACTTTTCGCCTATGGCATCTTTGTCGTCTTTTTCGATTCCAAGTTCTTTTTTAATAACCTTCAGTTGTTCTTGGAGTATATATTTACGATGCTGCTGCTTAACTTTTTCCTCTACTTCGCGTCCAATTTTTTGTTGGAGTCTCGAGAGCTCCAGTTCCTTTTTGAGTAGAGTCAGGGCCAGCTGCAGACGTTCTGGGATCTGGAAAAGGTTTACTTATTAAAATATACACTAGAAAAAATGTGTAATTCAAACTACATCTGTTTCCTCAAGGATTTTCTGCAGTTCAGCCGGTTCTCCAGCGGAAAGGGATGCACCCAAATCACACAGGTAAATGGGGTTGTCGACAACTCGTTGGTTTTGATGCAGCATCTGCTGAAGACTCTCCCTGGAAGGTAGCATTGACTTGAATAAGAATGAAATATACCCTATAACTAAGCTTACCTATACAAGGGGTTCATCGTAATAATATCTCGGAGGGTCTTGATTATTTCCTGAGTCAACGCTTTGACCTCTTCCGTTTGTTTGTAAGCCGGTTGCTTAATATTTTCCACTTCCACAATGAGTACAGGTGGTGCGCTGGGCGCGGATTGTGTGGCATCCCCTTGGGCGCCTGCCTGGGATTCCACTTTATTTCCTTCTGTAGGAGGCTTAGGCGAACTCGCAGACTCAACTTGACCTGATTTGAGTGGCGGCTCCAGCGTCTGGTTTTGTACCATTTCCTCAGCGGCCGCCGATTCGCGCGATTTTCCAGGACGACTTCTGGGTAGTCGGCCACGGGACTTACGAGATGGGTCGGCTCTTGATTTTATTGGTGCCGTCTCCGCTTGATCAGTCGTTTGATCTTCAGCTGGGATTTTTAATTTTATATTAAATAGTGGATAATGCAAAGTTGTCATTTTCACTAAGAGCAAAAACATATGTCACATATTTGGGCGCTTAGTGTGTGGTCTAATGGTCAATATGCTTACCGGGCTTGGGAGTTGGGACATCCTCGACGACCTGACCAGTGATTCGAATACGACGATGGGCCACCACAACCATACGCAGCTTGTCACCCAGATCCTGAAGCTCTTGGATTTGCGCAAATGTACCCATACTGTAGACATCATCCAAATTGTGGATGAGCTCCTCTTCGCCATCTGATTTCTTAAGAAAGACGCCTACATAAGGTTGATTTAGCTTGACTTTGCGACGCAGCAGATCCATGATGATGGGATTGGAAACCTAGTAACATTAGAAGTAGATTAGCAAAAGTTTTCTTTAAAAATGTACTTTATGCGAGGAAGGCTAGCTTAATGGATTACTATTTGAAGTACCTTTTCAGAACATTGATATCCGAGACGTTTTGGCCTATTCTCTCATTGTGGATAAAGTTTAAACTACTTTTGGCATACATATGTCACCATATTATCAAAATTAAAACGTCTTTGTTAAATGTTTCCTTGCAATAACTTTTTCGACAGCATTAAGATTTTTGTTTGGTTAACCCTACATACCCTGCCTATAAGCTAATAGTTCTTTAGTTGTTTGCGTTAATAAATACTTGAACTAGAAACTGTAACTTGTATGAGAAAAATGATAACGTTACCTCTACAATCTTCATGAAGCGTGGAAAGAGGGGATTCTTGCGCATGGCCAGCAGCGGGACATGTGGCCATACATCGGGCACCGCTACAGTGGCCGGCAACTGGGGATCCCTATCGGACATGACCTCGGGACCATGACCCTCCGACATGAGATCCTCGTCGGAGTCGTCCCGCTTGCGACTGTAGAAACGTTGGACCATCATGTTTGCTCCATGAAATCGCTCGAGGTGCGTCGCCCGAACCCGGCAGCATTGCACCAGGGACCTCTGGGCGGGACGGTTCCGGGTCCACACCGACGACGAGGCGATGCCCCGCATCATGGGACGCACTCGGATAGCGCGGGCTAGCATCTCGATGGCAATTCCAACTCGCAATTTACTTAGAAATAACTAGAAATAGTATAAAAACAATTTGCAGTCCAAATGTGTGGAGAGTGATTATGTGACGGAACGGCTGGTGAAATAGAGCTGGGGAACTGGTTACGATACTATCGAGTAACTATCGTTTGCGAGTAACTATCGCTTTTAGGTTCGAAACTATATGATAGAGATATTTCAAAAAGTCCCTTCTTTATTCAGATTCATTTCAATTTTTCAAGTTTTTTCTTTTCAAAACATGAGAAAAAATTTAATGGTACAGAATATTTACCTAAAAACCATCGATATTATCAATGTCTTGATTTTCGATGCTGTTAGTGCTGGAAAACTATTCCGGTGTTGCTGCACAGTGGAACTAGTTAAACCCTTATTTCAATATCTTAATTTTAAAAAAACGTCACAGGGCTGGATAAGCCCACCATTAGGTCAACATCTAAAATAACCTTCAGAAGAATATATATGGGTTTCAGGAGTCTTTTGACTGCTTTTTATTAATATTCCCTCAGAAGTTTAAGAGAGTTTAAAACGGCACAAACAGGAAAATATAACCCATACCTTAAGGGGAAATAAATTGTTATATTTATATTCATAGTTAAGCTATACGTACTTCAGTACCCAGAACATTTCCTTTTGGATTCTTAAGAATTCATTTTAACAAAGTAATTTTTGCCCCACTTCTCAATATTTGCATTTCCTAATCTTATTATATTCTTCCCAAGTTTAAAATAATTTGTTTAATTTTTTGGATTTTTGTCGATGTCTGGTCCACTGTATAATCAGTGTTGATAACGGGCGAAAAACAAACGGAGGACAGGAAGACGGCATTGACTATTTTAGAAAAGGCTATTTAACTGCATTTAACCATGGTTTCCCGATTTGACCAACAGAAGACCAAGCACCAGCTCTTCCACGTGTCCCTCAGCCTGGCCACCATCCTGATATGCATGGCGTACATGCAGTATCGCCGGAACTGGGCGCATCTCGGCAGCTTCTGGGATTCTTTGGTGGTCCCGATTGTATTTCTCGGCGAGCTGCTGAAAGTTATACTGGCCCGGTTCTACGGGAAAGTTGATGATGGCGTCCTGACCGTCAAACAGCGCCAGAAAAAGGCCTCGTACTTTACGCCGCGGGAGCTTCTCGGGGGATTCACCCTGCAGTTCCTGTGCACGCTGCTGTACGCCTTCATCTGCATCATTTTGGGAGCCCCGGTGCTGGGCAACTACGAGCAGACCTTCGTCCTGGCCTTACTTATGACCCTGCTGACGGTGTCGCCCACTGTTTTCCTGCTCGGCGGCGGCGGAGCTCTCCAGGTTTGCTTCTGTGAGAAGCCGGACTTTGTGACCAAGTGCGAGGATACGGCGCTGAACCTGTTCAAGTACAATGCGCTGGGCGGGATTCTGGGCGCCTGGGCCGGAAGTGTGGTGGCGCCTTTAGACTGGGGACGAGACTGGCAGGCATACCCCATTCCGAACGTGATTGGAGCACTCTTGGGCAGCGCTCTGGGCAATATATACGCCTGTACGCATGTCCTCTATGCCACGGCCCGTGTTTACATGAGCAAGAAACGCACTTAAATCTAACAATAAATGCTATAAATCCTGCCACCAAGATTATTACGTTGCGCTGCCTCTGAAATCCACACACTCATCCACTAAGAACCACGTCATCTCGTCTAGTCAGCAGCTTAGGAACTACCAAAAAGCAATTAACACATTAATGTTACATATTTAAGCATTTTACTAGAGTGTAATATTAATAAATTCTTTTTAAATCAATCAATTAATAAACTAACAAATTATGAATTTAACCACAAAGCGCTAATGACACTTCCGAGAATCCAAGAAACCTTTCCACTATACATATGATCGGATAAAGCCACTTTGAAGTGGGTAATTATAAGATATTACAATTTTTGAATATAAATATAAGTATTCCATTTTATTTATTTGAAGTTTTAGCCCTAATCATATCAGCAGTTTTAAATGGTTTAATATCTGTCATTCGCTACTATCAACAATATGAGGCATAGAACTGACCGAAAAACATTCATCATTATCGTGCCATTAGTTTTTAGTTGGTGAGATCTAAATTTTGTCCAGGCATCGTTTCTGATCAAGAAAATATACAAATTATCATCCTTGAAGAAACGAATATTTGATCGATTTCAGCAACTTTAAATCAACGAAATGATTTAAAACATATTTCAGCATCTCATAACTGATCCACAGAAACATATAATTTACAAACACAAGGTGACAAATATTTTAAGCTTTAACTGCCATCACAAAGCTCTCATCCTCCAGAAGACACCGTTGGCCCACATAATTATCGTTAGGCTCCCAATAGTCCTCTTCTTCAGCGTTAGCCAGGGGTTGCCATGCCTCCTCATTGTTAACCGCTCCCTCTGGAAGTGGGAATTCCCGACCGTTATCTATGGGTCGTCAGGCGATTGTCTTCTTCGCTGAAAAGCTCCTGTTGGAGCCGCCGGACAGTGACCCGTCTCATAGAGTTTAGAAAGCTTAATGAAGTGCTGGCCACAGGCCACTCGCTGACCCTCCTCCCTGGCCACCAGTGCACTCCAACTTAGGGCCAGAGTGGCATGTGGCACATAGCCTGCGATGCTTGCGTTGAACTCCTCCGTAGAGATATTTGTATTGAAATAGACTGTCTCCTCGTTAGTAAGGAAACTTTGCGGTTCATGTATCGTCGGCATGTACTGATCAACTTGCTGAGCGTGCTGGGCAGGCATGATCTTCAAATGGGAAAGACGCGTTTGCAATAAAGATTTGATAGATGGAATGTCTTGGAATTCTTCTTTTTTGTCCCTTTCCTGTAGGCGACACTGGAAATTGCAGCAAATGGAAGACTTGAGGCACTGTGATCCCGCCTGTCCCGGGCTGACTCCCATACTGTTCATAACTATAAAGAAGAGATATCGAAGTTAAAAACCATATTATTTAATAAAGCTTTCCGTACTTACTGTATAGCTTATCTGGATTTAAATTAAATTCCTTGGAGTACAAGGAAATCGAGTTGACATACACCTCCGTTCCTTCTGACGCATGCTGATTCTTAACGTTCATATCTAGGCCCAGTTCATTCGTCACCGCGTTGCTAACCACACAAGTGGCGTCGACCTGCAGGCAACTCTCAACCTGCAGCTGCCAAATATGCCGAACCAAACGATATTTTATGTGTGAATTAGCTCCTGCTGGCAAGGAGTAATAGAAGAGCAGGCGTAGGGTAAAGGGTCCTGCTTGGTGTGGAGCTTGCAGCCACATGGAGATGGTTTGCGCCTGCTGGGCATCTAAGGCAGCTAGGCCTGGGCGCTGTAGCAAGCGGAATACTCGTTGTCCACGTATTTCCTTGTCCTTTAACGAGCTTGTCATTTGATAGATTGCGGAGGGCTACAAAGCAATGTAACATTTAAAACAATATACATAAAAATGATTTTTATTTACTCACAAGTCATCATAGCTAGTGGCATTTGGCTGTGCTGATCCAATAGGGAAACACAGCGTGGATTATCGCATCCCAAGTAGATCTCCTCAATCGGAGCAATTCCCAGATTCCGAAGCGTGACATGAACTGGTATAATTTCACCAGCCAATAGCCGACTGGGGACAGGAGTGAAGCTTACACTCATGGCAGGCAGTTGAGGGACCAATTTGATTGTTAATCTATTGTCCAAAACAGTCTGCGAGGATTGCTTGGCGTTGTGAGGTCTGATCTTTTGCGTTTCGAACTGCAGCGTACCCAGGAGACTGGCTGCAGGATCCGCACTGGCTGCTACTCGGCACACTACTCCCAGAACGTTCAGGCGTCCAGTCAACTTTGGAGTCAGCTTGAAGTGCAAAGTTTCTTCAGCTTGTTCGGCCAGTTTAATGGAAGCCACGCAACTCGTTTTAATTGCTGCACCAACAGCTATTTTGCTGGCACTATCCGATGATTCCTCATAAATGCAAGCGTTGGAGAGCACCTCCTCGTTGTCCAGAGTGAGTTTCCAAAGAAGATCTATCTCGGATAGGGCTATGCCACACCGAACGCTATTGGAGAGGCTCACAGCCAGCTCGATGGGCTCACCCTGCACTGCAACAGGAGTTTCCAGTGCAGGTTGCTGCTTGGTGTACAAATATCTTGAGGGCTTAAACACGAACGGCTTATTATTGGCAGCCGTGATGACGAGCATCTCCTCAATCTTGTTCCAAATGGACTCATCTGCCGTCAAATTGGAGTTGATGTCTATGTTGGTGGCTGGCACCTGAGGTGCCACAGCCGATGGTGATTGCACTAGGGTAAGAACACGAACCGAAGATTGCACTACTTGGGGCAAGGCGTGTGGTAACAAGCCCAGCTCAGGACTTCGCTTCACAAGTTCCTGAAAATTGAATATAATTAAATTAATGTCAAATATGGCTTTAAAAAAATCAGCTTAACAACAAAAAAAGTTTTTTTAGTTCTTGATTTAAATAACAATAAAGTAAAGATAGATTTTAAACCAAAATATTAGGATTTCAACAAATTATGAGAGATTTTCTTACGTTTTGCGTCTGAATATACTCTTTTAGGAAGCTCGTCTGCTGCTGCGCACTTTGAAGGCTTCCAGGTCTCAGTAAATGGGCAAAGGAGCGACTGGCCTCCTCAAGTTGTTTTAGCATATAGGCCTGCTTAGCCACCGTATACTGAATATGATCTTCAGCCAAGCTCCACTCGCGCTTCTGGAAGACCTGGTAAGCCTGTCGATAGCAACGATATGCATGCTTTCTTTGGCCAGCGCGGGAATAACGATTCCCGGCCAGCACAATATGAAAGGCATACTTTCTATGCATGGGCGGCTGGGTCACCAGGAAACAGTATGCTGCCTGTTCCAGCAACAGAGCTGAGCGAAGATCTGACTCCTCATTGGTCATGCGAATCAATTGCTTGGCAACCTCGCTATACAGCCGCGCTGTTTTTAGACATTCCATGCTTAAGAGCGTTGCTCTGGTAGCAAATTGCTGTAATCTGAAATATAAAAATTATCAGGAACTGCTTGGGAGCTTTAAGAAATCCCACAAATAACATACTTGCACACTGTGAGATAACACACAATTGCATCCTCCATATAGTCATAGGTTTTCCGTTGAGCAGTACCCAACATAAAGGCGGATAGAGCCGCCATTTCCAAGGCCCCCGCGTAGTATTGCCAGGCCGAGTCCGCGTTAAAGTCTCGCTTGGCTTGATGGTAGGCTTGGAAAGCCAAATTGTAATGGCCAAACATGAAATAAAGATCGCCTAACTTTCGAGTTTGCAGTTCTGCAGATTCGTTTGTGTAGCTGTAACATAGAGTTTTAAAAGTAACAGGCAATATACAATTTCGCTAAGGGACATCTTACATGACTGCATTTTGATTGTTTGCTCCCGCTCCCGGCTTGCTGGTGACGAACCACCGTTTGGTGGCGCTCAATAGGGACTTGCTGACGCCCTTTTTGTTGGTCACTCCCTCGGCCAGAATGGCCACCAGATGCTCAATATAGGGTATCAACGCACGTACAGCATAGTCCTGAACAAAGTGCCGAAGGTTGTCGATGTCCCGATTGGTCAGACATCCGCCGTGCGGAGCATCTGCCTCCAATTCATTCGCCCACACATTGGGATTGATGGTTTGAGAGGCGATGCTCTCGCTGCTAATGTTGAATTTCGAATTGATCGCCTCCGTAGCGCTCTCCTGCATCGGACTTAGCGGATGCAGCATGGCCAAATCGGTATCCTGAGCATTGGCTCCGTCCAATAGCTGCGACATCTGCATGGCAGGCATACTGATGACAGAAACAGCTTCCTGCGGCGATTTTGGTGCACTTAGATCGGTAGAGGGTAGGTTTGCATCGCTTTTAGGCTGCCTTTTGATAAATGTTGCCCAGTGATCTGGAACCTCTGCTGCACTCTGGCCATCCAGGGAGTTAATGGACACCAGGAAGCACTTGCTGTCCCCAAAGGTGGATTTGAGCAGCTCGAATCCCTGCTGCGCCTTGGATAAATCCCCCTGGTTGGCCTCGTGCAACACCACATAGCTATTTAGGACCTCGGTGGGATGGAACCACTTGGGCAGCTTCTGCGGCGTGATGCTCTGCATCTGCTGCACACGTTGACCCAGTTTATGGGCTGTCTCCACGATCTGCGGATCCGCGCTGGAAAGCACCAGCAAGCAGCTCAGAAGATGGCGAGTGAACTCATGATCCGCCGGGAATTGCACAGTCAAAAAGGTCTCCCGCCATTGTTCGAACCACGGTTCCGAGGTGGGCAAGTCGAGGTCTATGTCAGCTGGAGAAGGGAGGACTACATTAGCACCAAGCAGTTTTGTGTTAATATATGGCTTACCTATAGTGGCCAGCCTGGTTTTGTCATTGTGCGCATTGGTCACCGACTCATTGAGCATCTTCCTGGCCAAAATGGTCTGCGGCGGCCGCCAGTCCACATCACAGAAGTTGAGGCGTAGTCCACGAACGGATACGCTCGTCCCGGAAACGTCCCGAAAGTGTGCTAGAAGTGGGTGGTATAAATACATTATAGCTTTCTAAACACTGCTACGGTGGAGTGTAATTTTAATTGATTTTGTCATGATGATTAAATATGTACATATACATATATATATATTCAAAGCTAACTTACAGTGTAAGACAGTGAGCTAACTTAAATTAGAGCGCTAGCAACTAAGGCTTTTAACTCGTATGTGTTATTTTATATCGAGATAGCTTTCTTAAATGGTTTGGATGTACATAAGATGGAATGAGCTACACCATAGGATAGGATAAAATTTTGTGATAACGATATTCTCAGCCGCTAAATTACACCTTCTTTGTTTTCAAAGCCAAGCAAATTGTTGGATAACCGAGACGAATCTGTTGGGGAGACGTGCTATTTTTTTGGCCCCAGCTGTGCCTTGTTTACCTCACCTCACATCCACCCATTCCCCACCCCACTTCACCCACCATCGTTTGGCAACTTTGCGAACGGCTGCAGGAGCTCCACGAAAGACAGGTTGTTCCGGTGGCAGATCTCGTCCGCCTGCGGACTGGACAGCACGCCGATCAGCGGCGAAAAGATGTTCCGGATTATGTCGCGCGCATTGTAGTTCTGGCCCGTCAGGTGCAGCATTACTTTAACTATTTACAAAGAAAACCCAAGACACCTCAAACTGGGGGGAGCAATTAGAGCTGGAACTATAACGAATTAACATCGATAAAATCGATGGTTCCAGATATCAGACAGCATGAAAATCCTATCGATTGTTTCATTTGGAACGCATTCAAAACAAATAATTTATACCCCTTCCTATAGAGTCCATACGTTCGAAGCGGTTGGGATTTTTGACAAATGTGAGTCTCCGATTCCCACAGAGAACATCCACCATATGCCATCCGATAACAGCTGATCTAATCAAAACCTGTTGCTTCTGCGCCTTCCATTTTCGATTGTTCCCTACATCATTGTTTACGTTTTCGTAGTGAATGTTCCAATTTCCACTGTCAAGAAAAAGAGCTCAGAGTTGCAATTTTGGATGGGGAACTACTGGAAAATTTTCGAAACGAAAGTGGTGGAGGTGGCGAAAGTGGTGGATGAATCTCTGTGGAAAGACTCTATTAACGCAGTTATTAGCACAAGGTTGACAGTGTAACATCAAGTTGGCTCTACAAATCAAATCAAAAATGTAAGTTTACTACACCCGCCACTATGTAACAGCGATTTAATTGTGGTTCCACCACCATCAATAAACTATCGCCGTAGACTATCGTTGCATCTTGACATTCCATCACTTAGCGTGGTGAGTTTTTCACCACCACTTACCTCGCAAAACGGGCACACTGAAGCGCGGGAAAGCCATCAGCTGTCATCACAAATTTTGCGAGCAAAGAAAGCGGACAAATTGCGATAAAAACGGACAATAACCCATAAAAAGTGCACAAACCTTAGAAAAAATAGTACACCAACAATCAGCTAGCGTTGCATCACAAAAAAAAGTGTTTATCGAGTGTTCTGCAGGTTAATTTCGACAAGGAGCGCAATTTCCGCACGGAACAAAAGCAGAACCTGCTGAAAAAAGCGCGCCGTTGAAGGCGTCTGGAAAAACTCCGCCTACGTTTTCCAATCCCCGAGGTACAGTTACTGCCATGGCCAAGGTGCACATCACCAATGTGGTGGTGCTGGACAACCCCAGCAGCTTCTTCAACCCCTTCCAGTTCGAGCTGACCTTCGAGTGCATCGAGGAGCTGAAGGAGGACCTCGAGTGGAAGATGATCTACGTGGGCTCCGCGGAGTCTGAGGAGCACGACCAGGTCCTGGACACCATATACGTGGGGCCGGTGCCTGAGGGACGTCACATCTTCGTTTTCCAGGCGGACCCGCCGGATGTCAGCAAGATCCCCGAACCCGATGCAGTGGGCGTCACCATTGTCCTGCTCACCTGCTCCTATCGCGGCCAGGAGTTCGTCCGCGTGGGCTACTATGTAAACAACGACTATGCGGATCCAGAGATGCGTGAGAACCCGCCACCGAAGCCCCTCTTCGACAAGCTGACGCGCAACATCCTGGCCAGCAAGCCGCGTGTCACCCGCTTCAAAATCAACTGGGACTACGGGCACATCAACGGGAACGGAAACGGCGTGGAGAACGGCCACGACGAGGAGATGGCCACCGATGGTCCGTCCACATCGGAGGTGGCGTCAGTCGTTGTCCAGCCGGAGGACGACAACAGCCTGGCCATGCCCATTGAGAACGGGATCAAGGCCCTGAACGAGAACTCCAACTCACTGGCCATGGAATGTTGAGAGCTGCCGGCAGTCCAAACTATGACCACATCAACACACACAGCCTCTCACTCACACAAACACACGCTGCTATGGTCGACGACTTGAGGGAATACCCGACTCGGACATTCGTAGTACTCGTCCCTCTATTTAAGTAACTAATTATTAAAGCAACAAGTTAAATATATATGTATACATTAAATTAATTCCTAAACCATAAGCATTCGTTATCTTTGATTACTTTTCCGGCCGAGTGCACTCTAGAGCAGTTTTTGACTTTATTTTAAGGCGCTATAAGGTTTTTATACAGCTTACTTTGCTTTATAACACGAATTCCATTAGTGCAAATTCGAATGCAATTCACATGGGGACATTTTTGAAGCACGTAAAAGAACAGTTAAATTTCGAATGAACATATGCACAATTTATGCTATTTATCATGACGTATTATTTTTAACGACTCAGCGCGGTATGAAAAGCGCTTTCATATATACATACATGATGACCAACACATAATTTTTCAAGAAGATATGTTTAAAAATTTCGGTCTGTTGGGCCATCTGCAGGCCCATTTGAATTTAAATTTAATTTAATTAAAGGGTATACTGTAGTCGAGGCACTGGACTCTAGTTTTATTTTCCTTCATGATTTTAACTTGGAGGAGGGATAGAAATATATATATACAATTTTCAATTTGTATTTTAAATTCTTCAATGATAAAACCAATACGTGTAAATAAACTTTTTAATGCATTATTTTGCTTATCGCCATTTTATAAAAACACAAAGTACATACTATAACAAGGAAGAACGCTATAGTCGAGTACCTCGACTATCAGATACCCGTTAATCAGCTAAATGGAGATATGCATTAAAATGCGCCACCTACCGGCGGTATACAGATTTAAGCGTTATGGGCGTTAGAGTGGGCGTGGCAAATTTTTTTTTGGACCAATCGATAGGTATTGTCGAGACCAATACATTTCAGTTAAAATTTTTAATGTAGCATACAAATTTTGGGCGTCACAGGTTTTGGCGGTTTGTGGGCGTTAGAGTGGGCGTGGCAAACTTTTTTTGGGTCAATCGATAGGTATTGATGAGAACATTACATTTCAGTTAAAATTTTTATTCTAGCATCAAAACTGTAGGAGCCACAGTTTTGGGCGGTTTGTGGGCGTTAGAGTGGGCGTGGTACTCTACTGAAACAAACTTGCGCTGCGCAGGAATCTCAGGAATCTGCGTGCCTAATCCCAGTATTGTAACTCTCATAGTTTCCGAGATCTCAGCGTTCATACGGACAGACGGACATGGCTAGATCGACTCGGCTAGTGATCCTGATCAAGAATATATATACTTTAGGTCGGAAACGCTTCCTTCTGCCTGTTACATACTTTCCGACGAATCTAGTATACCCTTTTACTCTACGAGTAACGGGTATAATTATTGTTTTGTGATTAGCCTAGGTATCAATACTTCCTATCTGAAATACTCAGCTAAATTTCAAGTATAACAAAAACTAAAAAAGGAAAATTTCGTTGTGTAAAATTAGATTTCCAGACATTCGAAAATGCCGATCAGCCGACAGGACCTGCACCGTTTGGCCAGCACTCCCAGCTGCGGTCCTCGTTTGACCAAAAGCCAGACGAGCAACACGTGAGGAGAGCTCCTAAATTGGGCGATTGTCAAAATCTAATCCGTCTTCCTTCTTATTCTTAGGTATATCAGCTATACTGACATGGGTCTGGGCAGCAAGTTCTACGGCGGAGGATCTTCCAGGGGGGAACCCAGCTGCGATCACTGGCAGTTCTGCGAGAAGGTGCCCAATCGCTCGGAAGTGGAGGCCGACTCCTTGGGCAGTCCCGTTGGTCTGGTATGCTCGAATGCCACCTTAAACAATCCCTGCGGAAGTTCTCCGATGCAGCAGGAGGCGAATGTCCTTAATTTCGCCACCTACCTGAAGGCTTTTGCCTTGATTTATGTCCTGCCGGAAGTGGATTGGACGGCAGAGAAGATCGACATGCTGCTGGAGGAGGGCACTGATTTATTCCGAGCCAGCTCCGAAGTGGATCAGGGGAAGGACGTTCAGGAGGAACACAAACTGCTAGAGCCGGAGATCTACACCAACGAGGAGAAGCGGATTAAGAGAAACTTTAACCTTGAAGGGCACACCTTTACCTTGGCATTGGAACCTCGATATCTGGGGGCAGGATCGAAGCCCCTGGAGCACCAGCCCCCGCATACCATTGATAATCTAAGGCCAGTGCTTATCAATTTCTTCAAGTCTAGCCGCTACTGTCTCCTGCTCACCCGAGTTGGCCACCTGCTCATCTGGCGGCGCAGAAAGGTGTTCTTTGTCCTGGACGTGAAGGGCAGAAGGAAGGAAGACCTTGAGACCGTCCAGGATAACGGGGTGGCCATGCTGGTGTGCCTTAAAACCATAGACAATGTTGTCCATCTGGCCAGCAACTTGAGTGGCATTTCGCCCCAAGACGAGTTCACCATTCGGGAACTGGTGGTTGTTCGTTTGGAGACCCCAGATGGACGCATCTATATGCGCGACACTAGCCACCGATCCATCGAGTTTAAGGTGGTAAACAAAAGCTATGCCTACCTGAAGGGCACTTTGCACCTCTCGCTAAACGAAGATGATCTGGTCAGAAACCGGAGCAGCCTGATGGTGGCCGTGGGCTCAATCCTGGCCAGCAAAATCGATCACCCGGCCAACTGGGACACCAACATGCTGGATCGTTTAATCTGCTACGGAGTGGAGCTTTGTCGGAACTGCTGGTCGGATTGCTTGAGGGATCGGCGACCCATTGACCTGGACACATTTCCCACGCAACTCAGGATGGGCCAGTATGTCCTCGAGCTGAAGCTGATCCCGAATGTGAGAACAGGCCACTGGAAGTGCGGCGTCCGCATCATTGGCACCGACTTCGAAGCGCACGTCTCGGAGGCTCTCAAGGAGTTCGGCAACGTGGTGTTCCAGATCAACAACCAGATGTACGCCATCTGGGTCAAGGATGAGTTCTACTACCTGCTCGATCCCTATCGCCACACGATCGTGGGCACCCATGTGGTGGAGGACAAGGGAGAGGGCGCCAAGTGGGCCACGGTGCGCATGTTCCGCGACCAGCTGACCATGCTTAGCGTGTTCCACCAGCTGCTGAAGGAGTCCAACCGGCAGTCGGCCTACTATCTGCATGTGGTGCGTATCCGTAATCTCGCCGAGTGTCCCGAAGGATACGCCTTGGCTCCGCTGACCGAGGACGTGGACAATCACGACGTGAAGTCCCTGAACGAACCCATCCTGTTTAATGAGCAGCAAGGGGTAAGTGTCTGTAATAAGTCCCTGGCCGATATCAGCGACTACGAGGAGGATGTTATCAGTCGCATAGGGGATAAATTCGACATCGAGAAATTTCGATTCTTGGATAAGCGCCAGGATGCAGGTGCAGAGTGTGAAATGTGCGAGGAGGAGTGTGAGTTTCAGACCGAATGTCGCATTACGCCCTGCAAAAATAATAGTCCAGGCGCCTGTACAAGAACCAGGATGCCCACTCTGGAGAAAAGGGGACTTCAGGGAAATTTCGAAAAGAAAACCTCTAAGAGAAACGTGGAACTTGCCAGGCCTTCAATAATTAAGGGACAATTTGTAAATTCCTATAGGCAGACTGGCGGAAGGTCTTATATTCAATCAGCCGCAAAGTCCCCTGTACGTTTCACATCTAAGGCTGTGACATCTCCGGGAAGGTTTATAAAACAAAATACGAAATCCTCAAGACAAACTGGCGGCACGGGTTTAAGCTATATTTCTGCCAAGTCCCCTGAACGTGCCAGACCTAAAGACGGTTTATCTCCTAGCAGGTTCCCCGTAATTTCTACATCTCCAGAAGTCTCTTCCCCTGGTAAAATTCTACAAAGAAGTTTAAAATCCCCCAGGAAAATTGGTGGCAGGTCCCCCGTATGTTCCAGGTCTAGAGATGGGTCGTCTCCTGTAAGGATTATGAAAAAGATCTCCAGGCAAACTGGTGGCATGTCTTTTAGAGATTCACCAATTACAAAAACCTCTAGAAAAACTGGCGCAACGACTTCCAGTCCTACCGCAATGTGGTCTGCACGCTCTAGATCTAGAGAAGGGTCTTCTCCTGGAAGGATTGTGAAAAATAATATAAAGACCGCTAGGGAAAGTGGCGGCAGGTCTTATAATCATACTCCCTCCAACTCTCCTGTACGCTCCAAGTCTAGACACAGGCCATCTCCTGGCAAGACTGCTCTTAAACGCTCTTCAAAGGGAAACACGTCAAATGGGCCAAGTTCCAAAGTTCCTAATGCCAAAGAAACAATTATTTCAGATGCCCCCAAACTATTACTGCCCCACCCTGCAATCAGTAAAAGTCCCTACACCAAACCTGTGCCTCCGAACAGATCAAATATTACAGAATCAGCAACAAATGACCGAACACCCCACAAAGGCGAAGTGCTTCAGAGAGAGGAAACCAGAGAACGGGCAACCCTTAATGAATCGGCGAAGATGGCCTTAACTCAGGGTCACATGCTCAAGCAGTCCGTGGATAAGTCCAATGGTCTTGGCGTAGCTCCTGTGGCCAACGCCCACCTTAACACACCCGCTGTCTCGGATTTTGTCCGCCAACTAGACCAAATGGATACAACTACTCTTCCGTTGCCAGGTTTTCAAACAGCTGGGGATTCCAACGAACATCCTGAAGGGTGCTGTTGCCGTGGTGGTGCAGAGGATACCACGGAGAGAAGCGAAAGGCAAGCTTCGCTGCCCAAATACCCCGGTTTTAATCGGGTGCCCCAGCTGCTGGCCGTCGCTGGATCCGAGAGTGGAACCATGGAGAGCCTTAACCGGGTGCTGGGCTCCGCTTTCAAGGTGGCCAATCGGGTGCTTACGATGACGCCTTGGGGCAACTACGTGGTCTTCAGGCATCATCCCACCCACAGGTCGGAGTCGGAGTCGGCGGCCTCGTTGTTCTACTTGTTCGATGGCTGTACCTGTGACATTGACCGATTTCGGCACTTGGACCTCACCACGGGCACTGCCGGCTTGATCGCATTCCGCAAGCAGTCGGAGGTGGTGTGCCACATTATCGATTCGCGGGAGGAGAAGGCCTTTAATACGCTGCGCAACCAGTTGGAGGATCCTCCCCATAAAAGGATGAAAAAACTGTTGGTTCGTTGATGCTCGGAAAGATATTTTTCAAAATTAAATTGGCCATATAAATAAAATTTTTAGTGAGCTAAACTTCCCATATAAACGACTGTTGGAATTTTACACAAACTGTTTTTGACAAAGTAAATTTAAGCAGGCACATTATTATAAAATGATTTTATAAGTCAGGTGCAAACTTACATATAACTCGTTCAATAGGCTTTTAAATAAAGTATTTGAAATTACTAGATACAACGTTCAGAGTCAGCAGGATCTGCTGGTTTCGTGGTTACAGAGAACCTAGTTTCCAAAATAGTTGCTTTATAGACAGAAACATCGATGCACAGGACTGCCCTTTTCTTGTTATACCCGTTACTCGTAGAGTAAAAGGGTATACTAGATTCGTCGGAAAGTATGAATCAGACAGAAGGAATCGTTTCCGACCCCATAAAGTATATATATTCTTCACTAGCCGACTCGATCTAGCCAAGTCCGTCTTACCGTCTGTCCGTATGAACGCTGAGATTTCGGAAACTATAAAAGCTACGATACTGGGATTAGGCATGCAGACTCCTGAGATTCCTGCGCAGCACAAGTTTGATTCAGCAGAGTGCCACGCCTACTCTAACGCCCACAAACCGCCCAAAACTGTGGCTCCTACAGTTTTGATGCTAGAATACAAATTTTAACTGAAATGTATTGTTGTCATCAATACCTATCGATTGACCCAAAAAAAATTTGCCACGCCCACAAACCGCCCAAAAACTTAATAAAATCGTAAATATGAACGTGGATATCTCGGAAAATATAAAATATAGAGAAATGGGGTCTCAGATTTAGATTCCGTAGCCTTGTACCCAGCGAAAGTTTGTTACGCGAATATGCCACGCCCACTCTAACGCCCACAAACCGCCCAAGCCTGTGGCGCCCACAATTTTCATGCTAGATAAAAAATTATAACTGAAATGTATTGGTCTCGTCAATGCCTATTGATTGATCTAAACAAAAATTTGCCACGCCCACTCTAACACCCATAACGCTTAAATCTTTCCAGCTTCGATAGGTGGCGCATTTCAATCTCGCTTTGCTGCTTGCGTTTCTCCATTTCCCTTTGGTCCCTTTAGCTGAGTAACGAATATCTAATAGTCGAGGTACCCGACTATAGCGTTCTTCCTTGTTTTTTAATTCAAGTTTCTATATATGAATATATTTAACTTTTGTTTTGTCAAAATACTTATGCAAATATATGTTGTCCGAAATAAACACTTTTCCAAGGTTTTCAGCGTTCTTAAATATTTGTATTTTATTATTATGTCTAATTCGTATGAGTCGTTAAAATTAAACTTAATATGGAGTACTTTTACATAATATAGAGAAAAGTCGCACTCGAAGAAACGACACATCTTACGAAGCTAAACATCCAACTAGTGTGTAAATATATAGAATATATATGTATGTATATATATTGAGTGTATATAGAATTATTTTAATTTGTAATTCGTTTTGCAGCAGATGAACGATTTCCAGAAGGGCGAAACGTATTTGACCAAATATATAGTTATTTGCTCCATAAGTTGTCTATTACGTCTAGAAAGCGCTCATGGCCACGTCATAGCCGCGGTTAGATCTACCAGTTATATTATTTAGATTCTCCAAAACATATTTTTATTTCATTTCTCTTTTTGTGTTTGCGTTAAGGCACTGAAGCTTGGAATTTTGTGCATATAGAAAGTAAGATTTTGGTTTATCAAATGCCTAGCTCCCAGAATAATTGGGAACTTGTATTCGAATGCGTCTACCAAATAATACGTACAATGCGCATCTTAAAAAACACTTCCCTATCAAGTTCTTAGCAAATTTTGTTTTATAAAAAATATCCCTGACTATTTTTTCTCCCTTTCATTACTGTTTAATGCCTGAGGCCAATTCTATTATTTTGTTGCTTTGTAGTTCGATTTTTGTGGGGGCGTTTGTTTTTTTGTGTTGTGGTTCAAGCTCTTATTATCGAAACAAAAATTATACTTAATGGCTTAACTACATATACAATTAGGACATTCTTTAAGTATATTACAAAGGCAGCTCTCTAAGGACAAGAATAATGGTAATATTAACTAAGTCTAATGCAAAATTATATTCAGCAAAATAGGAAATGCATGTGATACGAGTACGACACGAATAAAGATTGCCCCTAACCCAAAAGGCTTTGTCTATCTGAAATCAAATCCTCCGAAACGGTCAACGCTTGGAGACGGTCTTTCACTTACACGGGTACATATAAATTGAAGGAGTTTTAGATCTGGACATGAACATAGATAATACCATACAATTTGGGGCGATTTCTCGTTGAGTATATAAGAGATAGTTTTTGCTGCCTAACGTGGACAACTCTAGTTTCGGGGTTTGTTTAGGAGTTCTCACTTAGGCTAGATATCGTACTAGGTTAGACCATATTGACGGCGCCATCAGCCTCGAAAGTAGGTATGGATATAATATCGCTGCTTCGCACGGCGCCCATCGGCAATGCTTGGCCTTCAACCGTGGTTTTCGCGGCCCGATTCCCCTGCTCGTCATCGCTGGAATCACTTGAATCGTCTTCGGGCTCGCTGTAGCTGTTGGTTGAGGTGGATGTGGCCTGAGCTTTCTTCATGTCCGCTATGTCCGTGTTGCTCTCCAACGTCGAGTGCTGACTGGAGGGCGAGTGGCTGTACTCCGAGGTGTTCTCCTCCTCGTCGGAGACTATGACAACATTGCGCTTGTGAATGGCAATCTTCTGGGAGAGTGGAGCCTTGTAGCTGCGGCGGGGTCGCATACCACGAGCAATGGGCAGGCGGCCAAAGCTGGAATGGGGGAGGAATTACATTACTTCCAACTTATTGCACAAATCTCCTGAACTCACCTCTTTCTCCTCAGGGCGTACTTGCAGTCCGTGGTTTCACCCTCCTCATCCGACCAGCTATCCTGCTCGTGGGACTCTCCGTTGGCATTGCTTATCGAACTGCCGTTGGGATTATCCCCCAGTGGTTGTTTCCGCCGCTTGCTGTGCGTGCTGCTGCACCGACTCAAACATGGACTGTTGCCGCTCTCCCGCAGTTCCACAGGCGAGGCTCCTCCTCCTCCGTTTCCATTCTCGGTATTGCAGTTGGAGTTCGTGTTTGACTGAATGGACAGGCGGTTCTCATTGATGAATTCGATGACTTTGCGGCCCAGGCGCTCCAGGTTTTCGTTGTCGCTGCAGCACTCGGTTATGTCCAGTCGCTCGTTGCTATTCATGACATCGTCGATGAGCTGGTCAGGACTAGAGCAGGCATCCTGGTAGGTCAGCTCGCTGGTGCTCAGCGAGTTGCCGTTCGACGGACAGGCGGGGTTCAGGGCGCCAGCGGCGGATGATGTGCTTCCGCTTCGAGCCCTCGCCTGGGCTTGAGCAATTTTCTGCACCCTCTGCAGTTGCAGCGGCAGTTGGCGATGGTTCAGAGCTGACACGTCGATGGGCTGAGATCGGGGAGCTTCTGCGCTGGGACTGATGTCCGTTTCACTGACATCCATGGCGTCCGTTTGTGTTTGCCGCTCCACCAGCTGCACCTTTCGGTTCTCCGGCTCGCTCTGGTAGCGGCGATCTCGCGTCGGACTGTATTTGGGTGGGGCGCCAAAGGATCCGGAGCCATTGCGTCGATGCCGGAAGTTCTTCTTGTTTTTGTTTGGCATTGTGCCACCCATGCCGCTGCCCGGGATGATGTTGGCCAGATACGATTTGGGCTGGCAATTGCTGTCCAGTTGTGCATATAGCATGCACTTCACAGGAGACTGATAAAAGAGAAGGTAATTGTTTATACAATATTTCAAATCTTTTAAACGCAGAGACTATGACTAATAAGTAACGATTATTTTTAGTCTTGGTATTAATTTAAAAAGAAACCGAAAAAGCTACAATCAAGTACAATGACCTTAAATAAAATATGCTAGCTACACTTTAAAGTTGTATATCTAAAACAACCAAAAGTTTACTTTACTGAAAACATTTCGATTGGCAAATATGAACTGACTTAAGAAGTGTAGATGCCAAAAAATGGTATCAATCCCACCCGAAGAAAGTACACTGACCCGTTACACTATGTTTTATGTTTTTATCGGAATAAAAACGAATGAATGAAAGCTATAGTGCATCCACTTAAAACAGCGTATGTTGATTTTGACTGCAGTATAATTTGCTATTATTAAGCTCTGTGATTTTCTTGGGAAGTGTACCAGTTAAAAGCAAAAAAAGGGTTATATAGATTGTATTTTATACCTCCGGAGTGGTTTCTGGATCGGGCGTCGTTGATTGTTGTTGAAGGGCAGCCGGTGCAGCGTTCAGTCGTCGGCGGTAGTGCTGCATTTTTCTGAGTGTATTTCCCAAACGTCTCGTCGGTTTGTAGCCACTGCCAGGTAGCTTCCGTTCACGCCTGGTCAAAATTTCACGGGAGTTTTTAAATTAAAATGGTTTAAGGGGCACATTGCTGCACTTACTCTGCGATTTCCTTCTCCTTCTCCTGCAACTGGGACATGCACTCGCTGAGCTCGAAGAACAGCTGGTTAGTCTTCTGCAGCTTCTCCTCGTACACCATTCGGATGTCCTGGGCATGTCGCCACTCTGCCGTGCGCCGCTTAATCAGATCTTGCTCGTACTTGTGTATGCTAGTTCCGTTTTGGGTAATCTCCTTCAGGTGCGATCTGACCTCCTCCTTCCAAGACTTTTGGGTCTCGAAATATTGCTTTTCTGTTTTTCGTAGGAGTTCCGGGCCGGCGATGTCCAAGTGCGAGAGAATCTGCCGGAACGAAGGGCGGTTGCGGGGCTTGCTCTTCCAACACAGCTTGACGAGCAGCTTGAATCCCTCCGGACAGGTGCTCGGAACCAACAGCTTGAGCGAGTTGTTGCCCACACCCCAGATAATGGCGGATGAGTCGACATCCTTGTAGGGTATTTCGCAGGTAAGCATCTCCCAGAGCACCACGCCGTACGACCAGATGTCCACCTTCTCGGAGCACGGTTCATTCCGGATCACCTCCGGTGCCATCCAGGCCACTGTGCCGGCGAAACTCATCTTGGTGCTGATCTCGTTGAACTCGCGACTCGTGCCAAAGTCGCTGATCTTGACCACCTCATTTGTACTAATCAGTATGCTGGTTGTTAAATAATTATATATTATTAATATTATGTCGCTTTGCCGGTATTTTGATGACTTACTTGGGACTTTTCAGATCTCTGTGTATGATCTTGTGGGAGTGCAGATACTGCATGCCTAGGGCGATTTGCTTGGACCAAGAGACCAAGCGGGACGGTAACATGACTTGCTCCTCCTTCAATATGTTTTGCAGTGGTCCATATGGACAGAACTCCATGATGATGCAGAACACCGGCGATTGCGTGCAAACTCCTCTGCAAAGGTAAACCATATTTAAATAGAATTTTGGTATGGGGTCTTATATTAATATTTTAAAAGGCGTCGTGCAAAATATCCAAACACAAGCTTGTGATGTTTTTAGACCCCTATTCAAAAATTTGATAAGACCGTTCCTAGAATTAATTTCGTCAACAAGATGTTAGTTCTTAATAATTAGATTTGTTTTCATTTAATATTGTTTTTTGCACAACCACAATATGACTATATTTATACTTTGGTATGTGTACATTTTAAAAAGGTACCTTTAGTTTGGTTTGATAAAAGTATTTTTGGTTAAATATATTCGTTTTTAGCAACGTTTAATTTTTAGTCAATAAAAATATGTTCATGTTTAACTCTCATACTCACTTAAACTTAATAATGTTCTCATGATCGAGCTTCCTTAGATGCTTGATGTCTGTTTCCTTGAGTTCCTTCACCTTCTTGACAGCCACAATCTCGTTTTTTAGCTTGCCACTAAAGACGGCTCCCTGGGCTCCGCTCCCGAGCCACTCCAAGTCCGTGATGGACTCAAAGGGAATCTGCCAGTCCTCGCTGCGCTGACTCTTCACCTCGATCACTCCCGACTTCCCGATAAACGAGAGCACGGGCTTCATGCACCCTAGGAGCCCGTACATCCAGCCGATCGGCTTGTCCGGATGCCCAAAGGCCGCCGCCGCCCCTCCCACGTGGGGTGGCCACCGCTGTTGGCACGTGTTCTCCGCACTGCTGTCCGTGATCTCCGCATAGTTGTTGTGATGCTGCAGCCGTGGCGAGGAGTCCAGATCGGGGGACTTGAAGGGCAGGTCTGTGGCGGAGAGGCCTAGGTGACCGAACTCATCTTGCAGGCAAGCCATGCTATGAAGAAATGAAAATACGTTGCTGATTAATAGAAAATAATGATAGTCTGGGTAGTAATTCGTGATCACAAATAATTAAACGTATTTCAAGTAAACAAGAAACTTAGCAACCAAATTTAATTTACAACTTCCTTATCTTCCTTTTAACGCCAAAATAAGTTTTGTAATATTTTTTTAAAGCAATTTATATGTATTCATTTTCTAGTAACCGGTAAAATGTCGTCAAACAATAGAGTACTAAAGTACAGGAACTTCACTTCCCTAAAACAAAACTGTAACCACCTTTGCAGATTAAAGCAATTTATGGTTTTAAGATGTTTAAATTTTCTTTCTTCAATCGGATAGGACGGGTAAAATAGATATGAAGTATCTTTAAAACAACTGAGTTAAGGAAAATTTATTATGTCTGTTCGGGATTATATAAGTGTTACTACACTCTGTAACTAAATCAATAGGCTTCATAAAATGATCTTCTGAAATTGAAACGTAATGGTTTAATTTTTTTTTTTAAGGGGAAGTTCGCTGCCTCCAGAAATTTTCTAACAGAAAAATTGTTGTGTCCACTAAAAATATCGATTCGGAGTGCTTGGTTTAAATTATCCATAGCTGGAATTTAATTTGTGGCAGATGGTGATACGAGGTGCGTAACCTGGTGGTATTATCTGCACAGAATATTACTCTTAAAATATAATTTGAATACTTCAGAACTTTTTTATATCATGACAATATTATAATCCTAAATAATGTTAAATAATAAAAATATTATAACATGATTGATCTATAGATTTTTTCTGTGTGTCTATGGGAAACTACGCATTTCATTAACACAATAGGGTTAGTCTATCACAAATTGCTTGGAACAGTTTTGCCCTTCCTCATTTCCAAAAACAGTTAATTTCAACTTCCAAGTCTCCAAACCTTATCAATCAATTATAAATATTGGTTGGCGCCATTATTATCAACTAAACTGATTTGCTCAGGTTCTCTCTATCATTAGAAAAATGTCGCTATAAATATGGTGATTACGCATAACTTTAAATAGTACTTTATATAATAGTACTTATCGAAATACTTACGTAGGTGATATAAAAATCAACCTACACCCAGCATATCAATCGAAAGAGAACTTCGCAAAAGCCATAGTTTATTGCTAGTAAATCGCCCTTTTGATAATCAAAGTGCTTTTCGCGATTTCTATGTTTACACACGCCATAATAATCATTTTTTTGTGCTGACACAGTGAACGGGCACAAAAAGCGAACTTTGATAAAAAAAACAAGCCCGTGCAAATAAATATTAGAAGCGATCGCTCGAATTTCAGTTCTTCGCGTACACATACGGACGAAAAAAGCCTTCCTGTTGGAATTCGTGTTTGCTTTTCGTCCGATAAGATAAACAAACACAGGACAATGGGCGTGGGGAGGGGTGGAGTGCAAATGCGGCAGCAGGTGAAAAAACATTTATCATTTATCACTGCCAGAATGGCCATAGAAGCCACAACAACTCCGAGTAGAAAGTCTGATAGGCGAAATCACCTGCTGCTCACTTACACTGATGCGCCTACGCTTACATATAGAGCCATTCACCGTTATTTTAAGATTTGCTTAGTATTGGAATTGGAGATGATACCTTTGGTTAAATTGTCCCCCCAAAAAACGAACCAATTCCGGCTCTAAAATGCATTTTCGTTAAAAAAAATAAAAAAAACATTTTGTTGTTTTGACTTATTTTAGGTATTCCATTCTTCATTTCTCTCAAAAATATCATTAATGTTGTCGCAATAGAAGGGACCGTAAGTAAGAGATATTTGAGATTTTTGTTTGAAAATGCCAACAACGATTTTTAAATTTAAACGTAAAAAATAATACTCTTTTAATTATTTACAATAATAATATTAATATAATGATATATTTTTAAATTTCCAAGTCAAGACCCCCAAAATATTACAAGTTTTAGAATTCATTCCTATCGAAATTAATACAAACACTGGTAAGAGATTCGCCGCAATATGTCCAAACTAACATGTCATAACTGAATTTAATACTAAATCTAACATTATACATAAATATGTATGTTTTCTGCTAGTGCTGACCTCTTCACAGGTATAATTTTGATTTTTGTCAGAATAAAAGAAGTTTGTTGAGAAACATACATATTCGGCCATGTAAATTACTTATTTATGTGTGTGAATATTGTTGAAATATAAGTAATTAAACAAATCATACTAATTCCACCATGTTTTTTGATCCTGCCTTTTTCGTGTCACGAAGTCGAGATCACCACCTCTACCTGTTGAGCATCATTCACACAAACACACATTCGCACAAGTACCGTTCTTTGCTGATTATTTTTGACAACAATATAGCCGTACCGCTCGCACCCTGTTAGCGGCAGCCATGCAAATGTCAAAAACCTTTCGTTTATTTATGAATTTGTGAAAAAGCATTAATTTCCGTCGCTAAATATTAATTGCGAGCTGCCGGCCAAGCACGTTTTGACCTTTGGCGTGCGGTTCATAGAACGCGGATATTTGGCGGCGTCTTCCCATTTCGATTTCTCATTCTGCATAGGTCAGCGGTGAATCTGTGAGATTCTGTGACTCAGTGCATCTTGAGATACTTTCGGTGCTTTGAGGTTTGTATGCAATTTACCTTTTTTCTTTGGTGATGATCATGTCGGGCGGATCATTGTGGCTAAAAAACGGTATGGTGTAGACCATGGTTTATTTTTCTTTCTTTTGTTTGCTTTCGTAATTAGTTGTAGCGCACTAAGAATTTCATTCATTCATGCGACGCGACTGCATTAATGCAAATTTTTACGCTCGCTTTTCGGTCAACACTTTTTTTATTTTTGTTTACGCACCGAGCCAACAACAAAAGTTGGCTAACTTTTGATTTTAAGTTCGTGCCAAGCACCAGCAGCCACCAATAAAAAACAACAATATCAAGCGCTTTTTGTCGTCCGATGTACGTATAATAAAAAAAGAAAATGACGTCAAGGTAAGTTGGTATGGTTTTTTGTTGTTTATTACAAGAAAAAAGAGACGAGCGAAGCGCGTAACACTTTCGTTGGCGGTTTTTCAAGAGTGTTGGTTACTGGCTGGGGAAAAAAGTGTAATAATTTCACGTATTTCGCCAACTGCGTCACTCCAACACACAGACAGGCGACTGCAAACTGATTTGGCGATAAGCCGTGTTTTTGTTGTTCTTGTGGCACAAATACACGAGCGTTATTTAAGGCAGGCTCGAGAATTCACGCGCGAAGAGCGATCCGTCAGATACGATTGATTTTCGCCAACTAAATCGCGACTCGCGAGCGGCAGCATAGCGGTAAAGCTCCCCATTATCACTATCAGCGCAGCTTTCGCATGCGGATTGTGCTCTCTCCTCTCGCCCGCGCTCCCACTCTGCTCTCCATCTGCCGTTATCACTCAGCATTGTTGTTGTCAGACTGACCGCATTCCCCAGCGCCTGTATCTAATGACCAGCCACGCGCGGGCTCCCCAAGCCAGGCTGTCATCTGGCCACACTCAAAACCAGTCTCCATGGCGGGGACCACATGATCAGAGCGCACACACACACACTCTGACAGGTGAGCGAGCGACTAGGAAGTTTCTCAGCTGCACCCCCCGCAATTTATTTCCCCACTCCACGTACAGTGGATACTGCCTATGGGAAAGGCCCGAGCAGCCGTAAGTTTTACGAACCTTCATCATTTGAGGGTTTTCCCTTGCTTATCGGCTAGAACAAGCTATTAAAAGTGTATAACTTTCGATAAGACATTTTTAAATAAATTTAATAAATACATATGAAGTTTAAACTAAACTAAACGTTGTTGTAACTATTAAGTACATTTTTAAGATTTTTATCTTATAAAGTGCAGATTTGAATCTGAATATCTTGTAATTTTAAGATCGAGTTTTTTCGTAATCATGGTTTTTAAATTTGTAAATCTGGGGAATACAATAATTAAACATGAACTCGACACCTAGTTTAATAACTACTGTGTTTACTTTTTATCATTTCACCACAAGCTTTTTGCTTTGCACGTGTTTGTTAACGTTTTTAGTGCTTTGGGGGTTTTTTGCACCGATTTCTAATTAATCTTATTGAAGGCACCTAGTCACAAGTAGGAAACTGTCTAAAGTTGACGCTCCCGAATTGGGAAACTAGAGTCTTGTATCTATCAGATAAGGCGCACGATTTGTAGAGGTTACTCAATTAAGCATTTTTAAGGTTGCTGATCGTTCAACCTGTTAAATACTTTCGAGCGTTCTGGTAACTTGAGAATTACATAAAAAGTTGTTTACAGTGGGCCTTGAAGGTCGATTACCCCGCTTAATTAAGCACGATTTTTCGGCGTCTTCTTAAAACATTAATTGAAAAGTAAAGTAGAATTTTTCGTTCTCAATCACGTATAGTTTTTAACTTCTTTAATGTTCAGACCTCAGCTGTCTACTTATAATGGAATCGGCTTAAATGTCAGCACAAGGAAGTTGGTACTTGGCCAACAGAGGAAGAAGCTGTAGTAACACCACTCAAAGAAAAACATTTAATACTTTGCCTATAGCTAACGGACAAAAATAGTTAATCTACAAAATGATATTAATATAGTACTATACTGGATACGGTTCTTAAAAGTTTCATTGATTAATAGTTTAGATGTCTTTTTTCAAGAAACTAGTGCATAAATTATCGAATTGTTGAAAATAACTGCTCACCTCCTTCGCAGGTTGTCCGTTTGATCCAGGGAGAGATTGGGACTGCTGCCGTGGTGTCTCCTCCGGCCGTAAAGTTGTTGTTGTTGCCGGGATGCGGCAGCGGCGACATTGACCAGATCATCGCGACTTTTGCTCAGACTGTCGCTGAACGGTTGCATTGTCCAGGATTGGGTTTCGTATGGTGGGTTTCTATTCGGTTCTTACGACATCCTGGTCAAAACGGGGTGCTACATGTAGACATCACGGAAATTAATCAATTTTGTTGGTCAGGGGATTCCCTTTTCAGTCGTCACACACACACGCACATATACTTGTAATCTTTTATCAATGAATGGCGAAAATCAATAAGAGGCGAACGACGTCAAAAGGCGCAGGATATGCGCGAGCGAGATAGCAGTAGCACCCACGCAAAACAACACACACACAAACGAATAAAGAAGGGTCGATTGCATTTGTCAATTATTCACTTTGCATTCCTCGTAAATGTTGTTTTTCTTTCACTTTCAAACTGCAGCCCGAGCTATTTTTATGATGCCTTTAAAAGGCGAATTGCACAAAGAATAAGCTCACAGATACAAACTAACACAGGTGTTCTTTCATGTCTGTACACAAAAAAAGATTGACATCAAATAGGTTTTAAAATTCAAATTCAATTTCTATTTGTAAAAATAGTTAAATCAAGGGGGAATTCAGCCCTTTAAAAAATGAACTGATTAGATTAAGAAAAGCCGGTGTTCAATTCACACTGCATTCTGATGAATTTTTATATTTTAAACATAACATTGATGTTAAAACACAATATCCGTACAAAAATTTAATTTTTACAAAAATGGGTATATAAACAAACTTGTAAATAAATCACACGAAATCAACTTTTCTTTCTGTGTACAACTCGACTTCTTCGTTGTTCTTTTTCGTATTTAACTTGGCCAAAGCTAGAACATAACAAAAACAACACGCTGAAATGCTGCCAGAAGCACACTAGCGCACTTTCGCTATTGCTGTCCCGTTCGCTCTCGCCAAGTCTGTCCTCTCGCTCGCACCAACGGCGGAAGCCTTACAGCGCAGCTTTGTGCTGTTGCTGCTGCTTCTTCTTCATCTGCTGCTGCCTTTTGCTCGCTCTTTCGCTCTTTTGGCCAAGAAAATCAATATAAAATTCTTGTATTTGCACATTTTTCACACACTTTGCACACTTTTCCAGCAATTTTCCAGGGGAAATTGCATCGATTGCTTTAACTCCTACTTCGATTTGGTTATTGGCGAAGAACTTTTAATTGATTTCAGCTTGAAATGGAACAATTAAAGACTGGTTTTCTGGTTGTCTTTGGGTTCCGCAGCGAAACGCGTTTATTCCGACCAACCGTCCGCACCAAAGGTAGATACAAATCGAATAAAAAGCAGAAAAAAACTGGCTGCTGGCTTTGGGCCGAAACCCAATCCGCTCTCTCGCGGATTTCCTCCCTCGAAACCAGTTTGGAGCGCAGGTTGCATTGCGCATGTGTGCGGGAGAAGAGAGGAGCGCGAGAGAGCCATGGCCAACCACAAAAAAAACAGCACTTGCAAGGCACTCCGCTCTTGTTGTTGTTGCTTCGTTCGCGTCGCCCCCTGCTTTTCTCCTTCTCTTGCCCTCCCCTCCCCTCTATAGATGCCAACGAAACTGGCTTAAAAGTTTAAAAGCTCTGGTCCGCAACGTGCACGATCGTGTTTGGTTTCCCAAAAAACTTTTGGCACCTGGCCGCTGAGCTTTTCTGGAGAGAATGCGTATGATAGTAATAAATCAATTTCGGCTTTCGAAGTTTCTAATTAGTTTGCTATTTCCCATTAGAGAACATTCAGTGCGTTTGGCACTTTTAATGCAAAAACGATGGTGATGATGATGATGGTTTGCTAATAAATGAATATGTGTTTACTTATACATATATACAAAAAGTGGCAAAACCTATTTAGAAAAAGTACTTAACAAACATCAAAAACAACATTTTTTTGACTGAAAAAAAGTGTTTTTACGAAAACTATACATAAATGTAATGTTCATATTTTATATTTATGTGTCTTACTCTTTGGTAAAGGGGTTCCAATAAGTTTTGGAATGAGTGCCTATGGTGATTTTTACGTATAGGTAATGCCTCAAAGGATAAGATGGCATTGCACCGCCAACATAGAGTAACGATACATATATAATTATGTCCTAAAAAATTCTGAACAGCGACAGTCAACAAGTTACTAGATAAAGTGCCAAAATTGCTAGGAAAATTTGTATTCAGATTCACTGTAATTAAACTCGAGGATCATGTTGATGCCCATTAAACCGGCCAAGCTCAGAAGCAATTCAAATGTTTTAAATTTTTTACAAAAATAAAAGAAGAATTCTCGGAAATAGACCGATCGCTTGGAATTCTGAAACTTCAAAGCTTTGGTCCAAATTTCTCATAGGATGTTATTTTTCTGAGCATTACAGCAATGTATTTCAGTTTCCGAATTTTTCTGAAACTATATTATCGCAGCTAGTTACTAAGCATTTCGTCCATACCCAGAGATGAATTTTCGTTTTGAGCTCAAACTTTAAGATTATTTTGGTTTAAACAATTATACTTAAATTAAAGCATAAACAAAACCGAATGATAAAAGTCGGTACGTCATAGAATCAGTAAGTCATAGAACTCGGCACGTCATTGAAGAATTGATATACAAGCGTAGAGCTGTGAAAACGGCGACTCTGAATTATGTCAATTCCCTTGCCCTCCTCCTCCATGTTTGAGCAACAGGTAGAACCAAAAATTGAAAAAATAAGTGCAGCAGGTAGCATAATTTCTACGTAAACAAAGATGACTCATACCCACAGTGGAGGAGGGAATTCTTTGGAGACCATGTTTTGTGGGACATGATTGGTATTGGTGCCCCCTAAATACTGGAAAAAAATGTTGAACAATCGCTACTACAATGATCTTTTTTACTTTCAAAATAATAGTAAAAGAATATGTGATAATTATGATTCTCCTCAAGGTGAATTTTCAAATTACCTAAAGTAATACTTACTGGAACAAAAATGTGCTCCGAAAAATGAATAAAGTGTAAGTACTTATATTATATTTAAAAATGATAAATTTCTGATACCGAAACAACTTTGACTTTGAAATATTAAGATACGAAAGGGGCTAGTTGAAACCCTTGTGGGTATGTCTAGCTTAGATCGCAATTGGATGGTATAGTTGAAATTTTATATTTATGTCTTTACATAATGAATAACAAAAAGATTGACAAAAGGAAATAGGAATAGCGTCTAGCCAGAGAAACCCTAAATGTAGTTTGAATAAAATAGGTTAGGTGTTGCAATTTCCTGATTTCTCTCAGTGGACTTCTTACCAATAACACAATATACTTTTCCCTCGTTAGAGCAACCTTTTCCCTCACACTCTTTTTCCAATACCTTTTTTGTTTGTTTTGTCCAATAAATTGTTATGCTGCATGCGTGCTTCTCAGGCGTTTTCTTTTGGTCCATTGCGCATGAGTCATAGGATTTCAGGTCTTTGTAGACATACAGTGTCCCAGTCCCAGAGTCCAGGCTACAGGTTTCATTCCCGCCAATCAGTGCCACACAAAGAAGGGAGTGGGTAATAATTTCGGCATCCGAGTTGCCTTTAACAAGTCCAAGTTAAGGGTGGATGAGGATCATTGAGATTGCCTTTTGTAGTGGCTGTTCTCACCTTAATAGTGTAGCAATCGAAGATAGGGATGATATGGAATGTTTTCTACCGAAAACTTATTTATCTTTGCGGGGATCTTCAGATAAAATATTTTCTGCCACATTTTTCTGGAATTTATCTTTCAACGTTAATTGAATAATTGTTGTTCTATTTATTACTTTTCGTTGAAAACTAATCAAGGTATTAGTTTTCTTAGGTCAAATATCAGATAATGGATCTACCTCCTAAATATTTGATATAAAATTAAGTCACCAAATATAATTAAACAAATTTTTTTTGGAACCCCTAATAAGATTTATGGTAAAATTTAGACGTTAACTTAAAAATGGTATGAAATCTTTTTAAAAATCCTTCAAATTTCTAAGGGAATTGTGATGAATTTGATCCAGTAAATAATATATACACAAAAATACAAGAGAAATGTCTCATAATGGTTCCACCTTTAACATCCTAAGTATTCGAATGAAAATAATGTCATCAAATATTTTTTAAAAAAAAGGTTCAGATTTCTAATCCAGTTACAAAGCCGTTCGGCTAGTAGTAGTGTGTCTCCACTCAGTTCCGAAGCGATTTGCCATCAAACATCCACAGTAATATTCGCTAGAAACTTATAGAAAGATTTTTATAGAACATGCTGAAGTTATTACTTCTATCAGCAAAGAAAATAATCATATATAAAAATAAAATAACAATTTATTTTTCATTTTCTTTATTGCCAAACTTAAATACATATTTTAGGATCTAATCTATGACAAACGTGATTTTGCACAGGAGTTAGATCTTTAAATGACATACATATATCGGTTTCAGCAAAGATCTATTTCTTAACATTTTGTATCAACTAAGTTGTAAATGCTTAAGTTATAATTAAATGTAATTATATTAAATGACAGACAATGCTTCGTGCTGTTAATTAGATTTACCCTTATCAGTGCTGTCAAAAATACCGGAGCGAGTGCTGTTCAAAAAATGTTGCTTGGCACATTTGGTTTTGATTTAATTGTTGAAAAGCTTAGTGGTTAATAAGTACGAATTGGTTGTTTAGAGCTGCCACCATTAGATAAGGAAATGATATAGATAAGATTCTGTATTCCAGATATGCAATGCAAATTATACTAATTAATGACATTTCATTCTTTGTCAGTTATGCGACAGCGAAGTGTTATCAAAGATCAAAGAAATAAAAAATGCAAGTAAGGATGATTTTCCAAATGAGAGTAGCCGATGGTTGGGTCTCTACGTGAGAGCATTATGTGTAATTTAAAAATTGTTGTTGATATTACCGGGAGGGGTTTTTCGAGGTCGGGAGTCGGGTTCAGTAGAGCTTTAGGTATATCGTAGATATTAGGGAAGCAACGAATACGCATTTCGCTGTTAGAAGTAATGGTGGAGTACATATCGAAAACGAATCTATAAATAGTAGTCACAAAATTGAGATTATTAAATCAGGCGTATATCCTTTGTAGCACAAATTAACATTAGGTCTTCAAGTAGTCAATTGTATTCTGACTAATAATTTTCTTCTAAATATTTTTGTTATAGTAACTTATACATTAAAAATATCAATATATTTAACTGTCACAGAACTGTTTTCGCTTAACGCACTTAGGGGCGACTTAATAATTAATACTGGATCTGATTCCCCTGACCACAGTGCGTTTCGAAAACATGGAAATGTAAGTAATACATTTTGAGACGCTTAAACAAAAACGTTGTGATGTGAGAACTAAGATTTCTAAGATGTAAGGCATTCCAATTTAGGAAACGCACTGAATATCAATTATGTAAATGGGGATATCGTCCTAATTGACCTCCCAAGAATCGCACTCATGTCAAGTATTTCCCAATTCACAAATATTGTCGTTTTCACACTACTCTTTCTTGTGATTAAATTTACTTTTGCCTTTACTAGCCTGCAAGAAGATACTTTTGAGTTATGATCTCTAGAACTTCTTATGCAGCTCTTAGTCATTATAATATTAATTATTGGTTAAGACTTTATGTACAGTGGGATACTGTAAGATAATACTCGGAGGTGTTACAGAAATTTGTAGTTTGGCAGACCATATAAAAAAGGCAATAATGTTAAACTTTATTTTTTAAATATTGCCTTTAATCAAGAATTGTCCGTTCCATCTCCGATTAAGAACACATTTCTTTAGCTATAATTGGGTTAAGTTTCTTGAGAAAAGTTGAATATCATGTTACATAGATTAGTTATTTCTATGTCTGTTGTAACCGCTATGGTCCAATATCTGATTTAAGGTTTTAAGGAATATGTGTTGGTTTACCCTGTAGACATTCTTTTCTTGTTTATTTCTGTTTAACGTCCAACGCTCGGAGCCTATAGATATATATATTAGTTGATATATTCTCAGGTACGCGCTGCATTTCTCTAGTTAACATTCCCCTTTCCGTTTAGTGAATTCTGCTAAAAGGAACATTGATCTGCTTTTAAGTTTATGGGCTGAGCTAGCAATAGTGTAAGCTTTCGGTAAAGTGGGTAACTTCTAGAATCCCTGTGGATTATCGCCGGACTGTGGCTGCTCGCCCGCCCCCAGCTGCTCCCGTTCTCGCAGGTCCTGCTCCTGATCCTGGTCGTTCTCCTCCTCATCGCTGGAGTCCACATAGTTGCGCATAGCAAGCGCCTGGAAGTCGTTCAAGGCCTGCTCGAAGAGATCAATAGTGTGTTGGTTGTGGGCGATCACCTGTTGGGTGTTCCTGAGGTCCCGCGTAATCAGGTCTTGCATGGAACTCGAAGCAGGTGAGGAGGCAGGCGAGCGCCCTGTTTCCTGTGGGTTTGTGGAGTTGGTTTGCTCACCGCTGCTGCTGCTGCTCGGATCGTCGCTGATGTTACTAGCTGCAAATCCCCGTGTGAGCTCGTCCGCATGCGCCAGCGTCGAGCCGATTATATCGCTAGCAATCCTGATTGCAGCATCCGTCGCCGCAATGGTGGATATAAAACTGGAGGCAGCTGCCGCCACGGTGGCTGAATTGGCTGTGGTGGCTGGTCTGCTAAAGATGGTGTCACTGGTCACCTGGTTGCCTTCGATCCGAAGACCGGCCACGCCTTTTTTGGGTATGGTGGCCAGATCTCTTTTAACCCGGCGGCAGCGAGTGGGCTCGTTTTGACGCTGTTGGACCAGCTGCTCCAAGTCCACAATGTAGACGTATCCCGCTACCAGAATGGTGCAGGATTTGTCGCCCTTCTTAAAGGCGTCTTCGATATCCTGACTTGTGCGGTCATCGTATTGCCACCAACCTGAAGTTACACATTTTTACAAGAAAAATACTCGGAATGGGATTGGGTCTAGTCTTTTTTTGATGATTTGGGCTTTGAATCACAGTATCGTTTTCTGAATCGGTTTAAGTAATGGGTACGGGAGTGCGGACAGATTGGGATGAGGGTGGGTTATATGCTTAATTCTAAAGTTTAATTGTGTTTTTGGTGCTTGCTGAGCCCGGCGACACCTTTAGTTCGGTCTGGGAGGGCATCTGTGGTCTTGCATCGTAAAATATTGCGACGCTTTTCGGGACTCGAGTGGGGATATTGCTTCATCTGCATAAAGTCGATAGCGTACATAACCCCGCAGATCTGTATTAACAGCCTGCCTGGATGTGTTTCGGTGTCGTTCAGATCCCCGGATTCTGAGCTTAGCCAACCCACTGAATTCATCTCATCATCTTCACTTTCGTAAAAGGAAGAATGCGAACTATCGGCTTCGAAATAAAGTGATCTATAAGTGTTGACATTTAAAACATGCAACATGTTATCATCTTCATCAATGGTATGGTTTTCGAAATTGGCTGAATTGTCATCGTAATTAACTGATCTTAGAACGTCAAGACTTAAATGTCGATAAACGGGTGGATGCAATGTGTTATCACCTCCATCAATTGTATTGTTTTCGAAAGAAGTTGGAGGGTCTGCATTGACTATTGGATTATTGACAACGTCTGGAGCTGGACGAGTCTCAGGAACTTGTGTGTTCTGAACCGATCACGAAATGGACGTAACATATCGTCACCCTCATCAGTAGTATCGTTTTCGGACACGGTTGGAGGGTCTGCATTGACGATTGGGTTGGTGGCAGCCTCTGTTTCAGTTTCCCTCTTGGATTTTCATAGTCCGCATACGCGATCTCGATGTCTTCATTGGTCCGAGAATCGTAGGCCCACCAGCCCCCTAGATGTGCACGGTGCATGATGTTTTCGGTGGGGTTTATGGGAAATAAGGGGCGGCCGACACCAAAACTGTAATCGTACTCACCATTTCTGCCTCGTAATACCACTGGTAGCCATCTTCGGTCGCACGAGTAGTGCAGATGTCCTCAATGCCATTCACAAGCTGGGGATGGTCCAGGAACTCGGCGGGAATTTCGCGGCGGCACATAGCACATCGTCGGTTTTTGTAAGCAACGCCCTGAAGGTCGGAAAATTATTTTAATAAGTTATAAAGAAGTTTGCATACCAAAGTTGTAAAAATAAATAGAATACAATTGTAAACATATTTGAGTATGCAATTTTATAAATGTTCAATTTTTCATAACATTGAAGAAAAGTAAAATTCCTGTTTAACAGTTTAAATTGAGAACAAAATGTATAATTTTCACATTTGACTTAGGAAGTTAGGTTTGAGAAGTTAAACTGTAAATGTTGCCCCCAAATTGACATTAATTCACGCCCAAACAAGTTTCAGAACTGGTAAATGCACTCGAGTGCTAATTGGAATACTTGTCCTAGGCTCAAACTGGTTGAAGTTTACAGGGGACGGAAACCAATTGACAAGTCGCCAACCGGAAGCCAACCTAATGCCATAATGGCGAGTGTCCCGGGTTCAGCAGGCATGCTAATCAGTCAGTTAGACCAGCTTTAGCACCAAAGGGTTAAAAGCAGCCTTGAACTTCACTACGTGCTCGCAGGTTTTGGCGCCGTTCGAAAAAGATATTCGAAAATTTGACGATGTGAATTGCATTGCTAATTGACTGCGAAAAGCTTCCGCTATTGGTTTTATAAACTACGCACCTTAACGCACAAGAAGCAAAAGATGTGGCCGCAGGGGAGACGAGCTGGATGGATGCAGGTTTGCAGGCAGATTGGACACTCCAAGGCAGCAGCCGCTGTGGAAGGGGAATCCCCGCTACTTATTGCTGTAGCTGAAAATAAATGAAAAAAAGAGTTTACATTTTTTTAAGGTATAGATAGGTATGTTAATAATAGTTTACAATAACAAATACATGTATGTTCTTCAATAAATTTTAATCAAAAGCGTTTGGAAAGTACTTTAAAATGTTTTTGACTGTCCAAGTTTGACTTTAAAATTAAACTTCTGGACTAATTAAACGATACCCTAAGCACGTTAAAGATTTTTACATTAATAAACATTTCTACAACTTCTAAAATGTGGGTAACATTTCAACAAGTATATGTACATTTCTGCCAGCTCTTTAGCAAGAGTAAAGTACAGAATACAAAGTAGAAGTGGTTCGCGAAGATCATTCCGAAAAATCTAAATAATTTCGAAACCACTTTAAAAAGAACTTTGTAGTTTAGTAACATTTGCAAATAAATCAATGATTTTACTAAATACAGTTTTGGTTTTACCAACAATAGTAAAAGTGTATGTTGTATCTATAAAGTTTGATATTGGGAAAGCCTTAAAAAACCGAATCTTTAAACGATGGACTTTCCTAATAATTAAATTATTAAACCTGAAGACCTTTCTAAGGCGTGACAGGGTTAGATTCTGATCCTGGCCAGTCCCAATACTCTCACCTGCATCTACGTCGATGGCTTTCGCCGCATCTCCGGCTGATGAAGCAGGGGAGTTGGGAGCGGAAGTCGCTGCAGCAGCTCCTGATCCGGATCCTGTTCCCGGATCATCTGCACCTCCGTTTCCGGAACGGGCAGCAGCCGCCGCCGCGGAAGTGGAGGGCGACAGGCAGAGATCGATGATTGTGGTGCTGGGTCGCACAATTCCCACAAACTGCACATCCTCATCCTCGTCGTCGTCGTCCACCGTAATCACATCGCCGTTGTTGTTGCTGCTGGCTGCATTTTGCTCCGTGGCGCGTTGTTGCGACATGTTGGACTGGCTCGATCTCGTCAGCAGCAGGGGAAATCGTGCTGTCACCGCAGTCGTCGTGTTTTTTTAAATTTTCACTTCACAAACAAACTGCGAAACAAAAAAATTGTTGCTGCACAAGCGTGACCGCTTCTTGCTGCTCCTAAAATACTGGTGTCACCATCTAAATATACCAGTTCCATTTTAGTGTGACCCGCTGGTCTTTATATTTCAGTGTTGTAAAGTACTGAAATGGCGCCATGGTTTGAATTTTATTTTTGGTTTTTACTTTTGAAAGTAATGAAACTTTATTTAGTTTTTTTGTAAAGCTGCGAAAAAATGAATATCAATTAGTAACACAACAAATGTTTATGTGATTGCCCTACTTATATTTTTAAGTTTTTGACTGTGTCAAAACATGTCAGAATAAACTTGGCATCAAAAAAATGTTCGAAAAACTAAAATAATTGGAGAAAAATTAATATCATTTGTGATTAATTTTTTGTGTTCCATGCAGGTAAATATATTTTATTTTCTTTGACAAATTAACTATATTTACCTGCATGGTAAAAAAAAACAAACAATTTGAATTATTTTTTCTTTTTATAAAAATGTACTTAGTTTGTTAAAGTAATTTTTAAAGCGAAAAATATTTTTAATAATGGCCAAGTATTTAAATGTAATTCCGCAGAGACAAAACTAAACAAAATTAAACTTACTGCACTTTAAAACGATCCTAATTATTTTTTAAATATTTACTGCAGCCTTTATTACCTGCTGCCTTCACATTAATAATGCTTTATTAAATTCAACAAAACCAATTAAAATTATGCGCTTCATTACATGCAACACCTTTTGCAACGCCCACCCACCTATAAAAATATGCCGCCTCCAACGGGAATTTAACTTCATAAAAATTGACAGGCCTTCGCACAGGGTTTTCGGTCAGCGAAGGCATCACGCACTTTTTAATATGCAGCCGGCATGCGACAGCCCCAAAAAAGTAACACACAACAACAGTCGGTTGCAGTTGTCCTGAACAGGACCTTCGTACTCATTACATAAAAATCAATTTTTGGTTTATTTTTGCACTGCCTCTCCTCGCAATTGCATGTCATTTTTTGTCAATTACACATATACATACAATTGCCTAATTGCGCGACAGACAAACGCGTTGAAGTCAACTGCCGACGAGTTTTGTAAATTACTCTCGTTCTGCCTGGATGCTGGGTGCTGGGTGCTGGGATGCGATGTTGTCCCGCCGGGCTGTTTAATGCACGTGTCCCCTTGGGCGTTTTAAAAATGTGCTGCCTGTCCTGGGAAGCCACTGTTTCGACGTGATTTGCCTTGGGGAATGTGCAATTTGAAAGCCGAAAAAAACATTGAAAAATACTAGATTCCAGAAGTTCGACTGTGATTTACCTTGGTAAATATTTAATATCTGGTAATATTACCAAAACTCTCAAAACTAAGAAGTAAAGGGTTATTTGAAGCAGAAGGTATGATTTTTTCTTGGATTAACATTTTAAGCCGCTTTCAGAAAATAAACATATGTATATTAAAAAACATTTAAAAATTATACTGAATATGTGGTCGACTTAAAAACTGCATCAAACATATTTTCCTAAAGTTACTGATTGAGGATACAAAATGTTTATGTTTTTCTTATAAGGATAAACAATATTTTTGTAGTGCCACAAACTCCAAAATAATGCCAGGGATCTGGTAAGTTGCTCTAAATTGTATACTTAAAAATATCTATGATACAGAATTTGATTGTGGGGGACATTCAAAAAATTGTTGAGTAGAAATACAAAATTTGGAATAAAATACGTATTACATATACATGTTTCACCCGAGTGGGGGATCTATTCCCCATAACCCTCCGAGGATCCGTGCGTGGTATACCTAAACTTTCTATATATTTCATTTGATATCTATTTAGAAATATTGTTTTTGGCCCTAATCCTTTTCAATGTGTGGTCAGTGAAATCTGATTTATATGTTAAGTAAATTAATTGTCATAAAGATAAACAATTAATACATTTATTCCCAGCACATCAACTTAAATCCAGTATACCCCTAAACCGTATTTTCACAAGTCATTTAAAACGCACACACCAGCTACTTAATATGCACGGCGAGTCCTTCAACTCTCGACACTCAACCCTTTATCCTGTGTGCTCGTTTTTGCACTCGGTTTTTTGTTATAATTGTTCTATGTCCTGTACAATTGAATTTTCATTTGCCAGCAAACGATCAAGAAACAGAAGAAGTTTGAATTATGATTGCCCCCTCATTGTTTCATGACCCTGTGGCCACAAAAGGAAAACCATAAAAAGTAACCCACAGAAGCAAACGCAAAGAAAACCTCAAATCTTAATGTAATTATCAGGCCAGCAAAAAAAAACCGTTTACAATGGTAGACGCCTCAAGATTATTAACACAAAAGAGGGCCGCAATGGTCGTCATAAGCATAAAAATATTGCCCTCCCCAGACCAGACTTCGTCACCCTGTTTTTACCATAAAAAAGGGAGAACCAAAAGAAAATTCTTTCTACTTTTTGCACCCTCCTTGTAATAAGCTACTTTTGCATCTTGCCTATTGCTCTTTATTTTATCATTTGCGGGCTCGTTCTTTTCTCCCTTAAACATTTTATTATAGCAATTTTTTGGGTTCGCCAAATCCCCCTGATAAACGAAAATTGTCTGTTGACACATGTGAGCAGAGGCTTGCAGCCAGTGCAACCTAAGCTCTAATAAATTTACGATCGGAATTTCGCACGAGTTTCCTATTAAAATGCTGATTTTTCCAGCAAGTATTAGCAGAATGAAGAGGCTGTAATATTGGGTGGGGTAAATTAGGGTTCTTGATTGACAAACTGCGTGGTTATCTTCATAACAATACAAATATGTATGTCACATATGGAAAGCTGATTAAGATGTGCCACCAAAAATACTAATGCATTCCTTACATGTAAAACGATTATAAGTACTTAGGTGTAATCAGTGTTGGTTAATTAATAATGTGATATATAAAAATAAATAACGGTTTACTTATATAGTAAAAGAAAATGTTTAAAACTGTAATATGTAGATTTATAAAAATATATTAAAACAAGAAATAGTTCTAATAAAAATCGTACACAGAGAAAACTATCCAAGAACATTGTTCTTGAATTGAGAACATTCGTTCTTAAAACCCGTGTAATTACATTTTGGTATCAACATAAGAACGAAATAGTGAGAAGAGAAAAGTTAAATTGAGTTTACTTAACAACCTTTTGAAAAGTATACACCAAGGACTGATCTAATAGTTTATTTGTACATACAATGTACTTAAACACCGCCAATTCAACTTGATTCGAGCAAAATAAAAACATTTTCAACTTAAAAATGTCGTTCTATTTTTAAGAATATTTTCAACTCAGATGAGAACGTCAGAATTTTGTCTGTGTATAGTTGTTATTCATTTACATAGATAAGCAGATAACTGATGTTTAATATTTCAAACTTATTTTTTAAGAAACACTCATCGCAAAAGTGGGTGGCAAATGACCTCGGTAATTTTAAAAATATGCCAATGCCTAATCAGTGAACTACTTTCGAAAGTTACCGTCCGTCCAGAGCTCCTCCCCATTCCTACGATTTCTCCTGCCAGTGGGCTGCTGGTTTTTAATTAAAATATAAAAACGAAGGGAACGTGCCGCGGTCGTTAGGCAATAAACTTGGATACCGCGCATCCTGCCAAGGACAATTACCAGGCGGAAAATGTCGCAACATTTTCGCTCCTTATCGCTGCCTTTCGGTACTTTAGGCCAAGGAATTCCGAGCGGCGGCATAAAGGAAAACGAATTAACGACATTGTAATGCTTATCTGAGAGAAAAGGTCCTTTTGCGGAGAGCGCAGGGCATATCCTTTTCACCCCACACTCTGAAACATATTTTCCTTGGAACCTGAGGTTGAGTCCCGAAAAAAAGTGGAAAAAATCTTGATTTTTAATTTTAACGCTTTATTTAATTATGTGCAGACGAAACAACTTGAAGTTTGCTAATAAAATGCTTAAGGAGTGTCCTCTTTCTGCCTCCCCGCCCTTCGTCTGAGCAATAAAACCCACAAAAAATGGGCTAAAAATGGATTTTTTCCAGCTACTTTTACTCTCTTTTTTTAATAAAGACATCAACAGATGGGCGGCGATAAAAGGCAAAGATTATGGGGCAGACTACAAAGAAGAAGATCAGGGAAGGTCCTAGTGTCGTGTGGCTTTTGACACCCCGAGAAAAAGAGGAAAAGCGGGCAACAGTTTCAGATTTTTTCGACCGTTCTATTCAGATTCAAAGCGGGCGTGGACAAAAGGCCAGACGCAGGAGATTTAGTTCTAAGCGTTAACACTTGACCCAAGGATAAGGGGTCCTGCTGCGAGAGTTGCTTACTTTTTATGGCTTTAAAGATAAGCGTTTATTCCCTTTTCGTTTTTCTTAATGCGCAAACTTTTAATTAGCTGGAAAAAGCGTACCTTCTTGTCGGTTCCCCTAATGGCTTTTCAATTGGCGTTGAGCAAATTTGACGGCAAATACACCCAATAACAATCAAATACAAATCGAATGCCTGTTATTGTCCATCCCTGTTCTTTATTTCGCTTGCTTCCTGAGGGGGATTCTTAGCCTACTTACGGGCATCATTTGCCTTGTCACCTGTTGTTCCCGGGCTGATTTAAATCTTTAAAATCAATATGCCAAGCGGCAGGCCAAACAGATGGAGCTCCTTGGCAAACACATCGCAGGGGAGTCCTGGTCCTGGCGCAATGGAGTGGGTTTTGGGGAAGGGGACTGGCGGCGGTGACATCCCTGATAGGTGTGAGAATGGAAGGTATTCGAAGTTGACTCCCGGTAGTCTGCAAAATACGCCTGCAGGCATCAGACAGGCGGGCAAATTGAAATGGTTTAGATTACATTTGACTTTTATAAGCGGATTTGGGCGTGGCATAGTTGCCAAGTGGTTGTTGCCGGGAAGAAAGGGGGCGGGGGCACTTTCAACTAAAAGGTTATGGACTGTTGAATGTGCTCATATAAACATATGTACATAAGTACTGGAAACAAATTTAGACTATTAGTACAACTCAAGAAAAATGACAGCCAATGATAAGTTTAATTTGTTTTTGCTTTAAAATGAAGTACGGTTAAAAAGTAATGAAAGATAATTTTTATTTTCATTGGCAAATACCAAAGCAACATTTTTTGTTTACGTTGTTACTACGTACTTTGAGAAATTGTCAATTTATGTTTATTATATAAATTCTAGTAAGCCTTGTAACAATTATAACTGAAAGACTGTTTGAACGACTCGCACTACCTCTAGATTCCCAGAAATGAACATTGCCAAAACGTCCTCTGTCGGTTAAAGCATCTCCTTAAAATTATACTGTGTTTCAATGTTGCCAATTTCATGAAGACATTTCATAAAATGAGCAAAATCATGAATTTAATAACACACGAAAGTTGGTTATGAATTCAGACTCAATGCACAAAATACTGATGAAGTCTACTTCACAGCCTACTATTATATATACCGTTATATATTCTATTTCAATTTCAAATAATTTTACATTTCAGATGATAATATTTCATGAAATGCTCTGTTTTGAATAAACAGGGGCTATTTTTATGTCATGTGTTCGGAAATGCATAAAAATGTAAAGCATAAACATAGTAATAGATAAAATCTGGCTTGAGTTCGGCTAGAACTCTTTTGCAAAAAAGTTTTTAATATAGCATACTTATGGCATTTAAACAAATTCTTTTTAAATATTGGAGAAGGTTTTTTGTTCCAATTTATGGACCGTCCCAACCCGCACACTTCTCACTTAGTTTTTCGATTACTGGTCATAAAAAACACAGCTTTCAACCTTAATTCCTTTTAAAAAACATTAAAATTGTAATTTATTTCAGACTTTCAAAAACTTAACATAAATTCTGTTAAAAGCTATTCAAGCTACAAAGCTCTGATCCGGAAATCTACATAGACAGAATGGTGTTCTTGATAATGTCGATGCTCTCGCGCATTTGGGACTCATTAATGACCAGTGGAGGAGCAAATCGAATGATATCGCCGTGGGTGGGCTTGGCCAAGAGGCCATTCTCCTTCAGCTTCAGGCACACCTGCCAAGCATCGTATTCTGCAAAGAACAGTGTGATTAGAGAAGGGTTGACTTCGATTAACGAATGTAACTTACTCTGGTTAATAACGATGGCGTTGAGCAGCCCCTTTCCACGCACCACCGAAACCACCTCCTTGGGCAGCTTAGACAGCTCGCCCCGCAGGAGTTCGCCCATTTTGAAGGCATTCTCCGCCAGCTTCTCCTCCTGCAGGACCTCCAAGGCGGCCATGGCCACTTTGCAGCCCAGGGGATTTCCTCCGTAGGTGGATCCGTGCTCTCCTGGCTTGATGCACAGCATCACCTGGTCGTTTGCGAGGACCGCGGACACGGGATACATGCCTCCGGATAGGGCCTTACCCAGGATCAGGATGTCTGGCTGAACCTGCTCGTAGTTCACGGCCAGCAGCTTTCCGGTTCTGGCCAGTCCCGTCTGCACTTCATCGGCAATCCAAAGGACATTGTACTTGGAGCACAGCTCGCGGACCTTCTTCAGATAGCCATCGTTGGGCACCACTACACCAGCCTCTCCCTGAATGGGTTCCACCATGAAAGCACACACATTGGGATCCTTGAGCGACTCCTCCAGGGCTGTCAGATTGTCGTATTCAATCAACTCGAATCCCGGCATAAAGGGTCCGAATCCCTCGTAGCTGCTGGGATCACTGGAGGCGGACACTGCCGACAGGGTGCGTCCCCAGAAGTTGTTGCGCGCGAAAATGATCTTGGCTTGGTTGGTCGGTATTTTCTTTTCCAGGTAACCCCACTTGCGGGCCAGTTTGCATGCCGTTTCTCCACCCTCAACACCTGTGTTCATGGGCAGCACTTTGTCGTATCCAAATAGCTTGGTTACATACTCTTCGTACTCGCCAAGGACATCCGAATAGAAGGCACTAGTGGGCGAAACATTTGGAGACGTACAAAAAATGAAAACTTAGGATATTATTGTTATAAATGAACAAAACAAATTTACAAGATTTAATAATTAGTAGCTATCATTCTTATGGTTTATAAGTTTAAACATTTTTAAATAAGTTTTTGTAATAGCTGTTTCTCGTAGAGTATTCATCAGAAAGTATGTACGTAGCAGGTAAAAGGAAGACTTTCTGATTCTATAATGTATACATGTTCTTGATCAGGATCACTAGCCAACTCGATCTAGATCTATGGCCGTCTGTCAGTATAAACGCTGAGTTCCAGGAACTATAAAAGGTGTATGGTTGGGATTAAGCATGCAGATTCTAAAGATACCTGCGCAGCGGTTGTTTTTTCAGCAAAGTGCAACGCCCACGCGCGTTTAATTGGTTTTTTCAATACCCACTAATCGATTGACTTAAAAAAAGATTGCCACGCCCACTTTAATGCCCATAACGCAAACATATCTCAGACTCCCACATTTTTATAGATTTTGTAAAAGTATATCCAATTTGTTTAAGTGGAATAATACAGAAATTTTGATTAAATAATGATATCGGCACATGGGGGCGCTCTGCAATCTGCATATGTAAATACATCTCCCTTGCTCTTTATTTAGCTGTAGCAGGTATCTGACAGTCGAGGCACTCGACTATTGCATTCTCCCTTGTTTTCTTTACATTTAAATCAATTTAATTTATAACTTCTAAGGATTTTAAAAAGATCGCCCAAAAATAGACTAAATACAATTTTTGGTTATCTAAAAATAGAAAACAAATAATTTTTCCCCTCCAGTACATTGCCTTTTTGCGTTATCTATCTCAACTAAGTTCCAAATTTAGAAATCGCAACAAACAATAACAATTGTCGATCTCGCAATTTGTTATCAAGGAACCTCTTATGACTTTATGGCGCCACTCACCCTGACAATCTGGCCCTGGCAACCCAAAGAAAACCAAATAAAACCGGCAACGAGGAGTCCCTTAAGTAAGAATCCAAGTACAATAAAATGATTTAATAAATTTTCTTTTGACAAATGCAGAATCACACGGAGACGTGAAAATACATTTTTATTTATTTACTAGTGTTGATTAGATTCCAGCTGGTCCTGGGGGGTTATCAGCGTCCAAAGTATATATGTGGTAAAAACACTTTCAACGTAAACAAATGCTGCATGCTTTTAAATGTAAGCTTTTTTGATGATCTAGGAAAAAAACTAAAAGTGGCTTATGGCTTTTTTAATACGTTTGTTTTTAAAATGTACTTTAATAGTCCAAAAATTATATTTATAACCTGAATAATCTTGTCCAGACATATTAAAAAATAACAACCGCGACATTCGCCTCTCTATCTATAAGTTTTATTAGCATACAACAGAAAGGAAATAGCGCACCCAATTGAACACGAGTAAACAGAAACGAACATTTTTATAGGCACTTAAATCTAAACTACTTTTGTGTCTAAAATATTACGTTAGCTGTACGGAAATAAATTAATTAAATAAACGGAACAACGTTTCGGGGACAAAGCTCAACCTTTTTAAAACTTGTAATAAAATAGCGCATACGCCATGTTAGACAGAATAAATTTTACATTTTAAAATACAAAACCCGTTGACTAAGGTCCACCCCAAATACTACATAACACTGATATAGCAGGGAACCGGTAAGTTTTCAAGGGGGCACGTCTTTGCTCTCTGATTTTGATTGCCTGGAGCTCTCTTTACTTCAACTAACTTACCGGGAAGTCAAGGCCAATTTGGAGGCCTGTTCGGTCAGGGCTTTGACGATCTTCGGGTGGCAGTGACCTTGGTTGACTGCCGAGTAGGCGCTCAAGTAGTCGAAGTAGCGTTTTCCCTCCACATCCCAGACGAACGCCCCCTCTCCCCTCGAGAGGGCCACCGGCAGTGGGTGGTAGTTGTGGGCGCCGTATTTGTTTTCACGGGCGTAGACGGCCTCGGAAAGGGACCCGGAAGATGAGGAGGTTTCCTGGGCAGCTGTCTTCTGCGCCAAGTAGCTCATGCGGGTGGCGATGCCGCGTGCCGAAAGTTTGGAGAACATTATAATATATGTTTCTAGAATCGATGGGGTGACTACACTTCTACTCGCGGATCGCTTGCAATGCTCACTGAAAGTCCGCTGTCAGTGGGCGAGGGCTTTTTATACCCGGAGAGAACTGTGGAGAACCTCGAACCCCCATGGAAGCTTGCTCTCCGTCTCTTTCCGGCTCTCTATACTATATGTTTTCTTTCTCTGGCTGCCTTATCTTATTACATTACTACATAATTGCGCTTACTTAAATGCGCATCCATTTGATACTTTATGAATTCGAGATACTGCTATTGTCGGCAAATTGTAATCAGCTTAAAAATTTCCACTGCTAAATTGATAGATCTTAAGGGAGCTTTATGTGCTGAAACGTATTACACTTAAAAGCTTCCTCAGTCCAGAATTTGAGAATTATAAAAATGTTATAATCAAAAAAGTCTGAAAAAGCTCAGTATCTTCAATATTTCACTATAATTTTAATTCACGAAAATTAGTTAAATATAATAGATATCCAACAATTTTTAATTTGTAAAATTAATCTTATATTTCCTTGATTCTTTAAAATATAACAATTTATTTGATTACTTACCTATAGCAATTCCGATTTCAACCGATCTTGGTGTTTCATAATATTTTCATGTATTTATTTGATTTTTCATAAATAAATTATGGGCTTAAGAATTTACAACTAGTTTTCGCTTAGAGATGATAATTTATTCTCATTTATCGTATATTGTTTGTTTCGTTATCAATCAAACATTTAACAATTATAGCACGTTCTGGGAAACTACGAATACATAATACATACTGAAATATTATACGACAGTTGAGAAGGCAACACAAAAATTGCACTAAAATATTGTTTTACACAAAACCAATTCCATTTAAAATGAAAACAAATTAATTTTACATGTAGAATTTATACAGGGGCAAAAACGATGGACATATTCTTTTTTTTTTTTTGGTGGGCGGGCTAGCAGAACCGATGGGGTGTTGCCTACTTTGGGGACGCCCAATTAAACATCAATTTGCTCGTCGCGTTTCATTAGCTACCTCAAATACAATATGTTATTAATTAATTTTAATAAATTCACGCTTTGATTGCAATTTCCGACTCGACCCCCCGACCCCGCCCTTCACTCCATGGCCTGTGACACACTCTGCTGCGGCGACTGGGCGGGGGAGAGGCTGCGGGGCGTTGCCGTGGCGCCCACCGAGTCCCCGTTCCCGGCCGCCCTCTGCTGGTTCTGGGCCTGGTTCAGGAGCTCCTTGTTCAGCCGGTAGCTGCTCATGACGTTGGCACAGCTCTGGTGAAAGTAGAAGTTACGACCGCGCAGGAACGCATCCGTGTTGAGATCCTTTATGCCTGTCTTGAAGTACACAACGGAAAACGAAACGAATTATAGAACGTAGAAACGGAGTTCGGGGGTACGAGTGCATTAACTAGTCGGAGTTACTAGATGGCAAACAGAAGGTTAGGGGTTCTCGGGAATACAGATCGTGCTCGAATTAAAGTGAAAACTGAAGCAAACTGAGGAATTACCTTACAAATGAAACACTTGTTTTCATCGTCCGGTTTTAAATCCGAACTAATCCCCACCTTTGAGTCCAATTGCGTTAATCCCGGCACGCCCATCGACGACAGCTGCGACAGGCTGTTCTCCATGTTCTCCGCGTACTTGGAGGCCGGATTGTTGTTGTTGTTGCTGCTGCTGTTGTTGTTGTTGTGCGATATGTCCATGGGTCCCGGTTCGGTACTGCTCACCTGCGGCTCCGAGCGGGGTCGCTCCTCCGCGGGCGAAATGTTCTCGAGGGATCTGTGACATGATAGGATAATATAATAATAATATATAATATATATTATAATATAATAAGTTAGTTGGGAGCTCTGTTGACTATTCGTTACGCTCAATCTCTTAATTTCTCGAAGTAATTCCTTAAATCCTAGCTAATATCAACACTAATCACTGATATATTATACCAAGAACTTCAGTACGACCGTCTCACCTGCTGCTGCCCACGTTCTGCTCCTCCTGTCGGCGTTGAATTTTGTTATAATTGATTTTGCTCGACATCTTCACGGTATCGTCGTCGTCTACAATTACGTCCTCATCGCTATCATTTTGGCACGAGGCCGTGTCCATCATCAGATCCTTGTTGTTGCCCCCGCTGTTGTTGTTGGTGCTACTGCTGCTGTTGTTGTCGTTGACGCCCACTCCGCAGGAATCGGCGTTGTAGTAGTGATGTGTGGTAGATGACAGCTCACTGACGGTTTTCACTGGGGGTTAAAGGGAAGCCAATAATTAGCATAACGAGTGCAAAAATATATATCACGAAAATATATATCAGCTTCAACCGTAACATATAATATTAAAGGCAATAAGTATATTGAACTAGAAAACATTATTTCAGAAAAAATATTAATATTTTTATATAATAATTTTTGGTCTTTAAAAAATGTTCTATAACCAGGTTTTCTGAATAAAGTAGGGAATTTTTATTACAGACCACAATAACATCCTTAAATGAGTTTTAATATAGGTTAAATCAAGGCACTTTGTTCTTAAAAACTTAATGTCAAGGCAGGAATCTAAAAATCATAAATTGTATGGGTATGGAAAAGTAATAGCTAATTTATTTTGTTTTCCAGAAAAACAAATGGTTTAAAAACTCACCACTGATATGTGCCTGGGGTGGGGCGTTGACCTCGCCCGACCAACTGCTGCTGCTGGCGGTGGTCACATTGGTGCTCACATCCTGCTCGTCGGGATGCGGATCCTTCTGGTTGATCACGCAGCCCGTGCGGTAGAGGATCCCGTCCAGCTTGCCCGGTTGCGCGTTGCTGTTGTGCATGCTGGAGGGCGGCATAGCGGTGGCAGATGATCCAGGACCCGGGGCAGTTAGCTCTGACCCCGAGTCGGGCACATCGTCGTTGCAACTCTCCACATCCACCGTTTCGATCTCCTCTTGCGACTTGGCATCGTCCTGTAATTTAATTGTTGTCCATAAAGTTTATATGATAAGTCGAGTTGCTAATAAAACTAACAGTTTAAGTAAGTTTTTGTATCATATCATCGGAATGCCGTCATAACATTTACTTATCATATTTATATTATTTTTTTGGTCAGGCCTAGTACTCACTTCAATCAAAAAACCTACAAACATACTAAATTTCGCCTTGAAATAATCCGATTGTCATTTTTTATGGGGTCTTCAGTTTTGTAGGCTTTTAGATTAATGCGAGTATTACCCTTATAAGAAAGCTTGGCATTGATTTAACGTAAATAAGTTTAGGGAAAATTGTTGAATTGTTTTGGTAAAAGGCCTAGCTTTTCTTGACCTACCTCTGGGGGAATCTTCCCCGTCTCCATGGCGTACTTCCTCTTACAGATCGGACAACTGCTGCAGTAAAGACTTTCCATCATGTACATCTCGCCGTACTTGCGCTTTCGAACTTTTAGCCTCAGGCGGTTCTGACGATTGTTCCTTATTCTCTGGAAGGTCTAAGAAATATGGAAAACAAAGTTAGGTCCGCCCATAAATGATACCCAGGAACACCCACCTCCCAGCGATTGTGACTGGTGCGAATGGCGTTCTCCTGGGCCGGACACGGAGGAGCGAACATGTAGGTGGCCTGCAGATTGGCCCGCTCGAATCCCGCACTCAGTTTGTAGAGCCTGTCCAGCTCGGTAAGGAAGTGCGTGTGCCACTCCTCGGCGCTCAGCTTCAGTCCGCAAACGGGACACATTTCGGGGATGGCTCCTCCGGCAGCTGCCGCCTGCAACCCACTAACCAGGCTCAAACCCCCTGGAACCGCTCGCAGACCCGCCATGCTCAAGCTGGCCAGGCCGCGTGGTGGGCGGCGTGGTGGTGGGACAGCGGATGCGGATGGGCCATGTGGTGGTGGGTCGTCACCGCCGTGGACACCGGAGGAGCTCCCACGTGGTGCCCGTGGTGGTGGCTATGGGCGTGCGGATGGGCCAGGGGATGCGGGTGCGAGTGGGCGTGCGTGTGGGGGTGGTGGTGGGGCGAGGAGGCGGCCAAGTGGCTGGCCATTGAAACGGCCACGCTGCTGGTCGCCGTGCTGATGGCCGGGTTGCTGGTGGAGCAGGAGGACGAGGAGCTGGACGCCGACGAGGAGGTGGCCAGAGCCTGGTGGCTCTTCCCCGCATTATGCAGATCTGTGTGGGCGAGAAAAAGGCGGGAATTCGGTAAAATCAAGTCAGGTCCAACATCGTCAATCAAGTGGTGGAGCAATAAGAATTGTAAATTTAAGCTTTGCTTTTATTGTACTTCTCTGCACTAGCAAAAAATCAAGGAAAGGTATTATTCTTCTAATTAAAATAATATTTAAATTCTTATTTACTGAAAAGTCAATCAAAAACATCCTTTAACGAGGTAAGGGTCGTGACGATCGCACTTTTAACATACAATAGTACTGATACACAATTTGTGACGAATTCTGATTGTGAATCCGACTAAAAATAATAATACAAAAACTTGGCTAATAACTGGGCATATTCCACCAGCCAAGAGCTCACATTTTAAACATTCACTTCTATACTTTTTCTTTCAAGCAATATAATTTTAAGGGTTTGTGAGCAATCTTTTTGTTTTTTATCAATACCTTTCGATTTGTGTATCACTCATAATGATCGACCACATGCAGGTTTCAATTTACCGGCTTTATATAGTAGTCGCCTTCGCACACTCTCCTGTGCCTTCGTCACTACGTGACTGCCGCCAACATGATTATTCTTAGTTTTTCGAATCAACGTTGTTTCATTAATGTAGTATCTTATACAGCATGTTATCCCTTGTCTCCCTTTATTTCAAAACACAATACATAATTCCATTAAGAGGTTAACTTTTGTCTCTCAGCGAATTAGCTGATTTTGGAAAAAGTAGTTCTTAATATCATGTTAAGATATTTTCAATGACGTTCTAGTTAAATTTGTGGGTCGACTTTTTCTTTTTCAGGTTTGTAAGACCGAAATCAAAACTTAATCATTTAGAAAATAAATTTGTGTCCCGACAATGTAACTCCATATTTACTTCTTCTCAGAAAAAGAACTTTGAGAAATCGCCTTTGAATAAAGTCTTTTAAGGTACTAAATCTAATGATATTTTTACTATTTTTAAAACATAACATTCAGAAGAAGAAGCTTGCGGAATTGGTTTTTCAAAGTGCACCCCCCTACTTTTGCACCACAATAAATTTTGCAGGCCTTTTCTAATTGCCTCATGCCTCTTTTTAACACGTCGGAAAATTAATTGGAGGTCGTAATTCTTAAAGGGAATCTGAATTGTTACCAAAAGCTACATCGAGCACACAAATCCGCAGCAGGATTTCTGATGTCAGACACACGTCGACCCCACGTATTTCGGGAGCCACAGGCGAAAAAATAAACCACCGGCAACCACAATAAATACGAACTGTTTGCTGCAAACCCACCAAACAAAATCTGTCCGACATGCTGCACGTGACTGCGGGCCAGCAATTAAAATAATATTACAATAAATATATCGCAATATGGTCGGAGCAGGCCCAGTCGACCAGGCCAACTGCAATTGTTGAATCGCTGGCAAAACAGTTTTATTTATATTCTTCTAAATTATTGTCCAACAAAATATGTCGGTTAACCGCGCCCATCAGAAACACTCGAATGGATATGCTTATTTTACATGTATGTACATTTATATCTGAGTCGTGACTTTTGTTCAAATTAGCTTAGCAGTTCGTTGGGCAGTAATTCCACCTTTCACTTTCGCTCGGAAAAACATTATAATTGCTTGCCATTGAAATAGTATATAGATTATTTGATAAAAGCGTTGGAAAAATTCGAACGATTATATTTATATCTTTGGTCTTGGTACGATTTTTTCTAACCACTTTAAATAAGTATATATTTTTTAAAAGTTAACTTTCAATTTTATGAGTGTACTTTAGTTACCCATTTAGGCAAAAATAATAAAGATATATATTTGTTCAGGTAATATGTAAATGTAAGTATTTTTGGACATATCTTTTTGAATTGGTTAATATTGGAATCATTTTGAAGTAAAATTAATGTAACGTATTGTCCTTGGTTGAAACTCCATAATTGTTTATTGGAACACCATCAACAAAACCACGTTTATTTCAAAATCAAACTGCCGTCAATGCGGTATGTAAATTGTATAGTTCTCGTACATGACTGACTAAACTCCCTAATATTTTAGTGTTCAATGCCCCCACTCCTCCCCCTTTTATGACACGTGCTCAACGATGCTATTTCATAATCCTCCCCATCCAAGAAATGGGCGTTTCATATATCGTTAGATGAAAAATGACTTTTGCCTCTGTACTGTGTTTTTCCCCTGGTCGTAGAGCCATTAATATCACAGAAATTAATATGAAAATTCCAAGTGTGCATTCAATATAATACATCATCGGAGCAACAAAAACCGCGAGGGAAACAATAATAACGCTCGTCATAACAATGGCAAACAATGCAATCAAAGCGATTTGCAACACTTGCGCATCCTTTGGGCGACCCAATCGTAAAGTAAACCGAAAAAGTGTGTCCAACAGCCGACAATAAATGAGCAAACATTATGGGATCTCGAGGGGTGGACGGGCCTCATAATGGCCTCCAGAAGAGTTGCCACGATGTCGTGGATGAGTAATTAGCCCGGCTGGAGGACGTCTTCGTGTGCCGAGCACGAGCCGGAAAGGATGTGCGGTCGGTTTGACTTTGTAGTCAAGTGGTTGGGTCTTGGAAAGGGGTTGATGGTTGATGGTTGTGTTCGTCGATGTAACATTTCAATAAGCCTGCTCCAGTCGAGCATCCTTGTGCCATTTAAAACACTTACGACATGCACCCTTCGTCTTAACCCTTCGCTGCTTCCGAATTCCCGACATGCCCTTTTGACTTCTGCCAAAGGCGCAAGGGGTTAAATTGAGCTCTGCTCTCTGTTTACCTCTAGTTAGTTTAACCCATTGATAGACGCTCGCTTGCGCTGCAGTTTCAGCTAATTAAAAGTGTATTATTTATCGAAATTAATTTATGGCGCTCCTGTCTATCCACGACTACTCGCATAATCCAAAAGTTAAACACAAATCCACATGTTGAGTATGGGTGGTGGGTTGATGAGGAAAAACTGGTTTTCCGGCTTAAGTTGAAAAGCAAATAACGGCCTAAAGATAAATAAAGAGTTGTCTGTGTGTTAGGCAGAGGTGTCGCAAAAAGGGGACTGTAAAATGGTTGCCAGTGCTTAAAATGTAACATTTATTTTTATTATTATTACTAAATAACATAGAGTGTGTACTATACATTTTCATTTCTATATTAAAGAGTCTAGAACTTGGATTTATTTTTAAGCCACTTAGTTTCAATATAATATTTGGAACGTATTTACTTAACACTCAGTCTATTGACACCAATCTATACTCAATTGTGTAGATATTATAACTATAGATGCTTTTCTATGACATTTTTAGACTAATGTCAAGAAGCATGATTATAAAATTGGACTGACAGCTTTAAAGTAACAAATATTTATTTAATAACTGTTGGAATCTAAAAAATATAAGTTTAATAAGGTGTAATTTAAAATATTTTGACAAGGAACATGTATTGTAAATATAAATGTAAATCCTTTTGTCTTAGTATATATTTAGAGCTCTTTAAAAATCGTACCCAACCCCCTCACAGCTCCGTCCCTGGAATATGTTCCAAATCCTTCCAACTCACTTTCCGAATTTGTTTTGTTCATTTGCATTCATATTTATCATTTTCATATGGTGCCTCAGATTTTTGTCATAAGGCGCTTAGCTCGAACAGCTTTGCTAGGCCAATTAGCAACGCATTTGCAGCCAACTCGGTTTAGCCTACTTTTTGGAAAGTACGGATGAAATTTAAGACCGGCAAGGCGGGAACAACCCCCAGGTAAACAAGTGAAATTTAAGCCAAATATCTGAGCCCGAGAAAACTAATAAAAAACAAATTGAAGTGGAGTTGGGTAGGGGAGGAGGTCCTGTCGCTGTCCTTACGCCTGCCAGTCAAAGTTAACCTACTGGAGCGTTAAAATTGCTCAGCAAAAGTAAAATTGAAACAAATACGCCCGGCGATTTTTATCAGTAAAAAGGGAATCGAAAACCCCGAGCTGGAAGTTTCCTTTTATCGCAAACATGCAAATTTTTTTGTGGATGTAAATTTGCTAAATAAATAAATGCGGTGCAACCCTACTTACGTCTCAAATCCCTGGGATCCTGAGAATTATTGCTGCGCGGACTTTCACCCTTTTCAACGGCGTCGTAATCCTGTGATCCCTCCATGGATTCGTGGGATGTGCAAGTGGGACTGGCCGAATCCGTGCGAAATGATTCGCTGCCGTTGAACAGATTCTGCGGGGAGAAATCGAAGTGCAAATCCCATTATGACAAGTGTCAATCTTGCGCCGATTACCAGCTCATCGGATCTGGCAACCTCTGTTCGGAACACTCCTCCATTTGCTACCCAGAGGTATCCCCGAACCCAACTCACCTGGTCCAGAGATATGCCGATGTACTTGGGCGGCGAGAAGGCCGACGGCAGCGAGAAGTTGGACAGGACCGACGGCTTTCCCAGCGGCGAGCGGTCGCTGGCGAAGTAGCTCGCCGGTCCCGCTCCCGCCGCCGCGGCCGCCGCCGCCGCTCCGTTCGCCACCAGCATCCCGTGGTTGAGCAGCAGGTGCGGGTTGAAGTAGTTGCCGACTAGTGACATGTTGTGGAGATCTTTGGCGTCAGGTAACTGCAAGAGGGGGAAATCGAAAGGGATTACCTAAAAGGTATAGGCGGAAAGAAGTGGGGAAAATATTGTAGAATCGAGACATTACAGTGTTATTATTTTATATTTCTTTATTCCCCTGCTGAGCATAGCAGGCTCCCTCTATTTAAATTTATGGATCACATTTTGTTAGGTACTAGATAAGAAGTATAATATAATTATAATTTCATTGCGATTACTGTATTTTCCATGATAATGGAACTTAAATATCTCGAACTTCCTTTACTCAATTTTCATAAACTCGAAAATATCTGTCTGACAGTAGGTTTAAGCGACTGTATTGAAAATTCTGATCAATATTTATTTAACGCAACATTTGAAATACTTATAAAGGTAAGTTGCAAAGAGTTTATTAAAACGACTTTTAATATATTTCGTTAAAAATATGAAATTCGTTTAGGTCCGTAACACAACTGATTAATTTTATCGTAACGTGCTCTTGCGAGTAAAATCATTTATAAAAAGTTTTCAACAGTTCCCAACAAAAAAAACCCAAAAATCGTATTATTCGATTTGACCAAAATGTTATAGAGATAGATGGGATCTTCATTCAAAATTGGTTAAAACCGTTTACTCCAATGACTTTAAACACTCGAAATATTAAATACAGACTGATGTGGCAGATCAAAATTCAAATCAGCGTTCCCAACATAAAGAAAGATAAATATAAATAAACATAGGCTAATAAATATTTAACAAAACGCTTACACATATAACAATGTTTTAAAACCTCAAAAAATGATACAAAATGTCTGACATTGGCATCTGTGGTACCCCAATCCAGAGTTTTTAAAAGCTAAGTGGGCGTTAAATTTAAGCGTTAAATATGCGCATTACTCGAGCCTAAGCAACGGAACCAAAACAAATTATGTGTACTACATGACTTGGCGTTAAAATTAGCCAATTATGGAAGGTGGAGGCCCAAACGGGGATAGGTAACATATGCTGCGGCGAGATGTTTGGAAAATGCAGGAAAAATGCTGCGATACATAATCCAATTCCCAGGACTCAAGACGGAGACGCCCCAAGGAATGGCGGCGGATTTGCATCGATACAAATTATGCACAAAAATGTTTAATTTACGACAAATAAATGTTAAATTGAGAGATTTTAGAATTACGATATCGAACATTGCCATAAAGTGTGTCAATTTCAAAGGGAAGTGGCGGATAGCTCACTTTCAATGGGGTGTAAAATAACGAGAAAAACGCTTACACTCCCCCACTTTCTCCGATCCAAAATTACACATAAAGACTTTGGCAAATGATATGGGTAACATGGGAAGGGTGAGTTGGGATTTTCGGTGTCTGGGGGGAGTTCGCCCAGTGCAGATAACCTACAGAACGTATAGCGTTCATAACAAATTGAGGCTGACGAGTGTTAAGCGGCGGTTGGGACACAGACTAGATCCGAGTATAACATCAGCAGCGACATGTGTGACAAATATTAACCCTCACCCACCACAATCTCATTCCATCCACGACCCCTCAACCAGGGTAAACTTTTCTGCTGAAAAATTTACATACAAATTTGTCTGCCAAGGAAAGTATTTTTGCAGCGAAAAGTGTGAGCAAGTTATAGGAAAAATATAATCAGAGGAAAATGTTTACTTTGGGTTATACTATGAGAAACCATTTAAAACCTAATCTTGTTATTATACGCGCATTCAAATGGTAACTACTTGGAAAAGAGCTTGATTTGTTGTTAAGAATCTAAGCCTAGTATGGCATAATAAACTAAAATATACCTACACGAACGCAACTTTAGAGTTCCTTCCTAATTCTTCTTGGGACAAATTTTAAATGTCCATACGTTTCCTAGGCCTAAAACCTAATTAAAGTTTATCTTGCGGATGAGAAAAGCTACAATGCTTCATATTAGCAACCATTTACTTTGGGGGTTCTATCGTTATGTTTTAAGATTTGTCGGTCAATCCCTGAAAATCCCGCCTTCGACAGTTGATTAATCTGGTCTCACGTCCTTGTTGATTTCCATAGTAATCCTGGTCACACGCTGGACCCAAGTCGAGTCCAATAAATTAAGGATTATCGGGAGAAATTAGCACCTCAATTTGGGGGCGAGCTTTTGACGCATATGTTGCGTCTGAATAATCACCAGGAATATCATCCCCATGCTCATTAGGTTTAAAATGTTGCAAGTCAGAGCCATGGGGATATTGGGGTATCAGGAGCAGATTGGGGTGTTGGTATTGCAACCGCATGAGTTGCACTTTGTCTAAGTGTGCAGTTTGGACAACAGCTGTTTGGGGTTCTGGGTTGGATTGGAAAACCCCCAACAGAAGTGGTCAACCGCTTGGCACTCCCATTCCAAATGGCTTTTTAATACAATACGTGTGGAAGAATTTTCACCATGGACTCCGCCTATTGATTTATGCTCGTTAATCAGTGCAAAGCAGGCTTACACAGAGAAAAAACTTCCGACTTTATATTTGGATTTAACACATACACTTTAAATTGCGATGCCGAAGGTTTTTTAAAGGAGGGGTTTTATTAAACAGGTATTTAAATTGTTAAGAGAACTGTTAAAATATTGATTATGTTTTGAGAAAAACTTAAATAAGAGTCAACTTAGTAACAAAACAAGATTTTTTTAAGCCGGGCTTTAACACATCTATAAGTTTTTAAAAATCAAAGAGCTTATAGGTTGCAGCTGGAATTGTGAAAAGACGCCTGTATAATTTCAAGAAGGTTAATAAGATTTGGAGACAACAACAGAGATGATTCGATTTATTATGGATAAAAATATTAAATGGTGAATAAATAAAAAATTTTCAGTGCATGAGCAGGTGCTCGTGCCATCCCCTAGGCAGTGGGGTGTTTCATACCCCCACCCCCTTTGTTTGCTTTTCTATTAGCGCCGGGCGGGTGATTTGTTATCCCAAATTGTAACATTCCTTATCCGCCAAAAGGGATGACGGCGCCCAGATTTGCATAAATTCGTTCTGTTTGCCCTTAACACTTGAATTATTGGTGTTCTCCACGACCCTCGAAATAGTCGTGCTCACTCGGTGCAATCTCGACTGCAGCGGCATATACGATACATAACAGCCAACAACAATAACTGCTTAATTACAACAACACGATAACGAGTGGCAAATAGCAATTGTCTACATACAATTGCCAATTTCGCTTAACTTGGCCATAAAACACGGCCCAGCGACGGCAGACGGACACCAGGCAAAGCAAACAACTTGGTCTTCTCAGCACACCACAAATAAATCTCAATTTGTGGCACTAACACGGAGTAAACGAGGCTCAAATCGAACTGAGGCTCTGGAGTAGCAGCGGCTGGTAATACTAAAAACGTTTAGCAATTGGCCATTTTCGCAAACTAAATGTTTATGGCGAGCCTCAACCTGTTCAGCTTTTGCTTTTTTCCTGGATCCGAGCGATTGAACTGAAGGAGAGCTAAATTGTGGTGGAAATAAATTGTGTAGCATAACGTAAGGCGTCTTTTCACTCGAGGGAAAGTGGCTCTTTTCGATAACTTTAACATGCCTCAATTTAAATCTTTGGAAACAACTAATAAAATGATAACAGTATGATCTAGTAGATTATGAATAGACAAGTTGGTACTTTTCCAGACCGTGTTTAACGATCCTTACCGACCAAAATGTCCAGACAACCATCAAGAAAAGTTAGTATATATTTATATATGTACAGAAAGGGAGCAACTTATTTCTCATATTCCCGTATTTGTCTGGATCCGGTATTGATAGGGATATATTGTGTTCTTCAGTTAATAAACAAATTAAGTTATTTGAGATTTTTTGTTTGGATCGTACTTGTAGTATAAGTTTAGTATGACGTTTATTTAGTTGCTCTATAAATGGTAATCAATATTTTAAAGAGCTGACTTCATCAATCGTTTCTACACGTACCGTCGCATATACATTTGATTACTGGCTTTCACGCTTTTACGCCAGGAAGCCTTATTAAATTTATTTAAACAAAAATTTTGTTTATTTGTATAAGGTTGACAAATTAAATAAGTTCTTATCAGCAAAATCCAAACTGATTCTGATGTAATTGGCGTTTATGAGCGTGAAACAAGTTGTAAAATAAGCTCGCGTTTCGCTATAATCTCTATAATTTTTATGTTAAATAATTATAATTTTAGATCTCTAGCTCGTATAGCTTTCGATATCCCGACATTCATACGTAGATGCAGACAGACATGGCTATACTCGAATAGAATATTTAAAGATTATAGCAGAGGTGTGTCTAGTATTTGGTTTTAATCCTTTTTTTTTGAAGACATATAGAGAATGTTGGATTATACTAGTGATCTATAATGTCTTTTATTTATTATTAAGATGATATATTGTTATTAAGATTGTATATAGTTATACTTATGTATAAATACATATGTACCTATTCAATTAAATTAAAAATTGGGAAAAATCCCCCCACATGGGTGAAAAGTGAAAATAAACAAGGTACTTAAGAAGTTTGTTCCGGAAACCCTCAATAAGCTACTTCTTGATCCACCACTAATCAATCCACTTGTCTAACTAAGAAAAAATTATTAGAGGGTCGGGACGATTAAAGAATGATTTCTTCCATTATTAAATACATCCATGTTTCCTTAAGGTAGCCATGAAAGTCACCTAGTATCTTCCATCTTTACATTCCTCTCCATCTTTTTCCCGCTGTTGGCATACCTTAAGGCAACTATCAGTGACCATTGGGCATTATACTCCCCGGGAGTGCTTCTTGTTAAACGCCTCGGTGCCTCCGCATTTTGCTGGCTGGGCCTAGTTGCCTCCCTGATAAATTGCTATAAATTTAATTAAGCTCAGTCCCACACCGACACAGTCGCATATGCACACAACTCACCTACACATACTTTGTGGTAATAAGTGGCAAAAAAGAATTATTTTTCATATCCCGGCCCGCCTCAGTCTCATAATTTTGTCCACCCCAACTGGCTCTGCCATTTTTTCGAGGGGGTCAGTCTGTTTACCTTTTGTTGTTGCTGCTGCTGTTGTGGTTACAAAATTGTTATGGTGCCTGCCGGGTTTTCTTTTCGCCGCTTCTGACCCACCCAGACAGGTTGGTGGTTAAAGGGCCGTGCACAAGAAGTGGGAAGAACTGACACGAGAACCAGGCCCATATTAAACCATTTGACATTGCATTTAATATGCTTGCTCGGCTTGTTTTTATTAATTTTTATTGTTTGGGTTATGCTTGGTTATAAATGGTTTCATAAATAATGGTAGCTAAGCGAGTGGTGCAGTGGCTTTTGAAGCAGTCGTTGTTGAAAGAAGGAAAAACGGTATGGGAGTAGAAAAATCTAGTTTCGGCATAGTTTGGGTATACTAGTCTCTATTTTTTTATGAAACTTATACATTTAAGGGTTCATTTGAAAAACAGTTTTAAATTCATTTTAGGAGGCATGATATGTGCAATAAAAATGTGCAATAAAAAGTTGTTTTGTCTATTTCAGTTTACTTCCTAGAGTATTCCATACCGAAGATCTTTTTGCCTCGAACCCAACTCGGATCTGAAACCCGAGGACATATTGTTGTCATGTTTAACATATCTTAACGCTACTCAATGCTATGCAGAGGGAGAGATATAATTTCAATTCCAGCTCCAGCTCCAGTTGGAATAACCAGTTTTGGACCGTTCGAACATCATCAGCGCTCGAGTTCTTCATCATTTGTAGCATCAGCGTCAAGATCATTGCTCATGTTTACAATGATGACAGGCAGCAAAATAAGCAGAAGCTGGCCAAGAACCGTCGGAGGAGCCGACTGCCAACCAAATCAAATGGGAGCTTCTCTGTGGGATCGGGCCAGTAGTTAACAGTGGCAGTGCGGCTGCCCGCTTCCATCAGGCCCGACCTGAAGTTCGGAATTGAAGCTATCATAAATCTGTTCGTCGCAAAAATCTACACACAATGGGGCGTTTGCAAACGCATTCGTTGATCGGAATGCGACGACGAACTCTCTGAATCTGCCTCTTGACTGACTGCGAAATTGGAAATGCGACCGTGATCGAGCAATACTTAAACACATATAGCGAATATCGGAAATAACATAGTATACGGCGAGGAATGATATTGAAAATGCATCCTGGATGGCAGTATTTTCGTTTTAGTCATATATTTTGTTATATTAGGAATTGCTAAGTCCTAGTATTCAACATAACAAAAAGTCGTTCAAAACCAAAAATTGTATGTGGAAAAAACGTCAAAGCAAAAATCTTGTATGGCATAAATGAATACCAAAATGAGTTCAATTAAGTGAAACATTCGCTGATCCACGGATTTATACCACAAATCAAAAAGTGTGCCACATAAAATGTTGTTTTGAAAACCCCTGATACCAAATTCTGAACCGTCACTGTCACTTTAATATAGTATTTAGCAATTAATGGAATACTATTTGGCGGTCACGTACTACCTTAACATGAAATTAAGTAATAAAAAACAGTTTATTATTTATATCGAAAATTTAATTTGGTTACTTTGATTTTAGAGTGAAGTACAGAGACAAACTTTAAAGTTTGGTTGACCGATCGTCACTATTTTTAAAGTGTACAAGAATAAACAAAAGTAAATTTATTTACTTTAATTGGTTTATGGTTGCATATTCAGGATTTGATTCAGAAATAACATTTTGTAGCATACTTCTTAACACTTTCTTCTACACTTTCTTTTGCATTCTAGTTGGAAAGTTTCATACATAAAAAGTACTGCACTGGGTTCCCTGTTTATTTATTGTTTTGTTTATTAAACCGAATAAAATATTTAATTTCTCCCATCTCTTTCACTATATTCACTGCACCAAAGTAGCTCGCAGTGCTTTCTCTTCACTTTCTCCCTCCTTAATGGATCGTTAATTGAGTGCATGATCCGCAATCACGCTGTCATCCCTAGTCGCATCCCAACTGGAAGTTCACTTGGAAGTTCTGTTGGATTTGTTGTTTTACAATGCAGCATTGTTTTGGTTGCTGTGGGCTTTTGCCGAGAGTTTTGCCTTCGCCGCTGATTCTTCTGGTCGAGCGGTGTGCTGATTTATGGCATCTTTCGGCATTTCGGCTACCGGCCCCCAGTCTTTATGATTTGTCATAAATATGTCCCCTCCGTCCGATCGGATCGCATCGGATCGGATCGGATCGGCGATCCCAATCAGCAGTTGTCCGGGTCGCGTTAGCTTTTCTGGGCCTGGGCTCTACTTACTCTCGATGGAAACGGACGTTGTCCACGTAGAGCCTCATGCAAACCGGAAGCGGCTTCCGAGAGGACAACGAGCGCTTGAGATGGCAAATGGCTGCTGCCAAATGCGTTGCTTTCCATCTGCAGCTCGTTTGTGATTTGTTTTGGTTTTGTTTAGACTAATTTGGCACTAGGGGGCACTCATAACCTCACTTTCGCTTGTGTTTCAGTGTTGGCACATGCAAAGATCACTCGGTATCCTGAACAGGCGGTTGGGAATTGTATTTGCGCGTCGGTAAAACGGTAACTTGGAACTCGGCTCGGATCAGCTGACGGTTGGCTCTCTCGCTCTGGCTCTGGCTCTCTCTCGCTCGCTCGACACAGAACACCCGCACGTACGCGCTGCAGAAATCCAACTGAGGCTGCCTGGAAACCAGTTGCCGTTAGTCGGCCCGAGTGCTTCCTCTTCTCCAGCCTCGCTGCTGCGCAGTCGGCGTCGGCGTCGCAGCGAAACGCCTCGCGACTTCTGATTGGCCAGCGGATATCCGGTTTGGGTGCACTCTCGCCGTCCCGCTCTGGCGCACGCCCACTCCCACTGCGGCAGCACTTTTACATTATGTTCACCTCCTTGGTCGGCGAGTTTGTTTTTGCCGCTGCATTATTATTCCAAAATGGTTGCATGTTTGTCCGTTGGCCATTGTACGCCTGTTTGTCTGCCAGCACCTGGTACTGGTACTCCCCGGCCCCATCCTCCTCCTCCTGGACCCCCTCCCCTTCCATCAACTTCTGACATTTTGTGTAAATAAACCGTATGGGAAGCATTTTTACTTTTGGCTTTGGCATTTTGTTGTTGTTTGTCGGACACTGGCCTGGACAAAAGTATCTTGGAAGTAGTCTCTTTCTTTTTTGCCCCTGCAGCTGGGTTTTTGCACACCGTCCACTTAATATAGCGCATTACTGTGGTATTTATTGGGCGCGAAGTGGCGAAAATATTTCAAAAGTAGGGTGTTGCGGAATCGGAATTTAATAGGCAATTGCGGCTTTTCTGAAGGTTCCTTGCCGTGGGCATATTTTCTATAGTAAGCATTTTAAGCAAATGTAAACATTTAAAGGTAATTGCCTTTATAATTCAATACAAATTAAATACAAGCCTTTATCAAATGGTTTTCTTTTTATAACTATTAAGCATACATAAATATGTTAACTTCGTAAATACTATTAATATTCCAGACTCGTGCACTTTGAATTTCAAACGAATATGATACTTTTAATTAATTGTTTTGGAATATAATAAGAACAATTTTAATATCGATCTTAAATATAAACCTTAAGAGAATCGAAATGGCTGTCCAAGGGTGAGAAAAATGAAAATGTTTAAATTCATCGCTTATTCCACTGTCAACTGACCAACAAACTACCTATGTACAAACAGAAATAGTTGTCACACAGTATTACTACAAACAACAACTAAACTACAACAAGTATTATGGCAACAGCATAGGCGACAACCTCCAACAACCACTGTGTACGGGGACAATATAAAAAGCTTAACCCATCTGCGCGCACTTTTTATTTCGACCTCGTTGCCTTTGCTGTGATTTCCAATATGCCGGACTAACTAAATAAAGTATTTTCCTTGCAATTTACTTGGACGGGCAGGACGACGGGAAAGGGGTGTGGATCCGAGTAAAAAATGCGCAAACCTTTCTGACATGTTTATGGGGCCCTGTCTGTCAAATCGAGGCAGTTGACACCACTACCACTCGCTCCCCTCTCCTTTAATTGGTGGCTAGTAAATTTTCTTTTTACCATCTTTGGGCCGGGGGATCTTCTCGGGAAGATTTCTTCTAATTTTTTGCTCATTAAATTTACATTTTAAGAATTCCTGTGCGAGCAGAGAAGCTTGCACTTTATAATTTCCACCAGCCTGCCTTTAGGTTTATTACCCATCTCTGTCGGTGGGAGGGAGTGCGCGATACTGTGGAGAAAGTGGAGTGAGAGGGGGTGGTGGGAGTGGGAGCGAGAGGTCCATAGTGCACTGAGGAAAAAGCTGGATCGGGTCAGGAATGTAGTGTCCGCTATTCAAATCTATTTGCCCTTAAGCTTTAAAATTGGTGTATAATAGAATGATATAAAATATACTTCATATTGAATACTTTTAATAAACTAAAGGTGTATATAAAAAGCGTTTTGGTTTTTGAAATCTAGGATTTCCTAACCATGGTACTTAAAGTATTGGGATATTTAACGGAATTACTTTAAAGATATTACCTTTAATTACATTAAATATAAATTATTTACCCATTAAGAAGGGCAAGTTACCAGAATAAAATAATTTATTTCACTGCAATGATATAAAACTTATTTAAAATGTACTTCAAAAGAGATCCATTAGGTAATAATAATGGATATTAAGAAAGAGCAAATTACCAGAATAAAATATTTTATTCAACTGCAATGATTTAAAACTGATTTAAAATGTAAGTTAAAAGATCCATTAGGATATTTAGATGGATATTTTCATCTGTATGGTAGTTGGATTTCGAGGGAGACCCCTATACTGTATGTACACTTTATATTTCATTTTGGTTTCTTATAATCCAGGATTTCCAAACTATGGTACTTGAAGTATTAGGATATATAAAGGAAGTACTTTAAATTTATTATCTTTAATTACTTTAAATATAAATATTTTACCTATTCAGAAGAGCAAATTATCAGAACATAATAATTTATTTAACTGAAATGATTTAAAACTGAATTAAAATGTAGTTTAAAAGAGATCCATTAGGATATTTAGATGGATATTTTCCTCTGTGTGGTAGTTGGAGTTGGAGGGAGACCCCTATATTGGGCACTTCGAGAAAACAGGGAAGGAGTGCCGGAGTCATACAGATTGGGAGTGCCAGAGTGAGACAGCTAGGAGGGAGGCTCGGGAGTTCGGAGCGCATGCGCCGACGTTGGCGGTAGCCTACATTATGTGTCTATTTCTTGTACATAGAGTGGAGCCATGGTTCCAATACCCCCAGCTTCTCCCTCGAAGAGGTAACTAAGTCTTCCTTCGACTGGTGACTGGTAACTGCTAACTGGTAACTGGCGACTGGTATCTGGAGGCAGCTGGCGAAAACGTAGGGCGAGTGCCATGTACAGGACTTGTACTGCATTTCGGGTTGGCAGTAGATTTTTCATTTTATTTATGTGCTACTCTGATGATTGCCTTTACTTATTTCTGCCCCCACCAGCGCGTCTTATTCTTCTCTTTGTCAGCTTGTCAGCTTCCCGGCTACAAAATTAAATACTTGTCTCTGGTCCGATTTCTTTTTTGTTATCTTTCGGGTGTGTGGGCGCGGCTCTATATATAACCAACTGTCGTCTGTCTTGGCCACCTCCTCCTCCTCCGGCTACTGGGTATGTACTTTGTGCAACTTGGCCTGACAACTAATTTATGTAGTGACCGGAGCAGCTGCTACAACTTTAGCTTTTCTCAGTTCTTTAATAATCTTGCTTTTTTATTTTGGCAAACAATTTCTCATAACTTAGTTTGTCTAGGTGAAGTGATACTTATAAGAGGACTCTTGTTGTGCCACAAAATGGGATATTAATTGGTTGGCATTTTATGGTAAGTATATTATTTAATTTGTCTGTTTTATCTTTTTAATACTATTTTGGGTGAGTTAAAGTGTAACTATTTTTTGATTTATTTCATATCAGAGGGAACATATAACGCAAGTCTGGGATTTCTTTGTTTATACAAAAATCCGCTATAAGCAGTTTCCAACTACCGAAGAACATGTGTTTCCATAATAATTGCTTTTGAAATACTTTCGTATTTCGGCAAGCCTTCTTGATTTATCGTCAGTAATCCTGTCTCGATCGACACATCTACCAACTTACATAATTCCTTTCGCCACCTCATCCGCTACACCTGCTTTCCCGGAAAAATCCCCGGGAAAATCCGGGTAACGCCTCCGAATTAATTGAAACCGCAGAACAAGTGCCAAAACCGTTTGGCTGTCAGAGCTGCCACAGCCAATCCCTCGACCGAACCCCCAAAAAGTACCAGTAAGGATTGAACCAAAAAAAAAACACAGATGCGTCTAACATAAAAAACAAGTGATAAAACGAAAAAGAGAACCCAAAAGCAATCCCCCGCAAATCCCAGACAAATGTGCTGCGAGAGGGAATAAAAATTTACCAATACTTTGTACTTTTGCCATGTAAATATGAATGGAAATGAATTACAAGCGAAATAAATGTACGAAAAAATTGCATGAAACAAAGCCAAATCGTATAAAAAGTATAGTCGCAAGATATGGAGTGGGTGGAAAGGCGGAAAAGAGAGAAAGCTAACATGGCTTTTGGTTCGTGTTTTTTTGGGATTGGGTGTTGGGATTTTTTTGTGGTTTTGGGTAGCACACAGTCGCAATGTTGACATGTTCCAAATGCAATTTTAACAGGATTTGCAAGGACACATTTGCACAAAGTGACAGAAAAACGCAGCGCACCAACAACAAAGTCAACTTTGTCAACCCCATACCCCTCATCCCTCATAAAAATTCGTGCACTCGGAGAAAGTTGTGGCATTATTAGTAGGGTAAATAAATATTGATAAATAGAATCGACATTTTTTCAAGACTACTTTTGAGGGTACTTGTTTTTTACTATGGTATTATTTTGTTTACCCTTGCAAAGGGTATAATGATTTCAGTCAGAAGTTGGCAACGTAGAGAAGGAGACGTTTCCGACCCCATAAAGTATGTATATTTTTGAACAGCATCACTAGACGAGTCGATCTGTCCGTGTGTCCGTCCGTTTCTACGAATATTTTTTGTATGTGAAAAATGATAAGTTCTGTGTTTTTTTACATATTAACTTCCACTTCTTGGGATTATCATTCTGTTAATATTTCAGAATTTCGAATAAAATTAAAACAAATCGGGCGACTTTATCATATAGCTGCCATAGGAACGATCGGGTAATTAATGACAAAATAATACATAAGGCGTTATATTTCGTTTATTTAAGGTAGTAAATTAAAGTGGAACATTATCTTTATGTTACTGCAATTAGTTTTTAGTTTTCCTAAAATCGGAAAGCTCATAAGAACGACCTGCATGGGTATGAAAACTTCGGCTTGCCGAATTTAGCTTCCTTTCTGGTTTATTAATTAAAAACCTAAAAAACCTTTGTAAAATATTGTGTTTAAAAAATTGCTGCTCAAAATGTTTTCTGAAATTCTTCTTTTCCACTATTTTGTTCTCTTAGTGTGGGCCTTTGTGATGTGCGTGGCTGGCATAACTTGCGGCTTAAAGGGATCAACTTGTCATGTTTTTGTCGTCGGCATTGATTTTCCGCTTTCCACGACCTGCGACCCAACCAGAGCCACACTCACCCCGCAGC